GTAACGCCCCTGATAACATGCGGCTGTTAGGCGACGAGGCGGGTCGACGGGGTCTTGGACCCATGGCCTCGGGCGGGCGGAGGCGCACGGCTCAGGTCTGGCATCTCAGGCGGCGCAGGCTTGGAACCTTGGAACATCTAGGCAAGCTTGGGCGGCTTGGGCTACTGGCCCACGGGCTTTGGTGAATGATGGATCGGGCGGCCTCGCAACGGCGCCGCATTGAGCCGGAACACTTGCTCCACCCTGGCTCGAGTGCTTCATGACTAAAGTCTACGAGCCCAGCCCAGGTGCACCCAGCTGACAGGTGTGTGACGTCGGCCTGGAAGCAAGCCAGGCGGGCCAGGCGGCCAAGCGGCGCGAGGATACGTGGGCCATGAGCTTGCGCCAAGCGAGCCGGACGCTTCCCCTAGGGTTCCTTGCGATTTCCTGCGCCGACCCGTCCGCCGCCCGCTCTCGCTGGCCCTCGCTGCCTCGCCACTGTTTGTCCGACCGCAGGCGGCAGCGGCTACCAAAGATGGAAGGTGGGAGGCCGTGAGGGTCCGTCATGTGCAGGCAGGGGCGGACGGTGGACCCTGAAAAACAAAAACAATCTCTTCGAGTAGTGCATCTTTCTTGGCTTGGGAGTGCAGGCTCGGCCGCCGAGGGCCGGGTCCGACTGCCGCAGGTTGCCATCAGAGGCGAGGTATGTCATTATAAACGCGTGGGCAGGAGGTTTAGGCTCAGGTGTACGCGAAACAAGCGAAGGAAGCCAGGCTCGGTGTCCTCGAGTCCAATGTCGAAAAATTACTCGGGACTCATCGATTCGCCCAATCGCCTACGTCATCCACCCTTCTGCCTTGATGCTGCTTTGTTACAAGCATTCCGCTCCACCTCGCTGATAGTCATGCATCATCGATTCCCATACTCCCCTGCGGGCACGTATGCTTCTGTGCACTGGCTCGGCACCATGGGCTTCTGAATGGCGGAGCATCAATCATGATGACGGGCAACTTTGGAGAGGTGTGATCAGCCATGGCCTGCGAGAAGAAACTGACGAAAAAATGTCGGCCACTGGACCAGTGACGTCGGGGGGCAGAACAGGTACGGCAAAGGTCGTAATCTCGTTGAATTCGCGGGCAAACGGCCGAGTCGTGGTCGAAGTTTACACAAAGTTACGCCGTGACACCCTGAGGCGGCTCGAGGGGGTCCTGACGAGACCTAACGAGGCTTGCCCAGGAACCAAGCAGCACCTCGAGGATGCAATCGTCGATGTTCTCATTTGTTCTTCGGAATTGCCCAGGGTGCCCGCCCGTTTAGGCATCCTGGTGTCAACACTCAGGAACCTTCTCGCCCACGCCGAACACATCGGAGGCCGCGCCTGCATGACCAAGCCAGATCTTTCGGAAGGGGGACGAGGTCCAGGAGCACTTCGGACAGCAGCGAGCAGGATTGCAGGCATCGAGAGCGCAGGGAGCACAGATGGGGCGCACAGGGCAGAGAATCGTTCCGAAGCCAGCGAAGACCACGAAGGCTTTACGATGTTTGGCCCATGAGCAGCGGTAACATCAGAAACAAGAAGCCCGCAATCAGAGTTCGGACCTCGGTCCGCGGGGACCCTCGGGACACCCGCTTGTGTCGGAGGGTGCTTGCTGCTTTGGCGAAGCGAGTGAAATTCGGACAGGACAATCGGACTGATGCTCTGCGCCGCTCAACGCCGCAGCCCCGCCGATCCTTCCAGCTGCGGCCGCAAGTGCGGACTTCGGAGTCAAGCAGGCTCCTCCTACACCGCAGACTATTCACCGAACTGAGGGCCTGCAGACCGCCGCTCAGATCCGGACAGCCAGGGCCAGAGAGATCCAGCGGAGCAGTTGCCTCAGCCTCCTGGGCAAGCTGACAAATACGGCTGACCGTAAGCAGACCTCAAGTAACCTGAGAAACACATGGCCCCTTCTGCTCTCCGTTGGCCGCCCGTCCGCCCTAGAATTAGAGGATTTGCATGGGAGGCCGTTCTGCCCTTCTGCGCCGCTGACCCGCTGCAATCTTGCAGCTTGGGCCTGGGCTCTAGTGTGAGCCTCATGAAGTTCGAGCAGATGCTCGGAAGGGGCGGATTCCAGAGTGTTTTGGTTCCGATTACACTGGTGAACTGGACAATCTCACCCGCTACATGGACACCGAGGACATGACGGATGCCCAGAGTTTAGAGGTTGGAACATGACCTCACATTGCAGGTCCCATTCCGCGATCCCGGAAGTGACCCGAACCCTCTCCCTAGGAGCCCTCTCTCCCTAGGCCAGCGCCGCCAGCGGACATTGCTTACATACCGCAGCCTCATGTCATGTTCGACATGGCTTGAACACGGCTTGACACGGCCCTGTCGACTCGAAACAGATCGTAACTAATGCACGGTGGGAATTGCAGTTGCGAGCATACCGCGTAACCAAATTGCATTCCAGTGTGCCAGTTTCAGTGCCGGTTGGAACATTCCGTCAACATTGCACGCGCGCGCAGGCTGGCACATCTGTGAGCTTGCGGGTCATCTCGCAGATCGAGCAGAGTTTAGCGGCATGTACAAGTTTCTTGGTCAGATGACAAGCACGACCGAAACCTGGGAAGAGCACTTGGTACGATTGTGGTCTCGGAGCGTTTGCCCACCGGGCATCCAAGGTCACGCAATGCGACGGTGGAGGTGACGCACAGTGGATGACAAAGCCGTCTCGTTGGGGAGGCGCAAACTGCGCAACGTCCTGGAGGACACGGGCAGCAGGGTGGCGCTCAACGCTCGCCCACGATACAGAGCGGGCGTGCACTTGAAAGCCGAGCCGAGGCGCCGAGGATTGCAGGCGGCACGGGCCGCGCAGCCGGCCACGCGCGCACGCATGCCAAGGATCCGACCAAGAGATCAAGACACGCACGGCGCACCCCATGTTCACCCAAGTTCTAGGCTCTGAAACACCCAAGCTTGACAAGAGTTCGCGTTGCAAGTGCCCCACTTCTACGTCGCGAGACCATTCTCTCGGCAAGGCTCGAATCCGCAAGACTGTTGTCTGAGCGTGGAGGGGGCGACACGGGGCCCATCCCATCTGGATAACGCATTCCGTTAGCTACGAGTCGAGACGCGTGAGCGTTTCGATCGGGTCCGGTATGCGATTCGTGACACAGCACGCGACGTAGATACCTGTACATGAGAACAATCAGGAGCTGGGTATCCGACAGGTCTCGCGAAACCCGAGACTCGTCGACGACTGCTGACTGGACGTCCATGATCCGAGCTGTCTAAGCTTCGAATGTCGACCTGCGTTCTGCACAGTCTAGCTCATGTCGCAACGCTTTTAACGCTTTTGCCGCTCATGTTGCACACACCGCCAACGGAACCGACTCAAAGGCTGTTTTATCCCGGCCCACGTCTCGTGCTCTTGTCAGCAGAGGAAGTACTCGTACTGCACGGCCCTTCTGTATTTGGCACATGACCAAGATTGCGTCCTGGGCGCAGAGATAACGCGTCACGCACGGCCCGCCTCGGCGCCCTTTGCGCAAGAGGCCGAGGGGACGGGTGCCGAGCGGAGCGAGTTTCCGGCCACGTTCTCCTTTATGAGTTCAAAGACGCCTTTCGCTTTCGACGCATCATCGAACGCAGGCCGGTGGGCTCTCTGATCGACTCGAGTGCTCTCAGTTCAGTTCCAGCAGAATGTGCAACTATGTGTGATTCTGATTCTTGGATACATGCTTTCAGACTGTTCTTCTTTTGACTTGTGGCTTGTTGGCTCGATGCAGGGAGACAAGACAGACAACTATTCGACTTAATTACTACATACCACACGGTCTTACCGTGCGTTCAGCTAATGCCGCGTGCGTGCTTCATTGCTTTTCGTGTCTAGGACTACCCTCCCTCGGAGATGGGTAGTCATTGATGCAAGAGGGAGGGGGGAGGATGGGGGAGAGAGGCTCGCTAGAGCGCTTAGGGGAGCTGGCCCGCCTGCTCGATGGCATCCTTGGTCTTCTTCGCATCGTCGTCAATCTTCTTCTGCTGCTCAACAGCGGCCATGGGCGCGTTCGGGTCGGGCTTGGCAGTGAAGCTGAGCTCGTTCGAGTCCTTGCCGTCCTCGGTCTTGACCGTGTCGACAGTGACGATCTCGCCGTCCTTGATCTCGCCGTTGAGCATGCGGAGCGCGAGCGGGTTGGCGACCTTGTCGCGCACCATGCGCTGCACGGCACGCGCACCGTAGCGGTCCGAGTAGCCCTTGGTCGCGAGCCACTCGCGCGCGGCCTTGGTGACGTCGAGCTTGATGTGCCTGTCGGCGATACGGCCCTGGACCTCGCCGAGGCGAAGGTCGACAATGTCCTCGATGACGCTGGGCGGGAGCTTGTTGAACACGACAAGCGCGTCGAGACGGTTGATCAGCTCGGGCTTGAAGAACTTGTTCACGTCCTTGAGCACCTGCGCCTTGGCGCTGTCGCTGACGGAGCCGTCGGGCTTCATCGCACCAGGCTCGTACAGCGCCTCAGCACCGAGGTTGGATGTGAGCGCAATGATGGTGTTGCGGAAGTTGACGACGCGGCCCTGGCCGTCGGTGAGCTGGCCCTCCTCGAGGATCTGGAGCAGAATGTTGGCGACGTCGGGGTGGGCCTTCTCAATCTCGTCAAAGACGACGACAGTGTACGGCCTGCGGCGAACAGCCTCGGTCAGCTGGCCGCCCTCCTCGTATCCGACGAAACCGGGGGTGGCACCGACGAGACGCGAAATGGTGTGCTTGTCGTGGAACTCGGACATGTTGATCTGGATGATGGCCTTCTTCTCATCGTCGAAGAGGAACTCGGCGACCGCCTTGGTGAGCTCGGTCTTTCCGACACCGGTCGGGCCGAGGAAGAGGAAGGAAGCGAGCGGGCGCTTCGGGCTCTGCAGACCAGCACGAGACAGGCGGATCGCGTTCGCGACAGCCTTGATCGCCTCGTCCTGGCCGACAACGCGGGTCTTGAGGCACTCCTCCATGTTGATGAGGCGCTCGCGCTCGCCCTGCATGAGCTGCGTGACGGGGATTCCAGTCGCCTTGGACACGACGGCGGCAATGTCCTCGGTCGTGACCTTGTCCTTGACGACGAGGTCGCCACCCTTCTTCGTCTCGGCCTCGAGCTCAGCCTCGACCTTGGGCAGGCGAGCCTGCAGGTCGGGAATGACCGAGAAGCGGACCTTGGACGCCTTCTCGAGGTCACCGTTACGCTGGGCATTCTCGAGCTCAATCTTGGCGTACTCGAGCTGCTCCTTGATCTTGCGGATCTCGCCGACACGCGAGCGCTCGGCGTTCCAGACCTTGGTGATCTCGGCCTGCTTCTTGCGGTCCTTCTCGAGCTCCTTCTCAATCGTCTCCTTACGCTTGACAGCGTACGGGTCCTGGTCGTCCTTGAGCGATCGCTGCTCCATCTCGAGGTTCATGATGCGGGCGTCAACGTCCTCGAGCTCCTTCGGGCGCGACTCTTGCGCAATCTTGAGCGAAGAGCACGCCTCGTCGAGCAGATCAATGGCCTTGTCGGGCAGGTAGCGGTCGGTGATGTAGCGGTCCGAGTAGACGGCGCACGAGACGAGCGCGGCGTCGCTGATCTGCACACCAAAGTGCGCCTCGTAACGCGACTTGATACCACGGAGAATGGAAACGGTCTCGCTGATCGTCGGCTCGGGAACGTACACCTGCTGGAAACGACGCTGGAGCGCCGGGTCCTTTTCAATGTACTTGCGGTACTCGTCGAGGGTCGTGGCACCGATGAGCTGGAGACCACGCGCGAGCGCAGGCTTGAGCATGTTGCCAGCATCGACGGATCCCTCCGTCTTTCCGAGGTTCATGATGGTGTGCAGCTCGTCGATGAAACAGATGGTCGAGTCCGAGTTGGCCTCAATGTCCTTCATGAGGTCCTTGAACTTCTTCTCAAACTCGCCGCGGACGCCGGTGCCCGCGATGAGGCCACCGACGTCAATGACAAGTAGACGCTTGCCCTGGAGTGACTCGGGGACCTCGTTGTTGACGATGCGCTCCGCGAGGCCCTCGACGACAGCCGTCTTACCGACACCCGGGAGACCGAGGAGGACAGGGTTGTTCTTCGTACGTCGGGAGAGGACAGTGATCATGCGCCTGATGACATCGTCACGACCAATGACCGGGTCGAGCTTGCCCTCGCGCGCCATCTGCGTCAGGTCGATCGAGTGCTGCTCCAGCGTCGACTTCTTCTCCCCGCCCTCCTCCTCGCCGGGCGCCTGCTGCGGGTACTTTGGGAAACCTCCTCCGGGAGGCATCTGTCCTCCGGGAGGGAAGCCGCCCATACCGCCGCCGCCACCGCCGAAGCCGCCCATGCCGCCTCCAGGTCCGAAGGAGAAGCCGAACGGAAACTGCGGCGGCCGTCCCTGGTAGTGTCGGACGGCCATGGCAGCGGTGGTAGGAAGAGCGATCGCGCGCGGGTTCGTGGCCTTGGCCCGCATGGCCGCACGCAGTGGTGCCGATGTCGGTCTTAATCTTGTGATTGTCGACATTGTTCTGAGTGTGTGTCGAGTGATGTGCGTGAGTGGTAGGGGGTAGAACTGAGACAGTTCTGTTTCTTCTGTCTGCTTTAAAAGAGGTAACGTGCAGAGGAAAGGGGAGGAAGGAATTGCTCGGAAACCCGCACCTCGGTGATGATATAGGTGAGAAGTGAGGGTGCCAGAGTGATATCAGCGGTTCTGGGTGCCTCCAGGGGGGTTACGGGGGTGCAAATGGTGTTGCTATTGGGCGTCTAATGGACGATGACGAACTGTTAGTATTCTCGTAGAACACTCGAAAGTTCCAGTTCACAGGGGATAATGCTCGGGTAATCTGGGGTCTCCGCGATAATCAGGGTTCCGACATGACGTCGCTCACAGTGCGGGCTCGACCACCCCCCCTTCCCTCGGACGCCTCATTCCACACCCATCGATCCTCTTCCAAGCTTCGGTCTCCATGTCCTGCGGAGCAGAGAATTCCCCCTAGCCAATCGACGGCGCACCTCCGTCCACTCATCTCCGAGGTCGCTCGGCTAGTAAACGAGCCCTCCAAGCCACTCTCCGATCGGGTCCGGCTTCGCATCGAGATGCACATGGAGAGTCACATGTCTAAAAATAAGCTGCACACCCGCCACTGACGCTGTGTGTCTGGAGTATGCTGCAGCGTGGCCCCGCCTGACTGATCTGCGCGATGAGACGCTCAACAGCAATTCCGAGCACGGTGAGTGGCAAAGGAGCGCACAGATACCAGAGATACAGATGAAAAACTAGTGAAAATCTATCACTACTGTGGCACCGATCGCATACGGCTCGGACCTCGAGTCCGTGTGCGAACGCCGGCGCCTGCTCCGCCCGATGCCCTCTCTTCAACGCCTACGCGTTCTGCACGTAGTAGTTGAAGTTGTAGTCCTTGGGTGTCTTGGTGTAGCTGAATTTGCCACTCGTGTCGAGCTTCTTGACATCCTTGCCGCCGCGCTTGACCGTGACCTTGACCGCACCCTCGGCGCTCGCCACCGCAATCTTGTTCATGCCCTTGTCGAGCTTGAACGTCGCCTTGTTCCCGCCGCTCTCGAGCACAACCTCGGAAGCCTCCGCAAGCAGGACGAGCGCATACGCGTTGTCGTCGGTCCAGTCGGCGTGGTCCGGGCGCGGGTTTGTCGGCGCACTCGGCTTTGCGTTCTTGGGATGCGGGCGGGACCAGACCCAGATCTGGTCGTTCGGGGCGGGGAACGAGCCCTTCTTCCACGCCTCGGCGTAGTACTTGATCAGACTCGAGAGGCCGGTGTGCGGCATGTTGTCGGTCCAGCCCTGCGACTTGGGCTGGTCCTGCGGGTCGCCCGGCTGCGCGACGTAGTGTGACTCTCCCCAGTCGTTCCAGCTCACAAACTGGAGGTGGTCAAACTTGTTGCGGATCGAGAGGAGCTGTTCCCAGCGCGTGGCGAGGAGCCAGTCGTCGGACCGGTAGATCCAGTTCTTGTTCCACGAGTCCTTGCCGTAGTACGTGAAGAAGAAGGGCGAGATTCCCGCCATGTAGCTCTTCCCACCCAGCGCGGAGAGGTACTGGTTGTCGCTGTCGAGGGTCGGGTTCGCGTTCGAGGCCGGCCACTGCCCGTTCCAGTTCATGACGCCGTCGAACCAGTTGGAGCCCCCGAACGTGTCAGGCTTGGCAAAGTGCGCGGGCATAAAGTGGATGTCGACATTCTTCTTCTTGACCTGCTCACGGTAGTACTTCCAGCCGTCCTGCACCGAGCCCTTGCCAAACTGGCAGTTCTCGCCTGCAAACGTGCTCACGAGCACCTTGTTCTTGTACTTGGCCTGAGCCGAGTTGCCTGCGTACTTGGCCGTGAGATCCGCGATGCGGTCGGCGTCACCGGTCGAGGCGCACGGGAACGATGTCATGTCGAAGCTGAAGAAGAGCCTAAAGTTCTTGCCCTGTGCAGCCTGGTAGGCGTATTCGATTGATTTGGGCTGCCAGTCGTCCCGGCCCATATTCAAGACGAAACCATCAAAGCCAGCATCGAGGGCGCCCTGGATGTCCTTCGTCCACTTGTCCTTGTTGTACGAATGCGTGTTGCCGACCATGTGGTGCGCCCAGAGGAACTTCTCCCCGTTGCCGGCGATGGAAGGCTTGTTCGCGTTGATGAGCGTCGCGGCGTTCGACGAGACGATGGCCTTGTCCTGGCTCTGAACAGCGTTTGTGGCGCCACTGGAGACGTTCACGTCCTTGTGATCATCCTTCTGCTCATCTTTGTTGCCGTTGTTGCTGTTGTTGTTGCCATTGCCGTTGTTGTTGCCATTGCCGTTGTTGTTGCCATTGCCGTTGTTGCCCTGTCCATCGGTCACGCCCGTCCTCCAGATATCCAGCTCCCATCGCCCACCGCACGTCTTGGATGCGTCCCCACTGCAGGGTGTTTTACACCCATCGACGCCGCCCGCCGTGCCATAGCTGTCTCCGCAGAAGCACTGCCTTCCATCCTCGAGACCAGCCATCTTGAAGCCACTGGACCGGCAGTGGTCGACGCATGCCTCGGGTGTCATCGCTCCTTCCGACCAGTACGCGTGGGGCAGGACGCGATTCGACGCATCGCGGTAGCATCCGACGTGCTCTGCTGGGCCATAGTTGGTCGCTCTTTCCTCTGCTCTGGGCTTGCTAGCGGCGTCCTTGGCCGCATACACTGCATGTCAGTCTGGGCTTGCTGTGGGGTAGATGACCGTAGTAATGCAACGGGCGCCGCAAGGAAGGGCGATATCTGATAGCCCTGAAAAGATCTGAATGCTTCCAAGGCACCCGATGAGAAAGGCAATAAGAAGGGAATGGCGGGTAGCAGCCAAGTAAAACTCACTGTTCATGTGGTAGATGGCGCCACACTTGGACTCGGCGTGTTCGGGGCAGTCCCAGTCGCATTTTCCGGAATCGACTTGCTCTCCTTCGTGGCGCACGTCGTCGCACCAGCACTCGACACCGACTGAGGAATGTCAGCAAGATGCTGTGATGCAGTTTGGCAGAAAGAGCTGGGAGCGGGGATTGGCCAAGCTTCGCTTCCCTCGAAAAAGTCTTGGACGCGGGAAGCATCCCGTCTCAAGCGGTGCCGCTCCCAGTCGGCCATGCCCGACCGCGTTGAGCTTTCATCACTCTGACGCGCATAACGCGCATGGCCATGTTTACTCACACTGCAGACCGGCATAGGTGAACCCTCTGCTAGCACATGCGTCAACGCAGACGTCGGGGCTGTTGTCCGTGGTGAGGGGAACCTTGAATCTGAGTACACGCTCCTCCGAGTCGGCGATACAGCCCAGGGAGGTCCACTCGGCGGCCGTTGTTCGTTTCGCGATAGGGTGTGCCGCGGCTGTGCCCAGCACAGTTAGCAGAACAGGTGCCCACATCATGGCGGTGGTCGGTTTTGCGGCGGTTTGGGGAGAGGGGAGAGCAGATCCAGCCGGAATCGTTCGCTACTTTTAAGTCACTCGGCATGGTGAGGCTGAGGACTTCAGAGGGTGTGGTGATGCCCTGACCGCGTACCGTAGCAACAGCTATTGTGTTGAGAGACAACGTAAACGGAACCCAGGCCGGCGGCACGGGCTCGTATCGTGTCCCGAAGGCGCTGCAGTCTTCCCAGTCACGTTGTTGGCTGCTGTCGCACTCCCTGCCCCGACGAGCTGTACTGGTCGGAGCTGATGTCATTGTGCGGCTCGTCCTGCTGTCAACGCAATTCTTGGATCCCCATTGTTGTGCCCGAACACCGCGGTGGGGAGGAACAAGGAGGGACGAGACCGAAAAGTTCGGGCGAAAGGCACACCTCTGCTTGGTGCTGATATGACTGTCAAGCATGCCCATCCCTGGAGCAGTTACGAAACACCGATCTCCTGGTAAGCCGATGTATCAGGAGCTGGTGGCCAAGGATAGCCAGACGGGTACGTTCCGGTCGGGTGTTGCCCTCTGCGAAGGTGATTGAGCGCGGGATGTATTGTTGTTGTCTTTTCGCGTGGCGAACGGGTACGAAATCGGCCCGATGACGATCTGCGATACGTTGTTGTCGGCAGGGGAGCTGCACATCGAGGGTTGGAGCTACCAGCTCAACGGGGAGTAAAGAGTCCTGAGGGGAGCGCGGATGCCGTTAGATGGGACCGGGTTCGAGCCTGGGACGGGCGACTGGATGCCGTTCTTGTGAGGAGGGCGAAAGATGTCCTGCATCACACAGGCAAGCGTAAGGTATACGTTCCCTCGCATGAAATCGTCATCGAGCTCCAGAGATGCTCAAACCAGCGATCGCGCGCCTCGCGGACGTTATTCGCAGAGCCGCTTGGAGGAGGAAGGCGACCACCATGTGGGCGTCTGGCGGTCATTTTCGGGCGGGGAAGCTTATCGTCATGAAGCACCGAGCATGTCGGACTTGTATTTGATACTGACAGCATTGAGGTACTTTCGTTTTGAAAGCACTGTCCGAAGGTATCGGAGAGACATTCTGGAGCAAATTGAGAAGAGGAGGTTGTGACTGCGAGGAAGTGCTTGCGAAACCGGGTGCTCACGACCGAGTCCCAAAAGAGGATGTCGGGCGGGGAATACCTGGTAGAGGGATGAAGGTGTCCCGATACCGTTGACAATTGAGGACATTGCGCATCGGGAAGAGAGACAAGTGACATTGTCGGAGTTGACGGGGGTGAATCTTGCCTGGGAGGCCCCAGGGCGAATGCTGTAGGTTACGACGTTGCGGCTAATGCTTCCATCCTTGTCGGACAGTGGAGCTTTGTATGAGAGCCCGTCCGTGTTTTCTGGGTGCCATGGGCCATGGGTGTCGCAGCTCGAAAGAAGTCACGTCTTGTCGAACTCGCTCGGCAACCAGATTGGGGGAGAGTGTCCTTGCTAGATCCCTCCACTTAACGATAACGGGACGTTTGAACTTGCGACAGGTTCAGGAACTCAGCCGAGCCCAACCAGACAGGCGCAGAACGCACAGAATACCCGCCCGCGGACTGCTTTAGACAGCGGATCTATGTTGCCGCTTCATATCACTCATCAGCGTTCCAATTAAAGCTTCAGAATCTCCTTCGTCATCGTCTCCTCCACAGTTGTCGACGTCTAGACTACGCATTCGTTTCATGCCGCCGACGCCCGACATTGAGACAGGCGGCCCGTGTCACAACGCGTTGCCGACTGTGCAACAGTAGCCGGCGCGGCCTCAGCCTTCCTCCTCCCTCCGTACTGGCTGTCGTGCAGAGCTGCTGTTCTCCTTGACAGTGCCTCACGCGATCACGTTGACTCTACCCACTCACACACCCACACACTGACAGAGACAAAGGCACACGCCCGTCCCCCTGAGGATGCGCGCACCCCGGTCTTTGCGCCTTGCGCAGTGGCCCCTCCACACTAGACCGCACACCCGGCGCACGCCGTGGCTCATCACTCCTGCCTAGCCTGCCTTCTGCGGAAGAAGCCTGTGCCTCAGGTCCCCCCAGATCGCGGGGCGCCTGGCCCCTCAGAGACGTCACTGCATTGTTATTGTGACTGCCCTACAGCACACAGACACGGGCGTGTCACCACGCTGATCCTGCACCCTGTGCTCACACCTTCGCCGATCACCCCCCCCCCCCCCCCCTTTCGCCTTCCCTTCCGCTCACTCAACACGACACTGGTCGAGTGCATGACTCAACTCTCCACTCGTCTTCCTTTCTCTCACCCCATCATTCGCCTCTCATCACCCTCCCCCCTCCACACTCCTCTTCCTCCAGACCCTCTGCGAGAAGCCAAAGCCACGGCGTGCTGCTGTCTAGCCGTCGTCTCCAGGCTGATCGCATCGTTCCGTCCATCAACCGCGCAAAATGACGTCTTCCCTGGCTCAGCGACCGATTAAAGAGTACGATAATGACCCGGGCGTGGACCATATCCTCGCCGACCTACTCTCGACTGCGTCCGTTAGGTCTGAAAGCAGCGGTTCCAACGGTACACCTCGTTCAAACAAAGTGCACCGTGGTGGACGCCCGCCCTTCCCTCCAGGACCCTCCCAACCGACCCCCCGATTTGCGAAGGAGAAGCGACACTACTCTTACCCTCAAGGGACCGACGATAAGGCAAAATGGCAGTTCTGGCCCAAGACCATGTGGCTTGGCTCCCTCACCGGGCCGGAGTTTACACGAGTGAGTGCATGACCTCCTGGGGCAGCCTAACGGTGACAGATGTTTGGCGGCTCCTGTGAATATGGGCCAGACCAAGACCGACGCGGGCATGGCCACTCCTTGCTGGCCTTTGACTTCGAGCGCGAGCTTCTTGTGATGAGAACCGTCTTCCAACTCCCTCAAAAGAAGCTTCCACTTGCTTTCAAGCCCCTTGACGCCCAGCTCAGATTCAACGATATAAGCCGCCGCGGTATTCACATCGTGGAGGAGAAGAGGGGCACACTCTGGCGAGTTGTCGTCACGGTTAGTCTGCGGCGCCCTCCCAAATTCGACGCCCCATTGGACGGGGTGCACTACATGGCTGATGGGAAACGCCTCTACAAGCGTCGTGCTACTCTGATGGACTTTGTCCTTTGCGAAGTTGTGAGTCGGGCAATCGGTTACCCAGCTGACTCAATAAGGCGGAGAGTCGAGCCGGTGTTCTGAGGGCTATTCCCGAGGGCCCAGCGGCGAACCCAACCTTCTGGGACACTTACCGCTGGGAATTCTTGCTCAATAACGATGAGTACAGAAAGTTTTGTCACTGCTCCGACCGCTTCCGCACGCTGGCTCAGGAAGACCCCGAAACAGACCTCGTTTCTCTCAACAAGCGCGAGTGGACGCGGACTCGCAGGCTCCACTCAGAGTGGACCGTTCCAGACCTCCGCAGCCTCGACTTCTCGAGTCGCGCTCTCGTGGAGGGTCTGATCGGCCACGGTATCGTTCGCCCCATCGACGTCGCAGAGCTTCTTCGAGCTCTCGATGAGTTTGCAAAGGCTTTGCCTTTCCGTCAGCGCCTCCTGACCAACCTCTTTGCCGAGGAGCGCGTGCGGAATGTCTACACGGTGGTCAAGCGTGAGTGTCAGCGGCATCTACGGCGGGGCTGACCATAGTTCGAGCGGCTGCGCTTCGTCGTGGGGAGTTTCCCGTCTCCCGGCATATCGTCATGATTCGCACGGTTACGGTTACGCCGACTCGTGTCCTTGTGGGTCCTCCTCAGCCTGAGACGAGCAACTCCGTTACGCGCCGCTATTCTGACAAACTCGACGCAATCATACGTGTCCACTTCACGGACGAGGGCGAGCGTCTCAATGTCCAGAAGTTTACCAAGCCTGCGGATGATGCCTGTCCTGAGAAGGGGCTGATGGCTCGCGTGCGCCGGGCGTTGCAGTATGGCATCGAGGTTGCAGGGTGCCGATACTACCCAGTGGCTTCGTCCGGTAGCCAGCAGAAGGACCACAACATGTGGTTCATCGATCACACGGTCATCGATCGCCCGGAGCTTTCGAGGTGGATGGGCCAGGTGAAGGAGCAGGTAGTGGCCAAGCATGCGGCACGTTTGGGCCTGGTGAGTGTACGCGAGACCGAGTCGGGCTGACTGTTTAAGCCCTTCAGTGCGAGCCGTGCTGTTGCTCTTAAGGTGACAGTGTCTGACCTCGCCGACGTCTTTCGCAACGGCCACTGTTTTACAGATGGCTGTGGCGTGGCCGGCATCGACGTCATGCGTCAAGCCGCCCGGAGCATGAACAACAAGCGGAAAACCGGTGAGGCCCCATCGGCACTGCAGTTCCGTCTCGGGTTAGTACACACTTTCAGCGCGAGCTGACTCCTCCAGAGGCGCCAAAGGCGTGTTGGCATACTGGCCTGGCATGGCAGGCAACGACGAGATCCTTATGCGCCCATCGCAGACCAAGTTCGAGAGCCGGCTGAAAGAGTTGAACGTTGTCAGGGTAAGTCGACGTCTTCAGAACGCTGCCAGAGGTAGTCTTGGAGCCAACAGATCAGATTGCAAAGTATCAATCCGCGTTCTTGAATCGCCAGTTCATCAACATCATGTCAGCCTGTGGGGTTCCCGACGCGCTCTTCGAGCAGTTGTTCGTCGAAGCAACGCAGGCTATCGAGGGGCTTCCAGAGCGAGCCGTGTTGCGCGACCTTACCAAGGACGATCTTGTCCTTTTCCAGCAGTACACAGAATTCCCAATGGTTCAAGTCATTGATGCTGGCTTCGCCCGAAACCCGATGATCCAGGACCTCGCGCGACTTGTGGAAGCCCGAGCTCTTCAAGACCTCAAGTGGCGCGCTCGAGTGAAGCTTGATATGGGAGTCTATCTCATCGGCGTGGCAGACGAGACAGGGTTGCTGAAAGAGGGCGAGGTCTTCGTCCAGTACCAGGTCACTGAGAACGATGAACCTGTAGTTGTAACCGGCGCCGTAGTCGTCTGTCGTGCGCCTGCTCTCCACCCTGGGGATGTCCGGACCGCAAGGGCCGTCGATCACCCACAGCTGCGTCACCTCAAGAATGTCGTAGTCTTCAGCATCAAGGGCGCCCGACCTCTTCCAAACATGTGAGTGATCGAAGTAAATGGTGCTAACGAGAAGGCTCGGCGGTGGCGACCTTGACGGTGACGGTGAGATCTGATTTCATGGTCCTTATTGACGTAAACAGACTTCACAGTCATCTGGGACCAGCGTTTTGTGGGTCCTCTGCGGATGCACACTCCCATGGACTACACTGCGCCTCCGCCCAAAAAGGTCAAAGAAGTCACCCAGTACGACTTGAACGAATGTTTCGTCCAGTACATCCTGGTGAGGTTTCGAGCTTCTCAGGCAGCTGACATTAGAACGACATCCTCGGTCAAGTCGACAACAGCCACCTGGCCCTGTCCGATCTTGAAGGTCCTACTGGCCCGAGGTGCCTGAAGCTCGCTGAGATCCACTCGGTATGTGTAGTGCGGTACAATCTTGCTAACTGCAGACGGCGTGAGTTCCATCAGGAGCTGATGGTGTGCACTTGCTGACTTGGGAAGAGTCGACTTTGCCAAGAGTGAGCCACCAAGAAGAATTGACGTGACTGACTAGTAGCTGGCATTGCAGCCGAGTTGACGACGGAACTCAGGCCAGAGAAGTGGCCCGACTTCATGGGGAAGGTGGGTCTGTTCATGTTTGTCGCCCACTAATCTCGAGCGACCCTCGCAGACCTACAAGAGCAAGAAGGTCTTGGGCGTTCTTTTCCGGCGCGTCCAAGCCGACCCAAAGTTTGAGCCCTCTGACATCCGTCGGTCTGCGTATGACCCGGAACACTGGCTCTGGGGCCACCCCCAGTATCACGACATTTACACCCGCCTCATGGCCGTGAAAGCAGGCTACGAGTGCGACATGCACTATGCTATGCGCCGGTTCTCTGCGACAGAACTCGAGATCGTTTCCGGGATCGTCACGTATCACAAGCAGAGAAAGACGTCGAGGGATATCACGGAAGTCAGCGTGAGTTTTGCATGGGCGATCAAACTGACGCGAGCAGGAATCCCTCAAAGACCACTACGAGCATATCACGAACCTGTGTCGCGAGCAAGCGCGCAAGTGTCTCGAGGGGTTCAGCCTTCCTGCCGGCTACACTGCCATGCAGATCGTCGCGGTGCACGCGTACTTCCTAACGTATGGCAAGCAGTTCATCCAGCAGTGGGAGAAGCAAGGTCCGCAGATGCTTTGGGACCCACAGGCTCCCCAGGCGCCATACGACCAGGATCTCCTCAAGCCCAAGTAAGTTGTGGCAAGCGGCGCCGCTGACAAGCAAAGGCCTATGGTTTCGTTTGCCTGGGTCTTCAGGCAAGAGCTTCTCGAGCTGGCGCAGATCTCGGCGTTCTGACGCGTTGTGGCTGTTACCGCGCCATTGTCCCGAAAGTTGCGCGCCGGTGACTGGAGATGATCGGGATCGTGAACGAGCATGCGGTGAGATGGTGCAAGCACGTCCACGTTGAGAGCATATGTGCGAGTCTGTGAAGAACATGACCAACTGTAGAGCCTTGTATCATGAATAAAAACATAAAAATTGTGCAGAGCCTCGTTGCATCAGTCAACAACGTCAGTCCAGTGGCCGCACGACGAAACAGGGGCTTAGTGGAGCATGGAGTAGAGAAGCGACTGAATTGACGCGAACGCGTGTCGCGTGTCAGCCGTCCGAAAGAGGCAAATGTCGAAAGCGCGTGAGTGTCTGCCGCGGTATGCCTATGCTCCTCAATCGCAGTGCCCCATCGGGACGTCGCACTCCGCGAGATCCTGGGTAGCGGTCCGGGCCTGTGGGCTATGGCCTGTGGCGACTGTAGTATCTGCAGCTGCACGGCCTGCACGGCGGTTCGTTGCAGCGTTGCAGCGATATCCGTGGTCAGCCATGTGTGAGTGAGATTCGAGGTCTCGAGGTCTCGAGGTGGTATATTGGTAGAGAAGGTGTGAGGCGCAGCGCAGCGGGCCTCGACTCAAGGGGCGTATCGGGCGTCCAGCGCCCTCGATCTGCGACATGCGACATGTGTAGCGTACTGCGCGCATCGTCGGACCGTCGAGCGTGCGCGCGAGCGGGGCGAGCGGGTCAGTAAAGAGTCTGGACTGGCGATCGGCCAAGAGACGATCTGGTCTACTGTGATCGCTCAGCACGCTCAGATAGACAGATGTGAAGGGACATCGAAGTGTGCGTCATAGAATCATAGGACGCAGTGAGGCCGAGGTGAGGAGGAGCCGATGCGTCATATTTTAGGAAGGAGAGTAAGGGAAGAAAGACTAAGGGTCAAACTACCTGTCTAATGGTCTAATGAGCAGTTGCGTGGTGTGCTGTTGAGCGCGGATCGCAGCGCCTGCAGCGCCAGCAGCGCAATGCATGAGTCATATGCCTGTGCACAGATGTGAGCGGCTGAGCGGACTGGGCACCCGCAGCAGCAGCTTCTCACACCCCGTTGCCTCGTTGCCTGCTTCGTATCAATGGCTCGCTCTGCGCTCTGCGGGGCTCGCTTGACGGCTGGCGATGCCGAACCCAGGCCGGCGGCTGCACCGCGGGCTACAACCGGCCGTGACTTTCCTGCGACGCTTCTTCATTCTTCACAATCTTCACGTACCCGTGCAGCTGCCGAACCGAACAGCGGTTCACTTCCTCGGCCAGGCCAGCCTGGCTCACGAGGTCAACAGGCAGAAAGCGCATTAACCGGATGAGGGAAGCCATTATGGGGTGCGGATTAGCGGGACCAATTCAGCACAAGGCTGCAGTAACAGGTACGCTCGTGAGGGTAAGGACGCCCTTGGCGCTGCCCTGTGCTGGCCCCTCACCACTGTTGGGGTCGCAGGCCTGTCTTCCAGGACTACAGACAACAGGCTCGCCAGGCGTCGGTCTCCGCAGGCACAAGGTCTTGTCTGTGGACGGACATGTCAGGTCCTGCGAGCCTACGCGAGCCTAATGATGAGCAAACCGTGCATGGAGTGACTTGCTGTGATTATTCTGGGTATAGGCGGTGCATAGTGTCTAGCATGCATGCGGAGGTGCGGGCATGCCGTGTAGCCCAGCAGGCAGCGTACGGGACGAAAGCAGGCAGAGCCATAGGCAGGCACCGTAGAGTGGTCCCATCACCCACCACCGCCGCCTAACGCCTGGCTGGCCTGGCTGGCCTGGCTGACTGGCGTGTCTGGGTGCTGGGCTGCCTGGGCGCCCGCCTGGCAGTCGACCATCCACGACCACCGTCCCTACCCTGGCCCCCGGCCCTTGCCCTTTGCCTCCCACCTGGCACTCTCGATCTCCATCCTGCCTTTTGCTCTCTTCAACTTCACTCAACCAACCACCTCTCCCACCTCTCTCCCTTCTTTCATCCATCCTCCCCACCCCTACTCCACCACCACCACCACATCAACAATGTCCGGCGAGATCAGAAGGAAGCTTGTCATCGTCGGTACGTGTCCCCCTCCCGCCGCGATCCCCAGTCCCAATCCCCACCACACACCGCGCGCCTGCCCAGCCCGCCCGCGCACTGTCGTGTTCCCCCCCCTCCCATTCACCAACAATGTCCGCCTCCAACCATCCCCTCTCGCCACTCCGCTTCGTCCGCTCTCCACCTCGAGCATGCACGCTCCGACCCACAGCATTACCACTTCTCCATGCGCATCTCTGCCCTCCCTATCTAGCCCCCAAGCATCCCCGCGCACAAAAGAAAACATGAAAACTGACTAGCAGGTGACGGCGCGTGCGGCAAGACGTGTCTGTGAGTTTTGCACCGCCGCGTGACACAGGGTTCCCTCCTTTCCACCCATCCCATCGTCGTGGTCGCCAATGGTGTTGTGTTTTGCGGCGTTTGTGAGCGTGCGATCGAGCGCAGTCACAGTCTCAGACAGAGGTGCAGGTGCATAAGCGACTTGCGCCGCCGCCGCGCTTTTGCCGCACAACCGCAGTCATGCGGACACACACACACAAACGCACTTGTGATTGCGATGATGCCGAGGAAGATCTGGGAACCCGCACGCTATCGATGCAACCCCCGTGCCAGTACTGACGTCTAGTCTCATCGTCTTCAGCAAGGGCATGTTCCCCGAGGTACGTGCGCGCTTGGGCCTTGATCCTTCCCTCCTCATGGCGATGGATCAGGCTGCTTCTCCGGGATGACACGCGGACCGACCCCGCTAACAAGATCAGGTCTACGTCCCCACCGTCTTCGAGAACTACGTTGCCGATGTCGAGGTCGATGGCAGGAAGGTTGAGCTGGCCCTCTGGGATACCGCTGGTCAGGAGGACTAGTGAGTTGTCGCTTATGCCAATAACTCGATGACTAACGTCACAGCGACCGTCTCCGTCCCCTGTCGTACCCCGACTCGCACGTCATCCTTATCTGTTATGCGGTCGACTCGCCCGACTCGCTGGACAACGTTCAAGAAAAGTGGATTTCCGAGGTCAAGCACTTCTGTTCGGGACTTCCCATCATCCTCGTCGCGTGCAAGCAGGACCTGCGTGACGACCCGAAGACCATCCAGGACCTCGCCCGCATGAACCAGCGCCCCGTCACCAGGCAGGAGGGGCAGGCCGTTGCCCAGAAGATCGGAGCTACCGCCTACGTCGAGTGCTCGGCCAAGAACGGAACCGGTGTTCGCGAGGTCTTCCAGACGGCCACCAAGGCTGCCCTGTCGGCCAAGAGGCAGGGAAAGAACGGCAAGCCCAAGAAGCCTTGCGTCGTCCTCTAGATATGTAACTTATAGCGAGCTCTGCGTGTCTCTGGGCGCACGCTCCGCCCGAGCTTGATCCCAACCTTTGTAATGCTACCCTCGACGCCGTTTCATTCATCCTCTCATCCTCAAGATTTCCCTCTCCTATCCCCTACGATGTGCAGTCGCTCTTTGGATCGCCCAGCTCCAAGGCGTTGTTCATAATCAAACACCACCTTACCACGCTGTCGTCTCCATCACCTGCCTGTTACGCTTCCACCGACGAACAAACGCACCACCCTTATCCCCCCCTCTCTCTCCCAACACCGCTACCGTTTGACGATACCTATTTGTGATTCTTTGCCTCTCTGGAAATATCCCTATTACTTGTGGGCTGCGACTGGGGGCAAATGAACGGCATAATCTTCCCTTCTACTGGCCCGTAGCCATTGATGTTATGAGTGAAAGAGTTGCCTGTCAGTGGAGATTTGGCGATCTGAGCTCTCATGAGGAGTTTATGCAGCAGGGGCATGCGGGCAGTCAGTGCGGAGCAGAGTGCAGATGCGCATGCCAGAGTATGCCCGGAAAACGGCATGAGCGGAGGCTCGGAGATCGGAAGCTGTGCATGGAAGTACAGGTTGTGGACGCGTTCGGAAGTCGAGCGAGCGAGCAATCTCTGAGTAGTGGTGTGCGGCTGTGCTGCAAAGTGAGACGATCGAGGCAGGGTCCGAACCCACTGCGGCGAGCCGAGGGGGCGACCAGGCGACTGGCTGGCCGGACCGCGTCTGTCGCGTATCATCCCCAAGTCCAGCCAGCGAATGACAGCTGTAAGCTCAAGCAGCAAGGCACGGGGCCACGTGCTGCTGCGTGCTGGCTGGTTGAGCAGGCTAGGCTGGCGTCGCTGGTGTCCAGCTGCGACGCCAGACTGGCAGCCCTTGACGTGACGAGAACGAGCACGACCGGAGTGGAGGCCCGCAGTGACAGGGAGGAATCAGCCCGCACATCCCGGTCAGGCAACACCTTGCAGGTACAGACAGCCACGACCTCGTCAACATCTCCTTCGAGCACATACACTACCTTCCCTCGCACCGCACCCCTCACGTCACCTCGCCCGGACTTAAGTGAGGATGAGCAACGATGAGCGGATAGACCCCGCGCCGCCGCTTGAGCAGACCCAGCAGACCGACACCACCGACACCAACAACAACCCTCCACCAGCACCCGAGTCCGGCGAGACGGGCGAGAGTGCGCAAGGCGCGAGCGCGACGGATAGCGCACCGGCTCCCAAGACTACGGAGCCCGAGCACACAAGCACGGATCTGGCCGCCGCCGACCATGCGAGCCCGTTGAGCCAGACGGACAACGATGACGGAGCAACTCATCAGGGTGAAGTGATCGGCAAGGTCACGCCGGAAGACGGAGTACCAAGCAAGGAAGACACACCACCACCGGCAACGAAAGACGAGCCTGAGGCCAAGGAGGAGCCCGAGCAGGTGTCCAAGCTCGCGTCGCACCCGGCTCAACCTGCACCGGCTGAGGAGTCGTCCTCCACACAGCCTCCAGAGGACAAGGACGAGATCAAGGCTCTCCCCACCACCGTCCTCTCACCACCGACATCGAGCGACGCCGCGTCTCTCCCCGAAGTCTCGCCCAACATGGTCGAAGGCTCCGCGACGCCGAAAGCGAAGACTCCCGCTTCTTCTCCCGAACAGCCCGCCGTCGAAGCGACTCCCGCCCCGTCCAAGGTCCCCGTCACCGAGCCCGGACCAACACCAGCCCCCGTCCCCGTCCCCCAGCCCGGCGCACCCGCCAAACCCCCACCAGGCGCGCCGCCAGAGTCGACCCAGCCGACGCCAGCACGCACGGAGGGCTTGGCGGCGTTCCAGACGCCCGGGGCGTCAACGCGCATTTCGCCAGATCTCGCCGAGTTTGACCCGTTCGCGACGCCAGCGACGCCTGTACCGAACAAGCCGGCGCCGAAGGCTGCTCAGCCTGGCCAGCCGCCGAAGCTGCCCCAGCGGCCGCATATCCGGACTGACTCGGTGCGCTCTTCGGGTGCGCCGCCTCCTCAAGCGCACGGTCAGGGTGGACAGCCAGCGGCAGGCCCGTCGAGGTCACAGCGTCCGTCTAGACCGAACTCGCGACCGGGTAGCGGACAGAGGAGCGCCCAAGGCAGTGCCGCGGGAAGTAGGAGCGGGACGCCCAACCCCCGCCGACAGAGTAGCGAAGACAATGAGCCCGCGTTCAACTTTGCTGGCTTTCTGAGGGACCTGAAAGTCAAGTCTGCAGAGCCCGTCGCGCGATACTTGAAGAGGTCAGTTGACAGCTTGCATACCGAAACTGACAAACAGCTTCCTGACCAACTTTTCCAAGAAGCCGTTCACGGTGAATGAGCAGATCAAGTTGATCCGGGACTTCCTCGAGGTATGTCTTCAGCTTAGTAGGCCGCAACTGTCATAGCTAACTCTCAGTTCATTTCGGAGCGGATGCGCGGCGTCGAGCCGTGGAAGTCGCAGTCCGAGGCCGAATTCGACAATGCGCTCGAGGCGATGGAGAAGCTCGTCATGAACCGCCTCTATCCCTACACGTTCACGCCGCAGATCTCGCCCACGACGCCCATCACGACAGACGACCTGGAGCGCGATGCCGTGTTTGCGCAGCGTGTCCGGCTCTTTGGCTGGGTGCGCGAGGGCCACCTCGACGTGCCGGAGAGCGAGGCGGCGGCGGGATTCCTGGGGTTCGCGGAGCAAGGTGGGTGTCGCAGGCGTCGCATAGCTTGAGGACTCTTACAACGTTAGCTGACAACAGAACTCCTCAAGATCAACCACTACAAGGCACCCAGGGACAAGATGATCTGTATCCTCAACTGCTGCAAGGTCATCTTTGGCCTCATCCGGCATACGTCCGGCAACGAGGCCGGCGCAGACGCCTTCATCCCCATCCTCATCTTTGTCGTCCTCCGCGCCAGTCCGGACAACATGCTCAGCAACCTCGAGTACATCAACCGGTTCCGGAATCCCGAGAAGCTGACGGGCGAGGCGGGGTATTACCTGAGCAGTCTGGTGAGTCGACTCCGAGCGTAGCGAGGAACCTCAGTTCGATAGGAGCAGCTGCACTAAGCTCGAGAACAAGCTGACAAGCAGAGCGGCGCGATCCAGTTCATCGAGACGATGGACGCCTCGAGTCTCTCCAACATAACGCAGGATGAGTTCGAGGCCAACGTCGAAAAGGCGATCCAGGACCTCCCCTCCAGTCCTACCTCGCCACGCAGTCAACAGCGCTCCTCGGCCGACATGTCCATGTCCCCCTTCGCGACCTCGCCGGGGGAGGAGGCGGCGCGCCCCCTCGCTCTCCCCGCAACCGCAGCCGCGCTAGACGGCACGCGGCGCTTCTTCCAGCGCACAGGCGACGCGGCGAAGGAGGCTGTCTCGCGCCCTCTGAGCGCGATCGGCAAGATACTCCAGGACATGCAGGCTCCCGGCTCCGAGTCGGGTGAGGACACGGAGGACGAGCGCGAGCGCGCGAGGGCCGAGTACGAACACAGGCGGCGGGCGAGTGCGGGCGGCGCGAGCGTGCACAGCCAGCATAGTGTGCACAGTCAGCACAGCGCGCACAGCCAGCATAGCGGGCAGGGCATCCCAGTGCCAGGTGGCACAGCTGGCACGCCGAAGACGCCGTCAAGGCTTCTGGCGCAATTGGGGTTGAGCCCGGGGGACAGCAGACAGGGCAGCGAGCAGGGCACGCCGCTGGCGACGCCGCCAGAGTTCAGGCCAGGCGTGCCAGGCGTGCCAGGCGAGCCATACACGCCCGTGCCGCCTTCGCAGGCGTTTCAATCCTTGACAGCGAGAGAGCAGCGAGAACAGCGCGAGCGCGAGATGAGGGAGCAACAGACCCCATCCCATCCCCCAACTCATCAGCACCACGCACCCCTGCCTGCAAACTATGCGCGCACCCACCCCCACCACCAGCAGCGGTTCACGCCACCCCCGCCCTCAAACCTGTACCGGCAGCCCCACCCTCCTCCAACCTACACGCCCCCACCACCACCCTCCTTCCATCCCTCTCCCGAAGAGCTCGAACGCCAGCGCGACCTCGAAGAAAGACAAAGAGAACAAGCACACTACGACCAGGCCCTGGCCGCGAGCCAGCGGGAACTCTTCGACGCACATTCAAGGGAACAGGCGAAACTCGCCAATGTCGCGACGCTCACGCAGATGTTCCCGGCGCTGGATGAGGAGATTGTGACGCTTGTACTCGAGGCGAGTGGCGAGGATTTGGGCGTTGCTATTGACCGGCTTTTGGAGATGTAGTCGGGCTCCATTGGGCAGGGGAGAAGTAGAGCGTAGAGCAAAGTGGAATCTATTATGCATTGTAACGAGTCATACGAGTTCCATGGCTATCATATTCCTGGTATCTCCGCCTAGTTTCTATCACGATGGCTCATCTCCAGCCGCCGCCCTCGCCCTCGCCTTCGGCTGGGGCTCGGGAACGCTCGCTGCGCTCGCTTACAGCAGCACAAGCTTCGCGGCACTCTTGCCCAGCGTCTTGTTAGGCAGCACGATACAGCTCCTCACATGCACCTCGGGCATGAGCGCGACCTCACTCGCGAGCACGCTCACGGAAATGTCGCGCTTGCCCTCCTCGTCCTCCCTTTCCGGCTCGCCGTCAACTCGAGCCCACAGGCCAAGGCTGCACCTCTCGCCCACGATGGCCTGGCTCACCACCGCATGCGAGGCGAGCTCAGAGCCCTCCATCACCATAGCGTTGCATATCCTCACGCCGTCGCCGACCTGCACGCCCGGGCCGATGGCGACATTGGGCCCAATCTTGGCGCTGGCGTCGATAGATGCCGACGGGTCGATGTACACCGGCTCCACGATTGTGGGACACGAGGACTGGTCCTTTTGTTGGTCTTTCTGCTGGTGGTACAGCAGCTCCGGGTGCTGAGCCTTGTAGCTGTCCAGGTAGAGCGCGGACGCGGCCAATGCCGACGCCGCAGTCTTGATCTGCCGCCACGGCTCGGTGCAGACGAACACGGTCATCTTCCGCGCTGCACTGAGGGGCGCAATCACGTTCTCCTCCAGCTGCAGCTTCTCGTCCGACGGCGCTAGGGGGTTGAGGGATGCTCGGGCTGTCTTCTCGTCCATCGCTACCTTGATGCTGTCGAAGACCGCCTTGTCGAACACTGCCGTTAGCTGACTCCAAGGACATAGGGCAGCTGGGGATAATGAGGGTGGAGTCGCACCGGAGAGCACCCTCGGTGCTGGACTCGGTGGCGATCTGGAGTGCGACGCCGATCACTCTGCCAGCGCACAACTTCCAAGACACCCGACGGCGAACCAATCTCTCGCCGCGTACTCACGGTACACTCCGCCGTTGACCGTATTGGAGATGTAGCTCTCCGGCTTCTCGACATAGTGCAGCACGACACTCGTGTCCGGGTCGTACACGATGCAGCCGTACTTGGACGCATTCTCCTTCTTGACCTGTGGGTGTCAGCTTCACAACGCCTTGCGTAGCTGTGTCCGGGTCGAGCGTTGCTGTCTTATTCCCGTCCGCCAGTGTTCCAGCCGCGAGGTAGACCCGCAGCCCTCGCTCCGCTCACGCAGCTCGCAGGAGACTCACCGGTACACCCATGATCGTTCCGACACCGCGGTGCTTCGTGTGCACGTCGAGCAGCTTCTCGAACGGGAACGTCGAGCAGATGTCAATGTTGCAGATGAAGATGTGGTCCGGCACTGGGGCGCGCAGGATCGCGTCGCGGAAGTGGTACAGCCCGCCTGCGGTGCCGAGGGCCTTGTATTCGCGGAGGTAGCTGGGGTTAGCTACCGCATGACACAAGTAGCAGATCGAATGCGACTCGCAGAGCAGCGCCGCTCTGGAGGAGTAGCCGAACAGTTGTCCAATGGACACGGAGCTGCTCAGATGATTGAGGAGCGCATCTCAACGACGACGGGCACCAGTGAGGGGTCTGCGAGCGTGCGGTTGGCTCACGCCTTCGGCGCTCGCCTGCTCTCGGTGACTCACGAAATCTTGATCTTGGGGAACTCGCGCTGCGCCTCCTTCACGAACGGGGCCATGACGCTGTCCTCATAGAAGCCGATGAGGAAGACATCGGTGAGTCCCGGCACCTGCGCGAGCGCCGCGAGAGGGTGCCACACCATGGGCTGGGCGTTAGCTATCCCAGCTTGCAACAGCTATGCATACCTTGCCCGCGATGGGGAGGAGGGGCTTGGGGCCTGTGATGTCAGCTCGACGAACGTTGAACAGCAGATCGGGTTCGGGGTCGATTATGTTGACGTTGATGTGGGTAGGTGTAGAGGGCGTGATGCGCAGCGGATGATGATGGCGCACTGAGGGACACTCACAGTCCAGAGTCAGAGGACGCATGCGGGTACCCTTTGAGGGGCCGCCGACGAGGATGACGCCCTTTGTGACTGGGGCCATGGTTGCTGGAGTGTTTGCTGATGATAAGAAAAGTTGTTGATGATAACAACTCGACAGTGTATGTAGGTTGCGATGCGCTGGCGGTCCCGCGGCAGTGGCAGGCTGAGCAGGCTTGGCTGGGCTGGCTGACTGCGGGGTGTCGATCACGGCGAGGAAACGTGGTTGAGCGTGTCGGCAGTGACGAGGCGGCGTCAGAACTCAGGGTCTCCCAACCGCGTCCGCCCGGATGCACCCCGGAAGAAGCATTGCAGCGAGGTGTATTAGAGTATTAGCATTTGGGTTGTAATTGCTCCAGGCACTCATTTGAGTCCGGGGTGCTCTTCTTAGTTGCTAGAACCAAACGCACAGACAGCTCTCGCTGTAGTGTAAGATGAGCTCCGCCAAGTCGCCTCGACCACGCGCCTTCCCGCTCCACGTCTCTGACATTGAGCGATGAACAATAGAGGCAACCCCCCTCAGCCCGAGACTCTGGAACCTGCGCATAGCCCAAGTTTGGTCTCTCGCGTCGTTTCGGCAGCCCCCATCCATGCTGCGAAACTGCGTGTTCCAATGTCCCAAGTGTGTTTCGGGTTCAGTGTCCGGGCCTGGCGGGACAGACTCGTGCAGTGGTAGCCTCGACTGGAATCGCAGTCAACATGAGTCGCAGCCCGTGCACTGTCGCCTCTATTGGTTCAACTGGACCGCGGACGATCCAGATGGCGTACAACTCTCCGGCGCTAGCTCGTGGCATGCAGCTTCATGTCGAGACATGACGACGAAGTACAGACTGACCGAAAAAAATCAGGCGCTGACTCATCTACCCGATTATTCGATTACGGGCGCCAGACCCACTTCCATGGCGCCGGCGGCGTCATGGCTTGCGTCCCTATGATCAGTCAGCGACCGCCTCGGCTGCACCGATGCATGAGGATTACTTGTTTGTGGGCATAGATCCTGGCAGAGAGTTCGGTGACTGCTTGGTGTGGGTGAGAGTGGTACGGTGTGGTTCAAAGTTGAGGCTTCCCCTTGGAGTGTAACAGCTTGAGAGGATGTTACGTTAAATCTGTGACAGGACCTGGACGCGTCTCCCTGATGGATTACCTGATCGGGAAGGCGTCAAGCCATGCGAGTGAGTGCGAAGAGGCGAATGAAGAGCAGAGAGAGATGTACGCAGGTCGTCGTCGTCCCACTGGGAATGATGGATGAATGCATCGGCCCCCGTGTGGTGTTGAGTTGTAGAGTGTGGATTTAGCTCTGATCCAGAGAACGCGGTCACCCTCGAGTGAAGCTGGGCAAGAGTAATGTCGCTTAAGTGATCCCCCCCCTTGTGAGCTTTCGGTTGAGCCCTGGCGCGCCTTGGCTCTGGGCCTGCCTATGATTCGACCCCCCGCGCAGAGAGCCCGGGGCCTTCTCACAGCTCACCCACCACTGTACACGCTGCTCACCACTGCACCCATCATAGCCCCCTCGTAGCTGGTTGGGAGAAGCCCTCTCTCACACCCTTCATACCTAGCTGACCCTCAATCCACCCCCTCACCCTCATTCCCTTACCTCACTACCACTACTACACTACTCGACACCCACACTCCGCACCTCCCCCCTTCCTCTCTCTCTCTCTCTCATTCTTGCATACACCTCATCCCGACTTCTCCATCACCACCGGGCTCGAGCGAGCCCAAGCTTGTCCGTTTCTCCTCCCGAAACTCACCCAACCACTCCAGGACTCGACTGATCCCCCTCGACCTCCTCTCCCTACTTGTCCCGACCAACTCTCTCATACGTCACATTTCACCCTCATTCGCCCCCCCTCCCATCCGCAGACGACACCACCACCAACCCACATTCCATCCCACACCATGGCGCTCGTCGTCACCGCCGTCCACACCTTTGTGGCTGAACACGACGACGAGCTCGAGTTCCAGGCTGGCGACAAGATCACCGTCATCGAAAAGGACGAGGCCTTTGGTGACGGATGGTGGAGAGTGAGTCCCAGTTTCAGAACCCTCAGCCGAGCGTCAATTCGTCGTGCGCGCGCCCTTTGCTGGGCGGCCTTGCCTCGTGCAAGGCTGCAGCGCTCCTCCAGCAGACAGCACGCCGCCTTGACTGAGCGTTACGGGCTGTTCTCGCCATGATGCGTGCTTCTCTGAGCGTCACATTTTCGGCCGCGATCGCTGACACTCTTCCCAGGGCCGAAACACCAAAGGCGAAGAGGGCCTGTTCCCTGCGACCTACATCTCCGAGTCGTCCGCTGAGACGACATCAGCCGCTGCCCCGCCGGCATCCACGGATGCACAGTCTTCCGCCATAGCCCAGCAGCCGGCCGCGCCAGTGGATGCCGGCGTTGCTGGAGCCGACTCGGCCAAGGGACCGAATGGCCTTCAGGACTCGGCTCCGGCTACCGAGCCCATTCCTCCCACCTCCCAGCAAGTGCCCGCGGCCGCCGCCGCTGTACCTGGTACGGTCAATGGCTGTTGCAGCGGCGCTAACGCTCCAGCTTCTGTCCCCCCCACCTCTGGCCCTGCCAACGGCATCAACGGCCATGCGTCCGAGGACGAGGGCCGCCAGCGCGACTCGCTGCTTGATGAGTCTGGCGCCCCGCGGTCTGCTGTCACTACCGGCGCGGCTGCGCAGAAGCCAGCCGGGAACGTTATGGGATCGACGATCGACGACGTCCAGGGGGCGCTCGAGGAGCACATTGCCAGCTCGCCGTCGTCGACGCGTGGCCTGAAGAACTTCGAGACCGACAAGAAGGACGGTTTCGAGTCCCGGGACCAGACCGATGACGAGGGCGGTATGGGAATCACCTCGGATGCGCGTGCCCGCCTAGCCGAGCAGGCCAAGCTCGCCAACGAGGAGCGAGACCGTCAGGCGCAGCGTGAGAGCGGCGGCGTAGCTGGTCTCATCTACTCTGACGAGAGCGACGATGAGGATGATGAGTCTCACCACTCGCGTCGAGGAAGCGGTATCAACGGCGACCGCTACCACCAGCAGCACATGGGCGGTGGTATCGCTAGAGGCAACAGCACCACCGGATCCCATGGTTATGGCATCAGCCGGCCAGAGCAGCAGCTCGCGCCCGTCACCGATGCCGACTACAGCCCGCCCCAGCAGCAGCAACAGCGTCTGCCTCAGCAGCAGCAGCAGCACCAGCAGCAGGTTCCCTACCAGTCTCAGCCCGCTGCCTACCAGCGGTCACCCGAGCCGGCGCAGGCGGCTACAATGCCTCCTGTCGACCATGTTGCGTCCCGCTCGCCTGGCCAGCAGGCTGTTGAGACTATCCCTCCCGTGTCACACCCCGAGGGACCTCACTCTGCTGCCCAGTCCCCCGAGATGCACTCTGGCTCGACCCTGCCTCCCGGCGCTGCCGCCGCTGGTACCGGCGCCACCATCGCCGGTGTCACCGCTGCTGCTGCGACCGCCGCGGCGTACCGACAGGGTGGAGCCCCCGCCGAGCCTTCGCCTCCCGCCAGCAACGACTCTCGGGGAGCCGGCAGCCCTGCCTTAACACCCTCTGCGCGATCGTCCTCGTTACCGAGCCGCTCGCCCCTTGTGGGCAATGCAGCTCTGCCTCCCACTCCTTCGCCCCAGAAGGCTGCCATGGCCCCCCTCCCTAGCACCGGATCAGCTCCCGGCTCGGTGCAGGGCACGCCCCACACCGACGCCGTTGAGCAGCTGCAGCCCGCTCTTCCCCTCCCTCCTACTCCCAACAACGCCAACCTCGCAAACTCCCAGTCGTCCCAGGCTCCCCAGAGCGTCCAGTCGCCTACCTCGGCCACCCCCGTCACTCCGGGAACCGCCGCGCGCATGCCCAAGTCGCCTCCCAACACGTGGACTGTCAACGAGGTCGTGGAGTGGGCGCACAGCCGCGGCTTCGACCAGTCTGTCTGCGACAAGTTCATCGAGCACGACATTTCTGGTGACGTCCTCCTCGAGCTCGACGCGAACCTCCTCAAGGAGCTCGACATTCCCCAGTTCGGCAAGCGTATCCGTATCGCCCAGGCTATCAACGAGCTCCGCCGCCCTGCCTCCCACGGCTCGGCCAACTCGATCCCGCAGGGTGGTGTCGACCAGGGCCACGGCAGGAACGCGTCGATGCCTCCCAGCTCGTACACTGGTTCCGTTTACGGCGGAAGCAACGCTGCTGAAGACCAGCAGGGCTGGGGTGGTTCGCACAGCCGCAAGGTCAGCACGACGCCGAGCACGCAGCCGATCGACGAGTCGCGTGTTGCTGATGTGCACCCGCACCCTGCCAGCACACCGACGCACTCCCACTTCGCCGTGGTTAACAACGCTAACGGCGGAACTTCTCAGCACCCCCACGGCACCCCGAGCCAGACCCCGCACTCGAGCACGATCGCCTCGAGCACGCAGCGCTCATCCGCTTCGACGCCCGCCAGCCCGTCGACGACCGTCGTTAAGCGCGACTCGTCCTCGTCCCTCGGCCACAAGAAGGGCAAGGGCTCGATGGACAAGTCGGACCGCCTCAGCTTCTTTGGTCGTGCGCGCAAGCCGGCTCCCGCGCAGCCTCCCGGATCGCATTCGAGTGGCCCGCGCCTGCCGTTCACCAAGCAGACGAACACGATGACGGCCGACCGTCCCGAGAAGCGCATGTCGAGCAGCAACGGCACGCAGGCGCCGATCGGCGGAGCGCTCCAGAAGATTGGCAAGCCCGACAAGACGGGTTACCTGAAGAAGCGCGGCGAGCGATACAACACGTGGAAGCAGCGCTTCTTCGTGCTCAAGGGCTCGCACCTGTACTACCTGAAGAGCGAGAACGAGGACCGCGTCAAGGGCCACATCGATCTGAAGGGCCACCGCATCATTGTCGACGAGAACACGAACCCGGGCAACTATGGCTTCCGCCTAGTCGGTCCGGGCAACGAGAAGGTGCACTACTTCTCGTGGCCGGAGCGCACGCAGATCCGTGACTGGATGAAGGCGCTGATGAAGGCGACGATTGCGCGTGACTACTCTGTCCCGGTAACGTCGTCGTGCAACATTCCCACGATCCCGCTCGCCGAGGCGCAGGCACTGCAGCCGCGACCTCCCTCGCCCAGCGAGCGCGAGGCCGTTCAGCGCGCCAACCGCCGCGAGAACGCCAACCAGCTCACGCCCCGCGATGCGTCCGTGCTTATGGCGCTCGACACGACTGGCAGCGGGGGCAAGCTCATGTCCGGCCACATGTCGCTCATGCCCTCGCGGCCGGGCCGCGACACGCGCCGCGCATCGACCGGACGGAGCTCCAACGGCGGACGCCCGATCAGCTCCGTCGGCGCCGGCCGTCCTAACAGCACTGGTCGTCCCTCGGTAAGTAACTGGCTTCAGCCCTCAGTGCCTCAAGCTAACGTCAGATTGCGTCGTACTACCCGCCGGACGACGACCCGAACCCGCAGGCGGCCGACCTGATGCAGTGGGTGAACCGGACGCTGCCGCCGCAGTACCCGCGCGTGGCGCACTGGCCCAACTCGTTTGTGTCGGGCGAGGTCATCTTCCTCATCGTGAAGCACCTGGCCGGCCTCGAGCCCGTGCCGCCGGTACCTGCGTCTGCGTTCAGTCCGGACCAGTCGGGCCTCGCGAACGTCGACGGTCTCTTCGCCATGATGGACATTGTCATCGACGCGGGCATCGACAGCGCCGGCGTGAGCCTGAACGACATTCGCGCTGGTGACGCACACGCCATAACGCAGCTCCTGCAGGGCGTCCGCGGCTGGGCGGCCCAGCGCGGATTCCCATAGGCGCCCATAGGCGTATACTCAAAATGCTTCCCCCGGACCGCAACGCATACCCCACCCCCGTGCTATCTGTGATCTCAGCAGCGCGCCCTCCCGCTCCTTCCTATAGTGCAACCTACATCCACCCACCCCAACCTCCAGCCTACCTCCAGCCAGCCCAGCTCTTATCCATTTCCTCTAGAAAATATAATTATTATCCACACCAACACCAACAATTGCCCCGACCCATCCCTCCGAAGCCGTCAGCGAGACACGCAGTACGGCCAGGACAAAGGCACAGCGGGGCAACAGTGAAAATAGGCATTTCGTATAGCATCTCTTTTTCCTAACCTCTTTTTTTCTCTCTTACTTAGTATTAACCCCCCCTTTTTTGGCAGTGTGACATGATGAATTTGGGAGGTGATCTCGTGCTTTGGAAGCAGGGCGAGCGGAGCGGTGCTGGGTAGCCGTGACGCTGGATTCAAAAGGTGTTGCAGAGGGCGAGGATTGATGTGGACAAAGGGGGCCAGTCAGAACGAGCTGTTGAAGTGCCCAGTGAGCAAGTCAGTCAAAAGTGACGGGCAAGCCGATCCTGCGCCGCAGGATCCGCAGAACACGCCGTAGAACACGCCGTAGAACACGCCGTAGAATACGGGGAATGGGTGAAGTGGGGTCGAGGGCGCCGCAGTTACATGAACAGCCGCGGAGCTCGGAGTGTGCGGAGCGTGCGGAGCGTGCGGAGTGTGCGGGGGATGAGGGGAGGTGGCGCCGCAGTCCGTTATCTAGCGTCATTATATGTGACCAGACCAGTGTCTGTGGTCTGTGCGTGCGCAGGCTGGCCAGACACAGCCAGACACAGCCTGGCCAGAACAGAGTTAACAGAGGCAGGATCGAGGTCTGGCTTTAAGTACCTGCGAGGTCTGCAGTTACTGAGCATGTGGCGCTGTGGCCATGTGGTCAGGTGGGTGCGGGTACGCGGGTTGCGGCAGTAGCGTACTAGACCAGGAGCACGATCACCGGGTGATCGACCGGGGGGATGCACGTTATGCACGTTCATGGTCAACTGGGTGCGGTTGGCCAACTCCACCGGTTCCACCCCAGTAGTGGCTCCGGAACGGACCTGCTCCCAAAGGAATCCTGAGCTGAGTCTTGCAAAGGGGTGAGTCACGTCCCAGCATGCCCAGCAGTGTGCATGCCGCCAACTTGGCCGGACAACAGAGCGGCAGCCAGAACAGAACAAAAAGGGCGCGCGGGTCCAACGTCTGAAGTCGCGTCTCGCGTCTCGCGTCTCAACATGCTTGTCCTGAGCGGCCAAACTTCTGGAGGAGGAAGAAGGCGGCTTCCCACCACGGTCACCAAGGTCAGGTTTCATGTTCAGGTCAGAAAGAGACCCGGGGCGCGGAAGCGACGGAGAGACGAAGGCTAGGCACCGCGCGGGACTGTTTCCCCCCCTCGAGTAGCCTGGGGATGTGTGTGCTATCTTTGCTCCGCCGCGCTTCTCGCAGAGCTACATACATGTCTTGAAGACGGACAGTCATAATGGGCCAACTGAAGGAAAGTTTGGCGTTTCAAGGTAGAGAGTGCTTTGCTTTGCTTTGTTCCTTCTCTGCCTGTTCCGAGGACGACTGGCCTTGACTTCCAAAAGCGAACTTGACGGCCTCAGCGGTACATGTACAGTTTATCTGCTGTCCCAAGACGAGGACGCGGACACCGCAAGGAACGCCGAGAAGTCCAGGAGCACTCCAGGAACTCCCACCCGCTATCAGCGATCGTATCACTCTCCGCCCGGCGCGCTCCGTGGTTGGTCAGAAGGGCGATCGTCACTGCCTGATCCGCATGCAAACAAGGACCAGCCAGCCAGCCAGTGGAAGGCTGGCAGGCTGGCAGGTTCATGGCCTCAGCACAGCGCGCGCCGCGCCGTTCCGAACACTCCGCCGGTGTGTCCCTGCAATGCAGCCCGGAGGGCCCGGAGGGGAGGCGAAAACCCTGGGGTTGAAATGTGCGGCCGCGCCGAATGCGCCAACGCACTCACGCACCCACGCCCAGAGCGCCAGGCGCGCCAGCTTTGAGCGCCAGTCTGGCGCCAGATTGCGCGAGATGGGTGGGACTCCCGGGCTGGCTGGGCTGGCCTCGTCCAGTGTAGAGTCTGCAGCTGGCAAGAGCTTGTATCGACTTGTAAACCCTGAAGCAGCATTCTATAAGAAACCATGCTTCCCTTACACGTCTTACTCGGCCCTGAGCTCGATCTCCCAAACCGTACTTGCCGTTCAGCTATGCAGGAGACGGTCAAAGGAAACTACCATGCCACTTTCAGACTGCTAGCAATGCGGCCGCTGGAAGCAAATTGCTGAGGGGACAGATTGACGGACCCGAGGCCCGAGGCTCAGGTAAGATACGGCATCGACGGCAGCACGGTAAAGACGGGACGTACAGGTCAGGCAGATCGCCCGTCAGCCCGTGCTCATTGCAGCGCCGATCGGACCGATGAACCCGCTGAGCACTGCCGCATGCAGCATTGATTGATTATGAAAGGGGATGGTCCGAAAGTCTCAGCGAAGGCTTTTGGTTTTGTATCTCTTTTGTCGTCGTAATCTCTTACTTTGGTGCTCGGAATCGTCTCTGGATCAACGATGACATACTGGACGGGACACAGAAAGGAAGGGGCGGACAAGCTTAAGAAGACTATGTCTTGGATAGAGGTTGTATGTGCAGCCATGCAGAGAGAATGCTGTGCCGGTGGTGGGTTCGGGCAAGACCAAGGAGAAGGGGAATAGTCTAAGGGTCGACTAAGGGGAAGGGAGGGAGTGGCCCGTGTGGGATGGAAAAGAGTTGCAGTAGTGGATGAAAGCAGTAAAAGAGAGGAAAATGGGTGGAAAATCGGTTCCTGGGGGGACCCTCGAGACCCTCAAAAGCTCAAAAGTCTGTCTGAACTTGGTGTCTCTGGTCGCTGATAGCGCGTCGTCTCTAGTCGCTGACCGCGTGCTCTCTTGGTCTGGCGCGCGCGCGTCGAGAGACTGACTGGTGATGCACGTCCTCCGCCCCTCCGCCCTCTCCCCTTGCTCCCTCCTCCGCCTCCCGTACCTCCCTCCCCCTTCCGTATCCGTACCTCACCGTACCAACGCCACGGCCTCCACGACGCACACTCACCCACTCTCATCCCAACTTTTTTATTTCATCTCTCTCTCTCTTCCTTTCCTTCTTTCCTCTCCCTTCTCCTTCTCCTCCAACCTTTGACTGACTGACGACGCACTAAGTTCGTTAGTTAGCTCACTCTCTCTTTCTTCTCTCTCAACACTAAACCCCCGCGCAAAACTAGCAACCATGGCTTCCGTGAGTATATCTCTCCTCGCCTCCCATCAAACAAATCATCAGTGCAATCTGGGGTCGGGCCCTGGAAAGCTTGATGCTTGGTCCCGATAAGCTACATCCAGCAGCGACAACGCACCGACAGCGACCGCCATGCAGCGCACAGCATGCAGCAGTGATGCTCCGCTTCTCGCAAGCTGCAAGCGCGGTTGATCAGCGCGAGGTCATCCATCAATCTGGACGAGCAGCCATGGCATCGGCTCGGCGGCTGAGTCAGCTCGCGCACCGCTCGCACCTGCCCCGACTGCCAGCGAGGCCGCGCCGGTGTCCGTCTTGTCTGATGGACGTGTTCATCGCGAGCTGCACTCCGGCGGAGTAATTCATGAATTGTGGATTTACCCATGGAGGCGCGGGGGCGAGCGCCGATCCGTTGGACGCGCCCAGCCGCCCAGCCGCCCAGCGCGGGCAAGTGCACGCCTCGGCTTGGCATACCACTCAGCGCAAGCGATGCGGTATGCGCGATTTACAGCTGCTGCTGGTGCTTTGGGACTATGGATGATCGGCCACACCCCTGATTACCCCGCAGAAGACAGCAACTGACGCCCATGCAGCAGCAGCAGGAGAAGACCGCGGACATCACCACCGTCGGCCACAACAAGTTCGGCTTCGACTCGGAGATGGACGTCGCCACCCTTCGTTCCCTCTACCTCGTAAGTTTTCCTCTCACGTAATGTTTCGCGTCTAGTCGCGGTTGACGGCGGTGCCTGATCTGCGACGGTGACCGACGAACGCGTGACGCTCTGCTCGCAAAAAGTTGACACTCAGGCCCCCTCGTACATCAAGGAGGGCGACAAGGTCGAGAACCTGACCCCCACTCCCCACAAGGACTACGGATCGGAGTCTGTCTACGACAAGGAGTCGAACAAGATCCAGTACACCACTTTCGCCAAGTTCCCTCCCGTCCGCCTCCTCCCCAACGCTGAGCGCAAGCGTATCCTCGTTACCGGTGGTGCCGGTTTCGTCGGCTCGCACCTTGTCGACCGTCTCATGCTCCTTGGTCACGAGGTCACTGTCCTCGACAACTTCTTCACCGGTTCGCGTACCACCGTCTCGCACTGGGTCGGCCACCCTAACTTTGAGATGGTCCGCCACGACGTCGTTGAGCCCTTCCTGATCGAGGTTGACCAGATCTACCACCTTGCGTGCCCCGCCTCGCCTCCCCACTACCAGTACAACGCGGTCAAGACCATCAAGACCTCGTTCATGGGTACCCTCAACATGCTCGGTCTTGCCAAGCGTACCAAGGCCCGTTTCCTCATCACCTCGACCTCTGAGGTCTACGGTGACCCCGAGGAGCACCCCCAGCGCGAGGACTACTGGGGTCACGTTAACTGCATTGGCCCCCGTGCTTGTTACGACGAGGGCAAGCGTGTCGCCGAGACCCTCACCTACGGCTACATGCGCCAGGACGGTGTCGACGTTCGTGTTGCCCGTATTTTCAACACCTTCGGTCCCCGTATGAACCCCTACGACGGCCGTGTCGTTTCCAACTTCATCATCCAGGCCCTCAAGGGCGAGGACATGACCGTCTACGGTGACGGCCAGCAGACGCGTTCGTTCCAGTACGTCCACGACCTGATCGACGGCCTCATCCTCCTCATGAACGGCCCCGAGACCCGCCCCGTCAACATTGGCTCGTCGCACGAGTTCACCATTATGGAGTTTGCCGAGGCCGTCCGCGACATTGTCGAGGAGGTCCAGAAGGAGGAGGGCGACTTTGTCAAGCGCGTCAACATTATCCACAAGGACATGCCGACCGACGACCCCCAGCGTCGCCGCGCCGACACGACCCGTGCCAAGGAGACCCTTGGCTGGCAGCCCCAGTGGGCCGTCCGCCAGGGTGTCCGCGAGATGGTCTTATACTACCGCTCGCAGATGAAGCAGGGCAAGCTCTAATTGTACTTTAGCTAGATAGATGGACTTTGGGCATACCTATATCCCCGCACACGAGAGCGCGGAGCGTGGGAGAATGAGCCGAGCTGAGCGCAGGGTTGGACTGACCGTGAGACGCGGGGTGAGAGTTAATTCTGGGCTGGCAACGTAACCCAACTGGGAGCATCGCAAGACCGAGGTATCAGAACAGGCGTTAACAGGCAAGTTGTAGATGTCACGAAAGCGCAGATGCAGATCCGTCGATCGCAGTGACGTCGCAGAGTTGTGAGCGGTGAAGGTGAAGCGGAAGCCGCCGGTGCCGCCGCTACCCAAAAGCGGACATTCCGGGAATGATAACCGATAAGGTCGTCCTTTGACCCCTGGCCCCTTAGATCGCATCATGTGTCACACTCCTTACACCTGCTCTTCTTCTTGCGTATTCGTTCCAATGCAGTAGTGTGCGAAGAGACGCAGAGACGGAAGCAGCGGCCAGCAGCTCCAGCAGAGCATGGAGCCAGGCGAGCAAGGAAGCCTTAGTCAAGAGTGGGCATAGGCGTCAAAGGGCGCATGCAAGTAGGCGCACAGGAGCGCACAGACCTGGCCTCCTGGCGCGCTGGCATATCGCACTCGAGTACCTGTCCACGTCTACGTCTACGTTCTTGCATTCTTGCATTCTTACTTCATACTCTTTCTCAACGTCTCATTCATTCATTCCCTTCCTCTCTCTCTCTCTCTTCGTCCTTTGTCTCCTCTCCAGTTTCTTATCATACCCCCGACGACCACCAACGACAAGCTACGAATCTACGACCGGTAACGAAGGACTCCAACCGAGTCGCCGCTGGACCCCGCACCCCGCACCAGGTACTGCGTAACGGACGAGTAACCCCCTTAAACTCGTCACGCCGCCGCGCTCACTTCTCTCTCACTCACTCGCTCAGCCGGCTGCGTCAGCACCCCTCGCTGCGCTCGGGCCGTCATAGGCAATGAGCGACGACGAGCGCGGCAAGAAGCGCAAAGTTCCCCCCTCGCCGCGGTACGCCGTGCACTGCGCCCCGACCCCTGCGCAGCGCTTACACTCCTCACTGAAGGCGCGTGCCGACTCGCGCCGAAGGGCACTCCAGGCCCTAGGGCTCAGTGACGACGAGGGCGTGCTCGGTGATGTGTGCTGCTGGCCGCTTGATCGGGTGCGGAAGGGGTGCGGGATGAGGAGGAGCGAGGGGTGGAATAAAGGCCAGGGGAGTAGTGGCAGGATAAGGAAGAGGAGGTGGGGAAAGAGGGAGAGGGTGGAGAGAGGCGGGTGGTGTCCTGAGGGAAGCTTCGAGTTTGAGTGGGAGAGTCCTGGTGAGTCTTTCTTGATTCAAGCTGCGGAGTCTACGGGGTCCATGGAGTCTACAGAATCTACAGGGTCTGCGGAGCGGAGATGTGGGAGGCAAGGACTCAGCCGAGCTCGACAGTTCCACGTTGAGGAGGAGAATGGCTTGTGTCGCCCACACGGGCAGTGCCCACATGCGACGTCCGATCTCCCTCGCTATGACAATGACACGTCCGCTTGGCTATGACCCCGCCTTGCGTTGCGTTTCACCACAGACCTCCAAGCTGTCCTTAGGGTAGAAGCTAACTCCAGCCGCCGACGCCCTCCGAAAGCGGAAAGCCGCCGTCTCGCGTCTCCTCCGGCGAGTCGGCGCCGTCGCGCGACCGACGCCCGTCTCTCCGCCAGCGACAGCTTCGCCGCCCCAGACCGCCCGTCCCGAGAGCCCGAAGAAGTCACCCCCGAAGACCCCGAAGAAGTCCGCGTCCACTGCGACCTCGACACCTTCACCCGGCAAAGCAGACGGCGACGAGGAGAAGGAGGAGCAGCAAGGCTCCCCGACGAAGAAGGGGAAGAAGAAGAAGAAGAAAAAGAAGAAGGCGACGCTCGCCAACGAGGGCAACCCGCACCACATTGACAAGTGTGAGTACTCCGCGTCCGAGCTCATAGAAGGAATCGGCTGAGCTGACAACCAGACCGCCCCTCGCGGTTACCGAGCTACGCATGGCACGCGTCCGTGCTCTTTCCGCCCAGCCTCCGCTTCCTCGCCGCGCGCAACCGCTTCCCAGTAAGGGAGAACGAGTACATCTGCCTCCCCTGCGAGGTGGCGCTGTACTACTCCTCCGAGTCCTCTCGGCGGCGCGCCGTCTCCGCCCGTTTCCGCATGCTTGCGCGGTTCGATCCGCGCCTAAGGCGGAGGCGGCGGAAGGGCCGCTGCACGGCGCCGAGGGGCGAGGGAGGGGAGGAGTATGATGAGGAATACGACGATGAGGAGTATGAGGAGGGGGAGGAGGGCGAGGAGGATGTCGGGGAGGAAGGGGAGGGACACTGGACGCAGGGCGGGGGGAGGTGTACGTGCTGCTTGGAGCCGCCGTGACGGTCGTGAGTCGCGCGATGCGCGCAGGTGTGAGGCGAGATCAACTCGGCCAGAGAGGAGGCGAGAGGCGGATGATCGAAGCGAGCGTAGCGAGCTCAGCGAGCTTAGTAGGTGTGAGGATCTTCAGTGTGTCGTAGTCTAGCAACGGGAGATGTATCGAGTGAGGGCGACGTTCACTTTCCTGTCGTCAGTTGTGACATAGTTTAGTCATGAGCGTTAGTCAGCCAACAACGCAACCCTGCCGTGAGTACAAGAACAGAGATAGCATGATCTAGTCGTACAACCACGCGCGTGCCCGGCGCGTCTTCTCGGCCTTCTTGGCTTTGAACCGTTCCTGCGAGTCAGTACAGTGCAGCGAGCAGAGCGAGCATCCCATCTTCCAACATGTTCCAGCCCTCACTCCCAATCCTGCGCGCCTCGCGCCCAGCTCGGCCTCCTGACTCACCATATCCTTCTTCGTGACCTTCCTAGGCTGCTCCTCCTCCCTCCGCCTTTTCCCCCTCTCCTTCTCCCACCCCTCGACATCGAAATAAGCGTCTCCAAACCGCTTCTGGCGCTCATACTCGTCCCTCGCCGCGAAGGCGCCGTCGTCCCGCTGCTGGAAACGCCCAGACACGGCTAGGAGCTGGGTGCCTGCCGCGTCGCGCGATTCGGAGGGGAGCAAGTAGGCCAGCTCGGGGTCTATGTCGGGCAGACCGCCGGTGGGACGTGGGACGGAGGGACCGGGAGTAGCTGACGCAGAAGCGGCGGTCGGCGGTCGAGCCGGCAGCGGGGGTTGAGGAGGACGAAGGAGCCAGAGGGTTCTCCCACGTCACGGCGTTCGTCTCCGTGTTCCAGAAGTAGTATGCTGGAGGGGTCAGCTTAAGCGAAGAAGAAGGCGTAGCTTACCATTCTTCTCGGGCGCCCAGACGGCCTGCCAGGCGTGAGCGGGGTTGGCGTCCTTCTCCTTCGAGCCGCCGAGCTCAGTGACGGGCTCGTCGGGGAGGGGCGGCTGCTCGTCTGGTAACGGCGGTTGCTCGTCGGGGAGGGGAGGTGCTTCGTCTGGCAGAGGCGGCGCGTCCTCGCCTACGGGCAGCGGCGGCGCCTCGTCCGGTAGCGGGGGAGCCTCATCGGGCAACGGCGGCGCTTCGGTCGGCACAGCGGGTTGCTCGTCAGGCAGCGGAGGAGCCTCGTCCGGCAGCGGAGGCGCCTCGGCAGGCAATGGCGGGTTCTCGGCCGAATCCATTTTCTTGCTGCCCTTGCCCTTTTTCGATCCCTTCGGCGGCATGATGGCGATGACGATGGGCGGTGAGCAGTGAGCAAAAACAATAATCGCGCGCGCGCGGTGGAGATGATCGCCTTGCTTGTTCCTTGGCCGTCAAGCTGGCTGGCTGGTGGCAAATTGCTCCCGTTGAGGTCACGTGGTAACACATGTCCTCCTTAGCGCTCTCGTCATTGAGATCGCCGCGGTAGGCCGTCTGCAGCCGGGCCCTTGGCACCTGAGCTGCGATGATGCAGCTATGACACGGTTGTGGCATTTGGTCGGCCTTTTGATAAGGGTTGGGTTTGCGGTGACGTCGAGCAGAAAGTAACAGAGTACGCATTCATACCGAGTGTCCACTGCTGGCTGCTGCAAGTCTGCGAGGTACCAGGCTCTCCCCAACGATCTGCACGGAGCTCGTCTCGGGGCTTGGAGGCTGGACCTCCTGGGCTGCTGTGCTGCTGTGCTCACTGGCGGGGCTCATTGAGGATGACCGCGGCTCCTCTCGCCTGACACTGGCACCGCCAGCACGGCCACCCGTAATGATGACACTGTGGACCCAGAGTCCTGGGGTGAATGAAGTATTCACGGCATTCAGCACGAGTCATTGACGTTCGCTTCTGGACCATGGAGCAGAGAATAGAACAGTGGGCCGCTGTCACTGGCAGGCATGACCGCGGTGGCTCCTCCGGGTTTCGCTCGAGCTGTGCTCCGACTCAAGGGGACATTCGTAGGTTTTTCAGTTCGTTGGAGTTCCTCTCTTGGCTCCTCGAAGGCACAGTATAAAAGCTGTCGCCGCTCCACGGCCCTCCTCGCCCATCATTTGCACGCTTCACCCTACCCAGCATGCTCTCCACCATCGCATTGTTCGGCGTACTCGTCGGCCTGGCCGCGCAGGCAAAGTACGTCACGATCCACCCCGAGGGCAAGACCGCATTCGAGGCGGCCAAGTGGTGCCTCGACATCAACGGCACCGAGCCCGCCGAGGGCGTCGCCGTGCACCTCTGGGAGTGCAACGGTAACATGACGCAGGTGTGGAACATTAACGACAACGCCACCTTTGTCCGCCTCGGCAACACGTCCTTCTGTGCTGCTCACGGTAACGAGAGCCAGCAGCTGCATCTCGAGACCTGCCGCGGGCGGGGCTGGAAGTCGATCGGATGGTTCGACAACTTTGACGGCACGTACCGCTCCCCTAACAGCACCATGTACCCCGAACTCTGCGTCGACCTCCGCGACGGTAACTACACCAACGGCACGGCTATCCAGGGCTGGAAGTGCTACTCCAACAACACGAACCAGCAATGGGTCACTAGCATTGCCCCCGGATGCGCAGTCATGCCCGGACCTCTCAGCAACCAGACCTCGACCAATGGCACCACTGGCACCAACAGCACTGGTGGTACCGGTGGCGGTACCGGCAACACCGGCGAGCAGGGCGGCAACACAGGCCAGCAGGGCGGCCAAGGCCAGGGCCAGAACCAGGGCCAGGGCGGCGACAACAACGGCGGCGGCGGCGCGGTCGTCGGCGGCGGTGGCAACACCGGCAACACAGGTCAGCAGGGCAGCGCTACTCCCTCCGCTTCGGCCCCTCCGCAGTCCGTCCAGTCCGCCCAGTCCGCTCAGTCCAGTATCCAGGGCCAGGCGTCCTCCGCCATGTCCTCCGCTTCGCAGTCTGTCTCCGCCGTCCAGTCCTCTCAGTCCAGCATTGCGGGCGAGGCTTCGTCTGTCATGTCCTCGGCATCTTCGCAGATGGGTGGCGCCCAGTCCTCCGTCTCTTCGGCACAGGCTAGCCCCACCGCCGGCGGCGGCGCTGTTGGCGGTAACACTGGCGGCCAGCAGCAGCAGCCTTCGCCTACCCCGTCGCAGCAGCCTCAGCAGAGCCAGGAGCAGCAACAGTCCCAGCAACCCCAGCCCACGTCCCAGGAGCAGCCCCAGTCTCAGCAACCTCAGCCCACGTCCCAGGAGCAGCAGCAGTCCCAGCAGCCTCAGCCCACGTCTCAGGAGCAGCAACAATCTCAGCAGCCCCAGCCCACTAGCCAGCAGCAGCAGCAGCAGTCGCAGCAGCCTCAGCAGTCCCCGACACCGGCCCAGTCCCAGCAGCCTCAGCAGTCTCAGAACTCTGGCCAGAACAACAACAACCAGGGCGGAGGCGGCAACGAGGACGGCGTCCGCGAGATCACCCTTACGTCCGTGATCAGGATCACCGACGCGATCAAGTCTGCCGCCGCCAAGGCGACGGGCGGTAACTGAGCAAGCTCTATCCATTTTGAAACCAGCGATACACGATTTGATCCTCCATCAATCCGAAATGTAAGGAATCTATAATGACATCGTAGGACGTCGAAATATGCAAGGAAAAACAGTCAATAAGTAATCATAGCATGCACGCAAATGAAAGCGGATTTGAGCGATGCTGAACCCTGCGGGTGTAAGGAGCTCCAACCTCTCGTATCTGATAGAAAAGTGGGCAGAGCAGAGTAGTGGGACCAGTGGTGCGGCGCTCCACTGAAATTTGTTCAAACCGAGATTCAGTTTGTCTTTGTGGAATGCCTTGCATACTTCCTGCTGGCATGCCCAAGGCCAGCTCGAGGTGCCTTGCACTTTGGCCCTGATATCATCATGTCTGCACGAGGTTGCAGCAGCGCACGAGGTGCACGGTATGACGGAGCTCGAATAGAGGTGCGGAGCTCGTCGTCACAGGCGAATGTCAGGGTTAGCATCCGTCATCCCCTGGTGCCTACGCAAGTCCGAGGAGACGGCGAATGTACCTCGTGCGATTGCACGCAAAGCGCAGCACATGCTACCGCGGCTCCAGAATCAGGCTCATTGCTATGAAAGTAGTGCTCGGCTTTGCGAGTCGAGTTGCTTCGTTTCGGCGGTCCGGCAGGCACACGCGTGAAAAGGGGGATAAAACTGAGATAGTAGGTGGAGCGTTTGGTGACGGTCGAGATAGGACCTGACGGTTACTGCCGAGAGCTACGTACTACTCTCACAAGCCCATAGCTCTCTGTGTCACTTAGTCTCCAGACCTGAGTGTTCTGGAGACCGACTGCTGGCAGGAGGGTAGGCGCGCGAGACGAGGAGGGCACGTGCGTATTGATTCAATCTCGGCGCGCTTATCTCGGTGAGTTTAGACCCTGGAGTGTCTGATCGGCGTCCATTTCGACCTTCCTGTTCAGGCATTCAAGCATCGCATTCTCCCGGGATGGCTAGGGCTCACAGAGGAAGTGCATACATCGAGAACGCCGCCACAAATATCGTCTAAGTCCAGCGCTACTTCTCTCCTGGCCCATGGTTGGCGCACAGAAAGCATTGGGGCGTGCTCAACACTGTGAACGACTCCGAGCTTCGATGTGATCAGCCTTCCCTTTCGCCGACGACTTACCCTTGAGCAGCTCAAACTGGGACGCAGCCACAACCGGCGGCCTTGCACTCATCGCCGCACTTCAGGTTTCCGACAGGGCCACACTGGCATTTCCAGCAATGGTCAGGGACCTCGCCCTTCGAGCCGCAGCCGTGGAGCTTGTACCGAAGTACCATCCCGTTGTCGCGGGGGTTGAGACCTCTGCTTCCGGTGGTGGAGGCGCTCACAAGGGCAAGACAGCTTATGAGGAGGGTGATGTGAAGTGAAGCCATGTTGTTAAGGCAGTTTACGTTTCGGGGAAGGGTGCTGGGAGTGCTGTTATATACAGCACAACCTCAACGCCTGCGGGCTCGTATGACCGTTGACCGCTGGGAGGAGTCACATTGAGCTTTTCTAGTGCTATCTCGTCTTTGTCGCTCATGAGCGGCTAGCTATCTATAACCAATAACCTCGTTTTAGTCGACGCGCTCGATGGTTGCTCTTTAGCCTACGGAAAATCGCCGATCCTCCCGAGGTCGCGATAAGGCACACGGACAGCACCACACACCTTCCCCTAGCTCGGTAGTCTGGTAGTCACCTGGGGCAAGAGCAGTGGTCAGCTGATGCGAAGCGCTCCGCACGAACCCCACTCGGTACCACGTTCCCTCATTTGTTTTCGAGGAATCCTTCCGACTATCCATCCACCCATCGACGCATGACACAACTAAAGCCTCAATCGCGCTTGTCGGCCGTCAAGTCCGGAACAGACGCTCTCATCCGGTCCGACGCTCCGCACTTCCCGCGCACCCCAGACATAACGCTGAACGTGAACAACCGCAACTCGCGAACGCACCCCGCGAGCTTCTATGACGGGCACGAGTTTCAGTCCGTTGCGAACGTGCTGCTCCGCCTCGAGAAAGCCGGTTGCGAGGTCTGGGCCATAGCGTTCAATGGCAACACCCTCGATGTGACCGTCAACGCTTACGATCCGTACTGGCTCGACAAGTACGATTCTTCACGGCCGGATCCGCCTGACCGAGACGGCAGAGAGTTTCCAAGTCGTAAGGTCCGACAATGAGTGCGGAGGAAAGTAGTACGGGACCTAATCGAAAGCGCAGGTCTTCTGGAGTCAATACCTCCGACTCGCTTGCCAGAAGAGTTCCGCATTATTGTATTCAAGTTACAAAGGCACCACGTAACGATGTTCTCTCTGCCTCATTTCCCTCTGCTCATAGAGACTCGCTTGCATACCGGTTGGACTACATCCTTGCCTACCCTACGCCCTATCTTTGCCACATCCCGCACTCTATGTCACCCCTTTCCGGTTCAGAAAGCCCCGTTGAAGATGAGGACCGCTATGTTGGTCCTCAGGTCCCAGACATCAAACTCAACATCAACAATCGCTATAGCCTTACGAAGCCGTCTGGTTTCTACGACGCCCTTGAGCAAATGTCCGTCGCCAACATACTGATCCGACTTGAGCGCGCCGGCTGCGATATCTGGTCGATCGCATTCAACGGGAATACGCTCGATGTTACTGTCATAGCCTACGACGATGACTGGTTTGAAAACTTCAACAAGACGCGTGGTGACAAGCCGCATGAGGAGCAGACTTCGTGAGAAGTGTGCGTGATATGCAGAAATAGCAAGGCTGAGTGCAGGATGGCATAGCGCTGGTGCCTTGGAGCCAAGAGAGCAAGGATTTGAAAGTTAGTTCGTGCAACTTGATGTGATCGGACTGAATTTGGACAAGTGGAATGTTGGACCGAACTCCGACTGTGGCCACTTCACGACACTACCAGGGGTGACAGCGCTCACTAACGCCAACTGGATCTGACGCGGCGTGCGTCTGTCCTCCCAATACGGCAGCGAGCCTCGGATGGGATGACGGTAGAATGTGATTGGGGAAATGGTCGCCGACCCTCTTGTCGCCATCTCCCGACTTGTGCTTACGCAATGGCGATCTGGTCATCTCGTTCGGCGATACGAGGCAGAGGATAGAGCACAGTGGTAGATCGCGGTTGGGCGCAGAGGCTTGTGCGCAGTCAACATCTGGACTTGGTCGTGTGCGAGATCGACATCGCTGCGCAGACTGCGCAATCGATACGAGCCCTCTGCATAATCGAGCCAACCTCCTGCGGGCGACTTCTTAACGAATCAGAAACGCACCAGAATCACAGTGCGCAAAAGAGGATATGGAGACGCAGAGACGGTTTCGCGGCCCCTCGCAGTACCCCTGCACACCTGAACTGAAATACATCCCGAGGCGCAGTCGTCCTCGCTTGCTTCGGCCAAAGTTCAGCCGTAGCGACTGCGAAATTCGGTCAATTTTCAAGTTGCCGAACTTGTGTCTTCTCCTCGCACGGAGCTGCGGACGGCGTTTGGCGTACTGGCGTAAGGCTCTGAGCCCGAGTCCAGACCTCCGCAGCACAACGGGGTCAGTGCAGAGAAAGGGATAAAGAGCGACATGCATGCGGACGCTCAAACTTAGAATTCAGATCAACAGATCAATACTCAGAGCTGCGGACTAGGGTCGTTCTAAGGAGCGAGTGGTCTACTCGTCGTCATCGGAGTCGGAGTCAGAGTCCGAGTCGCTGTCACTGTCAGAGTCGGAATCCGAGTCCGAATCCTCTTCATCCTCAGCCTGTTGCTGCTGCCACTTCGACTGCTCCTTGTACTCCCAGTGCGCCTGGTGGCGATTCGGGCGCATCTTCTGGCCGGGAGCTGGGAGTCGGTGGCCGCCGTTACCGTGGTTGCTGTGATTGCCGGCGTGGCCGTGCGTTCCATTGCCGGGGCGGCCGGTGCATTGAGCCTGACCCTCGCCCCCGGTGCCTGCAGAGGGAGTGGGGGACGGGATAGCCTCCGAGCTCACATCAGGAGCAGCAGAGGGAGTAGCAGAAGGGGAGACAAGAAACCCAGAGCTGCTGGAGCCTGGAAAAGTAGGGGGCGCGCTGCCGGCGGCGCCAGCATCCGTCGAGTTGTCTGTCGAGTTGTCGCACTTCATGCCACCGAATCCACCCATGGTACCGTTACCCCCCGGACCGCTGGCGGAGCCGTTGCCCATGCCCATGGGAGGGCCGCCCGTGAGGTTCATTCCGGGAGGCGGGCCACCTCCACATCCGGGACCACCACCGCCGGGACCTCCGCCCATGCCGCCGCCAGGGTTGACGACGCCTCCATCCTCGGTGTAGTTTACAGCGGGGCGGGCTGTGTAACTCGCGCTCGCGTTGACGGCAACAGAGACCCAGGCGAGGATGCCGTCCTCAAGGCTGTCGCCGAGGAGCACATACTCGACCACAGGGTCGACATCAGCCGACTCCTCGGCCATGATGAAGTCCTCCTTGTTCGTTGTCAGAGGCTGGGTGTTGGTGTTGTACGGCGCGAGCTTCTCAACCTCAGCGATGAGGCTGTCGTCGAAGAAGAGCTGGCCTACGTGCGAGTTCTGCACGTTGCCCGTGATTGTGTTGTTCGCCAGCTTGGTCCATTTGCCGGGCGAGTGCGACATGATATGGATGTGCGTCGCGCGTCCGGTGTAGTGGCCGGGGAAGGTTGTAATGAACTGGGCCACGCCGTCGGACGAGGTCTCCTGGATGCCGCGATTGAAAGTCGCATCCAGGTTGGTGTCGTCCGCGTCGCTGTTTCCGTTGCCTGAAGCACTGACTCCCGAGTACACGCCAGTGCTGTTGCAGTGCCAGAAGTCGAGCGCAGCACCTGACAGTGGAGAACATGTGTTCGTGTCGATCAGCTGGATGTCGACGTAAAGCGGCACGCCGGGCTCGTCGTCGCGCACATCCTGACGGATGAGCTCGCCCTTGACGACTAGCTGTTAGCTTTGACTCCCTTAAGTGTCAGTCTCTGACTCACAGTAGGGACCCTCAGTCGTCTCGGGGTGCAGTGTGCACAGGTGCTCGCCCTTGAACAGCTCCGCGGGGTCGGTATCCTTAGTGATACCCGTGAGGTTGCTCTTGTGGCTCTTGTTCAGCACATCGTCGAAGCTCCTCTTGCGAAGCTTCTGGTGCTCAGCCGCAGCCTCGAGGAATGCGCGTCGGCGCATCTGGTTGCGCGCGTTGACGCCGCGCTCAGCAAGAGCGCCAGCGCAGTGAGCAAGGGAGCGTTTGCCAACAAACTCAAGGGCGGCGCGGCGCTCGAGCGCCTCGATGCGGTGATCCTCGCCCGGATGAGCCGAAACCAGGAGGGCCAGAACGGGAAGCAGGACGGCAGCCTTCATTGTGCTGAGGCTGGGTGCTGTGGTAAGTAGGGGGGACATGAATGGCGAAGAGCTGGACTTATATACCGACGTGGTTTTCCGAGCTACCCGCGGCACTCTGCCTGTCACAGCACGGCTGAATCACCTCATCACTGCAACACGGCCAGGGCTCGGTCAATTTGCGCCTAGCTCGCGCCAGCTGACCTGAACGCATGCATGCTACGCTGCAGAACTGCAGTGCAAGCAGCTGCGCATCAGATGCGGGCGCGTGTTCCGCCGGAATGTTATTTGCTCATCCTCTGCTGGAATACGCGCTAGAATGTCGTCGCCTGCACTAGTCGACGCTAAACGGGCAGAACGGCGCGCTCCCTGCATGCGGCTTGCAATCAGATCAGCCAGCTGTGTCAGCTGCGCTAGCGGCTGCGATGTGCACACGACCGACGAAGGTGGTGCAATCTGCCTCAGCATTCCACAGGGGGTGCACGGGCCAGCTGAGACAGAGCCGCTGTCGCGCAGTCGCTGGAATAGAGTTGGGACTGCATTAAGGTGCGCTGTCCGGCGATGGCCCTGTGCCGTTGTTGCCGGATAGACCGGGTTGGGTAGTCATGAACAGGAGGATACCTGAGGAGATCGGAACGACCCTGATGGAAAGAGCGAAACTCTGACTGCGCGGGGGACGCCTTCAGGTGCTCGACTCAGTCACCCAACATGGTTCTGGGCACTGAACCCGAACAACGAGGTATCAGATAATAGACAAGCGCAGCACTGACGCCGCGTGCCTGGTGTGCCAAGACGCCGACCCGCAGGCTGGTTGGCTGCGAATAGAATCGTTCCAGGCATCCAACAGACCGCGCTGCGCAGCCTATCGCACGACATCTCACCTGTGTTGCTGTTTGTCACCTCGTCAGCCTCGTACGGGGTCCCGATATCCTGCGCAGTCACCTGCTCACCTCTTCACGGACGCTGGTTGGCCAACTGGAGCCCGAGATCCATGCACACCTACCAGTAAAAGACTAGAATGGGCACTTCTCCATCGGAACGACTACAATGGGCAGTAACGCTGCTCGTCAGGGTATTTCAGGGTGGTGCAGGACCGCAGCCGGTTAAGTCACGTGCAATAGGGTCAATGATGTCATATGAGCGCTGCTCGCCATCACAACGGCCTCACTCACCGTCGCTTGTCTGCAAGACGGGCCAGATGTCCAGGGTGATGGGCTGGGTCGAGGCGGCGCAGGAGGTCGCGCGCGTGACCAACTGGCCGATCGTGTCGCTCAAGCACGACGACTTCACGCAGTACTTCCTCGACCGCCAGGCGCTGGACGGCTGCAAGCCGTCCGCCGTGTTCAAGACGAACGCGGACGGATCCCAGATCACCCACGTCGAGGTCCACGCCGACAACATGAACTGCCCTGCCGAGGTGCCCATCACGATTCCCGGCGGCGGAGCCAGCGGCGGCCGCACCGACCAGGTCGGCTCCGAGCCCCCCATCATCTGGGTCAAGCTCAATGGTGGCCAGGCCACCGTCCAGCTCAACAACCCCGTCAAGCTGTAAACATCATATACGGACATTTCATAGACACGCGAACAGCATCGGGAATGCATGATAGTTACGACCACTCTGGCACACCTAACAAGTTGACAGGACTGACTGAACCTTTCGTTAGGCATTGTCGCAGCCGGTCACGGCCTCGGTCAAGGAATTGCATGCATGATCGACACCTCCGTCGGCACTACAAGTTGCGCCGCACCGAGCATGTAACACCAGTGTCGCAAGCTTCACCGGACTCAGCCTGCTTCCGACTCCCGCAAACGTGCGCGCCGGTCCGCGCGGGCGGCGCGCGGGCCATCGCTCCCGCAGACCGAGTTCCTGCACAGCGGACGGCGCCACCATTCGTCCGGTGCACAGCGTGATGCATGGCGGCGGCGCACTCCAATGTCTACTCCAATACAACGTGCAGCGTGATCCGCACCAATGACTGTCGCGATCCTGCACAATGGTACGCCGACGGCCTGAGGCCCACTCGCCCGAATTGATGCCAGTGAGCTGGACCCATAATGCAATGTTGAGCGTATCTTGCACCGAGCGTATCTTCTTCTCATAGGTCGTGATACAGACCACGACACACCTAAGCGGTTTGGAGGTCTCTTGGCGGGTCGTGGCTCGAGTTGTCCTCTGCTCGTTGCACAGCAGCTCAGCAGCGCACTGTGCGGCGTCGCGTGTGTCGAATTCAGAGCCCACTGTGAGCTTGGCTTTGAGCTGGGCCTCGATAACGGGGCCAGACATGGTGAGGTGAAGTGAGACATCGATGGTGAGCAGTCCCCTTTGGATCGCGAGCAACGTGTCTCACCCTGAATGCACGTGACTTGACCGGCCTCGGCCCTGCACCATCCTGAGGGACCCTGACGAGCAGCGTTACTGCCCATTGTATTCGTTCCGATAGAAAAGTGCCCATTCTAGTCTTTTACTGGCACACCTACAGCGACCCGTGCCTCTGCCCCCGGTCTCTAGATTGCGCAGCTGGTTGCTTCCGGTCGGAAGGCCGGCTGATTTTACGACTTCGCAAGTTCGCAACAACGACAAAACCTTGCACGGGTCATGGTTATCGGCCGCAGCTCTCGAATGCCGCAGGCACGACGCAGATCCCGCAGTCGCTTTGACCGCCTGACCCGCGTCCCTTTCCGGCAGGATCGGATCTGCTTCACCTTGCGCGCGCAGGCACATCTTTACACTGCACTCCCACCAGTCAGTCGGTCGTCGCACCGCTCTCTCGCCCGCGCAGTCGTCTCGCCTCAACCGATTGCCTCTCGTCATTTGGCATTCATGGTCTCGACCCGACTGCGCTGCAGCCAAACTGCGGCTACGTTTCCGTTGCGCTCGACGACGCGTCATGTGCGATGGGCGAGGATCTCGAACCCGCTTACAACATAGGCTTCATTCATTTAACAACTACTGATTCTATCCCCTTCTGACTTTGGCGGCGCTGTGCCCGCCGGATCACTGCGAGCGCTTTAGCTGGACTTGGCCGGCAGCGAGTGATGCCTCTTGATGTCCTGCCACATGGCCCTGTGGTAGTCCTTCTGGAGCTGGTCCCCGAGCGCCCACTTCGTGAGGTTGAGAGGAAGGTACGTCTCCATGAGGCAGATGATTCCACCGTCGCCGACCCACATGGGACCGGGCGGGATCGTGTTCGCCGCGTTCGTGACATCGCTACTCGGACCGTGGGCACTCGACACGTTGTGGAGGTTGGCTCCGTCCTTGGGCGACGGGTATCCCTTGATCGTGACCATGAACTCGGGCATGATGTTGCGGTGGAACCACTGGGGACGGAACGTGTTGCTGACGGCCTGCCAGCGGGGTCCGAAGCAGAGCAGGTCGAAAGCAGCAGTACCCGGCTGCTCGGTGGGGACGGTGAGCAAGGCGCTGATACTGGGGTCGGGGTGGTCATAGTTCAGCGCGCCCATCGTGTTGAACTTGTTCATGTCGTAGCGGTAGGGGTAGTAGTTGCCCATCCATGCCACGACGTCGTACGGGCTGTGGTCCTGCTTGTACTGCCAAAGGGAACCACCAAACTTGGCGATCGTGGTCCACTCCTCGTCCGCGTCCTCGTACGCTGCGCGTGGCGTCTCAAAGTCTTCCAGGTTCGCGAGTCCGTTGCCGCCAATCGGACCCAGCTCGGGGAGCTCAAAGTTGCCCCTGTAGTTCTCGATCACATAGCCTGTAGCTGTCTCGTTGGCCGTGTCGCCCACGCGTGAGACGGTGACCTTGAGGGAGCGCGGAATGACGGCCAGGAACCCGGGAGGCACGTGCATCTTGCCAAACTCGGTGGTGAGGAGCAGCTCTCCCTTGGTGGGAAGGAAGAGCCAGCTGCCGTCGGCATTGTAGAGGGCGCGTTTCTCCATGTCCCGCCCAAACTCGTAGAAGTGGTACGCGATCCCGTCTTTGTTCTGGCAGTCACCGCAGCCGCCGATGGTCCGCAGGCTGTCGACAAAGTCGAGTCCGCGCGCGCCCTTAACGGTGAAGGGGTCCCATCGCATCTGCTGAGGTGTTACGACGATCTCGGGATTGTGGCGCGAGAAGTCGGAGATTAGGCCCGCGTTGCCCTCATACGGCTCGTACGCCTCATGCACGACAGAGGGACGGACGCGATACAGCCAGCTACGCTTGTTCTTCGCGCGAGGAGCGGTGAAGGCGGACCCGGTGACGCCTTCAGTGTACAGACCATAGGGTGGGTCTTGGGGGTTGTGGCCTTGCTTCGGGAGCGAGTTGGGGATCGACTCGGAGCGGAAGTTGTTGCCCCAGCCGGCTGCTCATTAGCATTGCTTCGTGGTGAGCTCACTCACGGTGGTACGGCAGGTTGGCCCAGGGCTCGTTGTCTTCCGGTGCTGGGGTGGATGCGCGGGGTGTGTGGATGGGTCCCATTGTTGTTGTGCTAGGGAAGGTGGTAGCTGATAGAGTTCCCAGCTCGCCTCCGCTAACTCTATATACCATTCGTGCCAGCTCGGCTCGGAGTTAATAAAGGCACCAACGCGCCCAAGTGTGACCATGGAGGATGCCGGGCGCCTGTTCTCCGCAGTTGCTTGGTGCGGCGGTGACGCAGGCACATGATGCATACTCTCTCCGGAGTGAGTTTACCGACATTAGATCGGGCAACAATAGACGCAGAGGCGTTGCGGAAAGGGTGCGGAATTCTAGACTCTGGACGTGCGGATCACGGCTTCTGGCTGTTCGATCCTGCGTTCTCTCTGCTAAGTCCCAGTCCTAGATGTACCGCATGCCTCGGCTTCATTTCTGCCCGGAATGAAGTGAGCGTAACTACCTTCCCCCACAGGAAGGTACAGAAAGGGACATCTGGGGAACCGGGTTTCGCGGAAGTCGGAAAGTCATGTGGTCATGTGGCCCCAGCCGACGCCAAGGATGGCCCACGGGGAAGACCGACGATTCCGCACCACCTCACTCTCACAGCAACACTCGCGCGAAAGTTCTCTCTATGAACCTTAGAACTATGCGGAAGCGGCCAGCCACGGTGGAATGACGATCTCCAGAGGTACCAACGGCTGAACCGATCACACTCTCGCCATTTGTCAACAGCCGAGCCAGCCAAGAAGGTTCGCCGATCTCACGGCCCAACTCTACATATACCGTCGCCGAAGACATGCCCATGACTGACCGTTGCTGACAGCCCGACACCGACGACCGAAGCACTAGCGCCCGCCAGCTGAAGCACTAGCCTAGCCTATCTCACCGAACAACACTAGCATCCACTAGCCGTCAAGCCGCCTCCGCCGGCCTTCCCCTGCCTACGTCATGTCCGTCCCCAGCGACATCAAGGCCTTTGTGAGCGAATTCTACCGCCTCTCCGACGACCCAGACCACGACGCATACTGCTCCCTGTTCACGCCCGACGCGTCCTTCCTGGTGGGCACGGTCGGTGCTAAAGGGCGAGACGGTATCCGCTCAGTCCGCGCCAAGGGGTGGGATAACTTCGATCACCGTGTGCATAAGCATGAGCGCATTTATGTCAACGAGGACGAACCCGACGTCGCCATGCTCACGGGTACAATTGACTATGATCGTAAGGACGGCGTTTCCGCTAGAGATCTCTGCTGGGCTGGCAAGATGGTCTTCGATCGCAGTGGTGGGCTCAAAGTGAAGGATTACTATGTCTGGGTCGTGAGTCATGGCTTGTAGGAAGCTGACAGCAGTTACATCCCGCCATGGGTCAAAAGAACGAGGCCAGCAAGTGAGATGTTGGTTGGTAACGCATGTTGAACTTTGTATCCGTTGTCGTGATGTATCCGGCACTCGTGCTCTCATTCAGAGGAACAACAAGCGCTCAACACATCGACCAAGCAATATGCCAAGGTTACACAGTCGTGTTCATTCTATACAAGCTACAGAGTCTACTTCTTATCCTCCACCGCTGCGATGAAGTCAATCTCCACCAGCGAGTTCGCCGGCAACTGGGGATTGTTGAGGTTGATGCGTGCCGGCTTATGCTCTCCAAAGTATTCTCTAAGGACCTGCTCGAATGCCGCAAAGTCACGCTTGAAGTCTTGTAAATAGCAGTTCAGCTTCAAAATGGATCCAGCCGAGCTCCCACTCTCCTTCAGCACAATATCGATGTTGTGCAGCACTTGTTTCTGTCATTAGTGTGGGTGTCTGGATGAGGTGCTCACGGCCTGATCGGTGATGTTGTCTCCGACGATCTGGCGCTCCCGGTTCCACGGGATTGTGCCGCTTCCGTAGATAATACCGTTGTGGATCAGAGCCTGCGTGTATTGGTTCTTGACTTCGGGGGTCGTGTCGGGGTCGACGGAGCGGAAGGCCGGGTTGCGGGGAGGCATGGTGGTTGGCGTCAGTGTGTGAGGTTTAGCGCGGGGCGTTCGGAGGTCGGCGTAATATATATCGGTTGGAGTTCTGCAGTGAGCGTGCTGAACGGTTAATTCAACCGAGATCTCTTGTGCGCACCCCAATGTTGTCTGGCGTTGCGCGGGAAGCGCACGAAGCCGACTGTGAGTGCGGAATGGAGAGGGGGCTCGATGCGGAATAGAGGTTCGGGAAAGGCCCCATGGCGGAGTTCGGGATGGCTATCAAGACACCGATCGCGTGCCTACGTCAGCCGCAGCTGCAGCGGTGGGCGCTCCCCATGATTCCTAGACCTCTTTGTTCCTCTTCACAACGCCCACAATCGGCCTCTCGCTTGAGCACTCCCGCACGCGAATCCGCACCTTCTGCCTGCGGAAGTATCGATAAGCCCCTGCTTGGCAAAGATTCCTCCTCAATCAGACAGCGATCTGCTCGAGATTTTGACTTTATTTCATCCACATTCACCATGGCGAACACAAATACGCCCCTCAGCGCTGCAGCGCGCTTTCGCGCCATGCTGAGGGAGGACCGCACCATCGTCTCTCCTGGCGTGTACGATGGTCTCGGGTGAGCTCTGTTGCTGGCTATGCTCTCCGACCATGAAGCATTCACTGCTGACATCAGCGCCCGTGTCTGTCTCCAGAACGGCTTCGACACGCTGTACATGACGGGCGCGGGAACCGCAATCTCGACCCTAGGCATGCCCGACCTCGGCCTCGCGACCGCAGACGACATGGTGCGAAACGCGGCGATGCTAGCGAGCTTGGACCGGAATGTGCCCGTCATCGCGGACGCGGACACGGGATACGGCGGACCAGTCATGGTTGCGCGAACTGTAAGCCCTCCTCACCAGCCAGTACTGACTCCAGGTCGAGCGCTACATCCTCGCTGGAGTTGCCGGGCTGCACCTCGAAGACCAGGTCATTGCGAAGCGCTGCGGTCACCTTGGCGGAAAGGAGCTTGTGGACGAGGCGACATTCCTTGCCCGCATTCGCGCGGCCGATGCGGCGCGGAAGAAGGTCGGCGACATTGTTGTTATCGCGCGCACGGATGCGCTGCAGTCTCTCGGATTCGACGCCGCAATCGACAGATTGAAGAAGGCAGTCGTTGCTGGCGCGGACATGGCGTTCCTCGAGGGCATGACGAGTAAAGAGCAGATGGAGCGGGCAGCTAAGGAGCTGGTGAGTTCACCCGCCGAGAATGCATATGCTGAAGACCAGGCTCCCACGCCCTGTCTCCTGAACATGGTCAATGGAGGCGTGACGCCGCTCATTGATGCGAAGGAGGCCCAGCGCATGGGGTACAAGTTCGTCATCTGGCCCATCTTCGCGCTCATGAGTGCATTCAACGCCTATGATGCTGCTGCCAAGGAACTGAAGAAGACTGGGTTCCTGAAGGATCAGGGCGATGAGAGCGGGGTCAGGGGGGGCGTGCGGGAGGTGTTTGAGCTGTGCGGGATGAGCGAATGCGTCCGCTTCGACGAAGAGATGGGCGGGAAGACGTACAGCAATGGTGTCTACATGCATAAGATCTGCGCTGGGCACGTCTTGGCTATACTAACCGTCTCTCATCCCGCTGGTGAATCGCACAACAGCACGACGGCGATCCGGGACGAACCTCAAAGGTGGAGGGCAGGCGGCATTACGTGCACCTCAAGCTGTACATACGGTGTCTTGCCGATCCGATAGTGATCCTCTCTTGTTCTGATCATCCCGAGACACCCGCAAGCCGTTGACAAACGTGCACTTGCTATGACGCCATGGCGATCGACCGCAACTGTTACATACGAGGAGCTCACAACCGGACGTACAGAGGTTTAAAGCGCGGACGCAGCTTCGATAGCAGCCCTCACGCTCTTTGCCGCCCTCTCCAACTCCTCTTCCGTCAGTGGGCGATTCAACTTGGGATCCGCCAACTTGCCGATCAGGCAGTGATCGCTCCCGTCAGGACACGAGTCGAGGCATCTGTGCTCGTCAAAGTCGGCGGTGAAGTCGCTCGTGCCTACGGCTTTGCCTGCCGCTAGACACTTCTTGGCGTGGCCCTCGAGATCTGCGCCGTCTGGATCCTTGATATAGTTGGACCAGAAGTTGGTCCACGACACGCAGAGCTTGCTGGGGGCGTCGTACTCGTGACAGATCGTGAAGGGGGGGTCCACGACCTCTGTTTGCGGCCTGAACTTCAAGCCTAGAAGGATGGCAGCGTTTCCGATGAGGAAACCCAGCCAGGGTTTCCAGTCCATGCTCGAGATGGGTGGGGGCTGGGAGTGGGTGGTTGTGGTGGGAATGATGGTTGTGGTACGCTAGGAGGCGGGCGAAGAGCGCTGGGAGCTTGGAGTTAGAGCATTGGCCCAAGAGCTGGATGCTCTCTATATGGCTTCCTGGAGCCAAAACAAGCGTCCCTCACGTGCGACCCGGACCGATCTCACTACGGCCGGGCCAGGCACATCCGGTTCGGACCACAACGATAGATACCATTGATACCAGACTACCACAGACAGCCAGCCCCATAGTGGCGTGTGTCTCATGCACTTGATGCATCTCTGCAGCGGTCGAAAGCATCACGTCATAGTGCAGCACACTGCCATTCGAGACTATACATAGAAAAGCAGTTACACAGATATACTGAGACACCTGCGAGAGACTTGCTTCACAAGACTTTCGGGGTATCAGCTCTCCAGGAGAGGAAACCGTTCTTTTTCACCCGTCGTGCTCGCTCCTGTTCAGCTAACCTGCCAATATTGCAGTCTGAGCGACCATCCGGACATGCGTCGATGCACTCAAAGACTGTGAAGTCCGTCGCCAAATCGCTCATAACGGCCACCCTTCCTGTCGCGCGACACTTCTCGCCGTACCGGTAGAAGTCCGAGTATGCCCCGTTCGGTAGGTTGTACATGTAGTACTGTGACCACTTGATGCACAGGTCGCCGTTGACGCCGTCGATCCCAGACGCCCACTTATCACACTCTTGCCGCGGGATATTGTACGCTGGAAACCACAGCTGATAGACGCGGTAGGCGTTGAAGAGCGTCGTTGCGTAGGCTATCACCCAAGAGAACATGGTGGGCTAATCGAGGTCGACGAAAGGTGAGGGCGGTTGCACGTTGTTGGATATAAGTATCAGTGAGATTGCGGCGGTGGTGATCGGGCCGCACCAAGGGCAAACAACCATTCCTGCTTTATAGCGGTACCATCGATAAAACGCGCATCACGTGCAGTCTCGGGGGGCTGAACCTAAGAATAGCCGATAGCGCGATATGCAGCGGCGACGTCAGCGCCGTGAGGAGTTAAGCGTGAAGAGAGGAGAATGCGAAACGCTTCGAGTTGGAGTACAGGAACAGGAACCGCAGTCGAGCCTGCGGAACCAAACAGGAGCAGGTTTATCTTATGTCACCGTCCCACCCCCACCACCACTTGCTAATCAATCCATGGGGCACCTTACGCATAACGTAAAGCAAAGTCGCGTGTACAAACCAGTCTTAGAAACGCGCCTCTCACAGCTCAGAGGAATACTCTACAGGAGTCCTCGACTTGTTGGCGGCCCAAGCTAAAATCCCCTCGGTAGGTACCTTCGTCCACTCCCCTTCAGCCAACTTGCCGATAACACAGAGATCGCGGCCGTCGGGACACGAGTCCAAGCAGTGGTGAACGTCGGAGTCGTATGTGACCTCGGACGCTTTCCCCACGTCCTGGCATCTCTCCGTATATCCCGCGCGATTCGCGTACGCGCCGTTTGGGAGATTGCGAGTGTAATGGTTGGTCCACTTCCTGCACAGCTGCTCGTCGTCGGGTCCCACGTCCCACTCGTTGCACTCCTGGCGGAAGGGGATTATGGGCTCATAGTTGTACCACTTGACCGCGGGGCGGCAGGCGGCCACAAAAAGCGTCGCGTAGATCATGAACCAGCTCATGATGCATGCACAAGGGTGGGGCAGTCCTGGAAGTGTCGAGCCGGGGCTTGGCAAGGACCCGGTCTGGTGAGGTCGGATTACGTTGGAGCAAGGTGGGGTGTGGCTTCTTTATGGCAACGTCACAGCAACGCCAATGATGGTCTCCGTCTAGGAACGGTGCTAAGTTGATACGCATTCCGACGACATTGCGTTCCTGGGGTTTAAGGCTGATGGCAGTTCTATTCTTGTCATCGTCCGGGTGGCAAGCTGCGGGATCGGCACTTGGCTAGTGGAATCGAGGCACATGATGAGCATAGCCCCGATCGGCCGACCAACAGATACAGACCGCGGTGATCGCTGTGAGGCTTCTCTACTCCTCACATCCTTGTCTTCCAGGCTCAACCCACACCTCTTAACAGGACTTCAGCTCACACTGCATGGGCTTCATGCTTGCTCGAATCCGTGCGGGTGTCATGGAACCCACCCACCATCGAAGCACAGCTGCTTGATTCAGATTGCATTAGAGACTATTCACGACTTCGCGGTCTTGGTCTTGCGACTCCTGAGTTTCAGGAGGAGGAACACGAGCCCGTAAGACGAGAAACAGAACAACCTGTAATAATGTCAGTGACGTCTCCTTCTCGCGACGCGTCAGATCTCACAGAGTAATGAGAATACCCTTCCACCCGTCGATTTTGCGTTTGATGTTCATGTTGCCGAGATACTCGGAACCCTTAGCGTAGGCGCAGTATTCGCATGCGGCGGTCGCGTCCGGATTGTTGACATATCCCGTTGCGTACGTCAGGAAGGGCGCGAGGTACTTGCCGCACGTGAGACCGGGCGGCGGGTCGAATAGTCCGAACTCGTGCGGCTTGCACTCGACCGGTGCATTCCAGAGTGGGAACGTCAATAGGCCTTGCATCAGGTACTGGAACGGGTCGAGGTAGTACACTGTGAATGTCAGGCGGGTGCGCGAGCTACTGAGGCGAAATACTCACTCCAGTATCGCCAGAATGCCGGAAGCATCGGGTACGGCACGAGGATGCCCGTGAACGCAATGAGAATGCCGAAGAACAAAGGGAGCACTTCAGCGGCGAAGGTTGGGTTCGGTGCGTAAGCGGCGATGAACTGGCCCATCCCAGTGTAAAGGCTGAATGTCAGCTCAAGGATGATCAGTCCAAACTTACAATTCGTAGAACGTCATCTGGAGATAGACTGGGCCAGCAACGCCCGCAGACAGGTCGAGTCCAGACGGGAAGTACCAGCAAACGAAGTAGAGGAAAGCGCAGAGCAGGAGGTACGGGATCTCGGCGAAGATCTCCGCAAAGCAGAACACTTGCCAACAGTAGCTCTTAGATTTGCGTTCACGAGCTTCAAAGATGTCTCTGTTCTTGATGAACTTGGGCTGAGTTTGCACCATGACACCAGGCGCAATGAAGACGAACATGAGCAGGGAGAACATGCGATTCTGAAGGTCCGCAAGCGAGTTGCCGATCTTGAACCACGAAAAGCCCGAGATCAAGCCCGTGGCAGCGTGTAATACCATCTTGTTTCGTGTGTAGTCCGTATTCCTGTAGATCTGGATGCACGCGCGCCGTGTCACAACGCGCAGCTGCGTCCAGGTCGTCGCGGCAAACTCATACCCATCCTCCTCGTCTCCAGCGGGGCGCACTGTCGCATTGATTTCCTCAATATCGGCCAGCATCTTCTGTCGCTCCTCAGACTGGAGCCACACAGCCGCCCAGTCCCTTCCCATGCTCTCGTCGCCGGACACAATGTCGATCATCTCCTCTGCAGGGTTCTTTTCTTCCGGCCATGCGACTCCCTTCGAGCGGAAGTAGTCCGGAAGCTTAGCAACGTCGCCAAAGTATACGGTGCGTCCGCCACGGATCATGAGTAGCAGCTGGTCAAACTCGCGGAACAGCACCGCACTCGGCTGGTGGATCGTGCACAGGATCGCCTGTCCGGCGGCGGCGAGTTTCTTCAGGAATCCGACAACAACGAAGGCGCTCTGTCCGTCGAGCCCACTGGTCGGTTCGTCGAGGAAGAGGAGCGAGGGACGGCTCACGAGCTCGACGCCGATACTCAGCCGGCGGCGCTCCTCCACACCAAGGCCCTTGCCTGGCTCGCCAATGATTGCGTCGGCGATATCTCCGAGCTCGAGTAGATCCACAATGACATCGACATATGCCAACTTCTCGGCGTTCGTGAAGCGGCGCGGCTGGCGCAGAAGCGCACTGAACTCGAGCGCCTCGCGCACGGTGGCCTGAGGCAAGTGCACGTCCAGCTGCTCGCAGTAACCGGTCGTGCGCTGAAAGGAGACGGGCAGGCTCTGACCGTTCAGCTTCACTGTGCCCTCAATGACGCCATCCGATTTGCGCGCAGCGAGAACGTCCATCAACGTCGTCTTGCCGGCACCACTCGAGCCCATCAGCGCAGTGATCGTGCCCGCGCGACAGTAGCCGGACACGTGATCGAGGAGTTGCAGGTCAGAACCTGAGCGAGTCTTCACCGAGTAGCACACGTCGCTCCATGTGAATGTCGTCTGCTTGCCTTCCGCGCCGAGCTGTCCCGCTGTCGATGACACCTGGCTCGCCTTACTAGGTGCCTTCTCGACAACGCCTGCTTCCTCATCCGCAGGAGGCGTCTTCTTGCTGGCGTACGGTCCGCCAGAGCGCTTGTACAAGTTGACGTTCTGCTTAGATCCGGACGCGGGGAGGATCTCGAGGAAGAACATGCCGAGCGCAGCGATTGCAATCCAAAGCGCAATGATGATGCCAAAGTTGCGCCACACATGGTCACGGTTCATGTGCAGAGCGGTGCGGAGGTAGGCCGTACCGCTGACAGTCGTCGAACCGGGGACGTTACCAACGACGGAGCAGCCCTGCGGCATACCCGCGTAGGGTGGGCCGTACGGCGCCAGCTCTGGCGGCGCGCAAGCCAGGTCCATGTTCGTGAGCTCGTTGCTGATGACAGCCTCAAAGGTGTAGTACAGCGGGTTAATCCAGCGAATCCAGCCGAACCACGGCTTCATGCTGGGCACGTAGATGACGAAGCCGCCGTACACCACGAAGAAGATGAAGATGGTACCGGCGACCTTGCTGTCACGTCAGCTGAGAAACCCCAGGAGAATACTCACGATGAGTCGTTGAACTCGTTGAACGCATAGCCGACTGAGCGGAACAGAGTCGAGAACACCATTGTCACGAGCCAAGTGAAGAGGAAGCAGGTGAAGAAGAAGCCGGCGTTCGCACGCAGACCCGCCATCCAGTAACAGATTGCGACGTAGACGATGTTCTGGACAGCATAGATGGGGGCGTCAACAATCGCCTTGGCGAGGATTACGGTACTGGCGCGATAGAGGTTGTAGCTCTTGTGCTTTGCCAAGACACCACGGTCCTGGAAAGCGGCGTGAAGTTCCGAAAGTCCAAGAACGACGGGGTAGAAGATCGTCACGAACAGCACACCGCCGCGGAGATACAGGCCTGAGGTCGTGTCTGGGACGTTGTAATAGACGCTTCCGACGATCCACGCCTGGACGAAGGTAGTCACCATGCGCGCCCAGAACGACCATTGGTCCCCCCAGCGTTGCTGCCAGTCCTTGATGACTGTCGCTCTCGCTTGGGCGAGGTACGACCGACGCTGCGGGAGCGCCTGGAACGCGTGTCGAGCTTTCTGCGCTGCGACGGTGCGCTCAACTGCCTCCGTCTCAGTGCGCCGCGTTTCCTGATCGGCGAGCAGGGCGTCGACCTGCCCCCGCATGGCGCGGTACGTGTCGGACGCGCGGTACGCGGTGGCGAACTCAGCGGCCGTGTTGGGCACTTTACCCTCAAAGCCTGGTGCGACTTGACGTTCGTTCAGCGCCGTCACTGCAGTGAGGTAGTCGGCCGTGTTGGCACCTTCGGCGTGCACAAAGCCCATACTCTCAAAGTACGCTCGAGCCTGCGCACGAGGGCCGAAGTAGATCACCTGCCCCTCAGCAATGACGCAAACCTTGTCGAACTGCTCATAGATCCCGTTTCCAGCCTGGTACAGCGTCATGACATTGATACGGTTCGCGACGTCGCTTGCCTCGCGGCACAACTTTGTGAAGAGCACAGCAGTGTTGGCATCCAGGCCACGGGTTGGATTATCCCAGAACATCATCTGTGTCGGACCCGTCATCGCCTCGAGGAGCGTGATGCGTTTGCGCTCGCCTCCGGATACGCCTCGCACGTATTGGTTGCCGACCTTCGTGTCATGGGTTTGCTGCACGCGGAGCGCGCGAAGGAGATGCTGCTTGTTGTCCTCCTCGAAGTCGGCGGCTGGGACTGGCTCGCCCGCGGCGTCGAGCGGTCGCGCAGCCTTGGCGGGCACATTCATGCGCGCGGCGAAGTCCATTGTCTGCCCCACTAGCAGGTTTGGGTCGTGGTCCTCCTCCTCACCAACGTAGATGATCTCGGCAGCCATGCGGCGCGCCTCAGCCGATCCCGGGACGACATCGCCGTAGTGCACTGCGCCCTCAACGCCGGCGTACGCTGCTGTCTGTCCTGCGAGCGTCTTGAGGAATGCAGAGCACCCGCTCCCCGGCCGTCCGAGGACGAGCATCATCTCGCCGGGCAGGAGAGCGCCACTGAAGTCCTTCAGTAGGTACCGCTCACCTTTTCGCAGTCCCGGCTCGCCGCGCTTCGGTACTGGGTCACCCTTGTTCCAATGCATGGAGCGGTCGTGCGAGTTAGAAACTCGGTTGAGAGCCTTCGAGCGCTTGCGCGCCGACCACGCTAACCACGGCATTAGCATCGAGCCAAAGTCGGACGCGAAGCGCACGTCCTCCGCTCCGCCAACACCGCGAAGAGAGAGGTGGTCCCAGATCAGCGACAGGCCGGATCCAGCGTCGAGACCTCTCGATTCCAACGCCGCCTGGTCAGCCTAATGTATTGTTAGTGGGACCCTGGGAGGTTTCTCACCTTCAGTTGCTTCTCGTACGTCCATTCCTCGTCGTTGAATTTAGGGAGTGTAGTGGCGCTGGTCTTATTCGAATGCTCATCCTCGTTGTGTCCATCGTGCCGTGAGTTTTGACCGTCTTGGGCGGGGGCTGTGGCCGGGCCAGCTTCTGGCGGTGTCTGCTCCGACATAGTAATGAGTGTGTGAATGTGATTGTATCTGCGGAGGGAAGGCACTGTGCTGCCAGCTCTTATCATGTTTTCGAGAGCCTGTCAGTTCTTCACCTTCCCTGCTTTGCTCGGAGGCGCACGGGCAGCCAACGCGAGCTACTCGCCATCTGGCGCCGCATATGCGTACCCGGTGACAGTGTGAACAGGGATAGCACGCTGCGGCGTACCATTGAGCCATTCTTCTGGCCGCCGGCGTCAAACCTGGCTCGACAGTTGACAGGCCGGCGGCATTTCCGGCATGATTGAGCGCAATGAGCCATGACGCGGGGGCGAGCGCCCGCGAGCGACCGCAAGCTGCGCCAATGCGCTAGCTATCAGCCACGCGAGGCACGAGTACGGCTTGATTCCCGCAACGATGAGCATGGCATGGCACTGCGTATCGTTGCTCCGCCTCGACATTCCGGGTCTCCGACGACGGTGCAAGCGGTGCCTGCCGACTTCTGTTGCTGTGAGCACACAGCAAAGCGTCCACGGCTGACAGAGGCTTGATGAAACCTGGGACGTGAATTGCAGGACCTGGATCATGAATGTCGCATGGCGCGCCGCCTCGTCTTGCAGATCTTTTAGGACCGCAGCATGAGGACGTGATAGGCTGCAAGGGACCCGCCTGGGCGTCTTCGGACCAGAAATAGACGGAGGCGCGCACATGCTCACCGCAACGCGAGAGTACCCGATATTCGGTTGCTGTGGTGGTCATCGTCGTTTGTCAGCGTCAGCACAATGAGGAGAGTTGACATCAGCGGGCCGCGCAGCGCGCAGAGAGATCAGCGCGTGGCGGCCCTTCCGGCTGCAGATCATCTGACATCATCATGCAGCCTGGGTATGAGGTCAGCCAAACATATAAGGGGAAGAGAACAGAAGCCGGACTGACCGTGAGTATTTCGACGAAGTGAACATGGACAGCCAGGTGTCCTGGTTGGCACTGACCGACCGACCTCTCCTAACCTCAACTCCGCGTTGCCGTGTCGGCTGACGGTCTTGAGAAAGCCTGAATTGACCGTAGCTATTCCAAGATAGTGGGCAGTCGCTGATGCAGCTGACTCACGCATATAGCCGAGCGCTTAGTTGTGTTATCAGATCAACAAAGCATTCGCCGTTCATCATGACACGCGGGCAAAGGGGAAAGGGAGAATCGGGTGTGTCCGAGATTTGTCGGGGTCGGCGCCGCCAGCTACGCGACGTCGAAAAAAGGTTGGTGACGGAGTGGATACATCCGACGCGCCGACGCCCAAGACGCCGCGTTTGTATCACCGCTTTCACGGCCTCCACCGAAAGTGGAGGCACGAATTTCGTTGGAGTCTGTTAGCCGCCCACCAGCCCTTATCTATCGGTGACTCTTTCTCTGACATTGGCCGTTTTCCCTCCTTCATCTAGACAAAGTTAGACAGACACGATGGGCGTCAAGATTCTTAAAAACGGAAAGATCTTCACTTCGACGGACAACAAGCAGTGCGAGGCACTTGTCGTCGACGGCGAGCGTATCACCTTTGTCGGCTCGTCGGCTGATGCCGCGAAGCACGCTGGTGCCGTGAGTTGCGCGCTTGGATACTTGCTGACGAAAGGGAGCCGAGGAGATCGACCTGAACGGCCGCGTCGTGCTCCCCGGTATCATCGATGCTCACACCCACCTGATGCAGCTCGGTGGTGCTCTGACCAAGGTCGACTGCCTCGGCAAGAACATCCAGCAGGTCCAGGAGGCTATCAAGAAGCGTCGCGCGGAGCAGCCGAATGCGAAGATGGTTCTGGGATGCCAGTTCCAGTACGATGCCTTGGGCTGCATGCCGCACAAGAAGTACCTCGACGAGGTCGCGCCGGACTTCCCCGTCATCATCGACAGCAGCAGTCTGCATACCTCTTGGGTCAACTCGGCGGCGCTGAAGGCGATGGGTATCGACAACTCGACGCCGAACCCGCAGGGAGGCGAGTGGGTTCGCGACGAGAACGGAGAGCTCACGGGTTACGTCAAGGAGACGCCTGTGATGGAGACGGTGTGGCCGTACCTGGTGCGCGAGACGAGCGACGCTGAGCGCGTCACCATGCTCAAGAGCGTTTTCGACGCGTACCTCGCTACGGGTGTCACCGGCGCCGTCGACCTTGCAACTGTTCCAGAGGATCTCACCGCGCTCGAGGGTGCGGTCAGGGACTACGGGGGCCGCCTGCCCATCCGCATCGCGTGCCACTGGCTCATGCGTCCCGGAGGTACCCGCGAGCAGCGTCTGGAGCAGGTGCGCACTGCCGCCGCGCACCGCGAGCGCCTCGCCCACCTCGCCCCCTGGCTCACCATTGCCGGTATTAAGATCGTTAGTGACGGTGTCATTGACTCGTGCACTGCGTACCTTTCGGAGCCGTACCCCAACGGCGCTACCCCGGGTCCCATCTGGCCCTCGGACGAGCTCGCCGAGGTTGTCCAGCTCGCGGACGAGCTTGGCATGCAGGTCGCGTGCCACGCCATCGGTGACGCGGCGGTCGCGCAGGCGCTCGACGTCTTCGAGGCTGCGGCGGAGAAGAACGGCCCCAAGGAGCGCCGACACCGTATCGAGCACCTCGAGCTTGTCAGCGAGGACTCGATCAAGCGCCTCGCCAAGGCCGGCGTCATCGCGAGCATGCAGCCCGTCCACGCAGACCCTGTCAAGGTCGTCAACTGGTGCGACGTCCTGAACCACGACCACCGCTGCGACCGCATGTTCCCGTGGCGCGAGTTTGAGGACGAGAACGCCAACGTTGCCTTTGGCTCGGACGCCCCCACCGCTCCTTACCACCCTCTGCCGAACATGTACACGGCCACGACGCACAAGAGTGCCATCGACCCCAACCGCCCCGACCCGACGACCGAGCGCGAGAAGAACCTCGCCCGTCTCTGTGTCAGCGTGAGTGATTGAATTCAGAACAAGAGGAAAGTTTTGCTGACAAAGCCCAGCTTGAGACCTCGATCAAGTACTACACCGCTGGCGCTGCGTTCGCGATGCGCACCGACGACCAGGCGGGTACCCTCGCGCCTGGCAAGAGCGCCGACTTCTGTGTCCTCGACATCGACCCGTGGGTGCAGGGCCTCGACTCGCTCCGCAAGGCTCAGCGCGGCGTCGCTGAGACCTGGGTTGCTGGCGAGCGGGTCTGGAAGAAGGAGTAGGCAAGACGTGCTTGCTTAGGTCCGGCGAGTACCGCGCGCGCGGCGGTTGTCTGCAGTAGGCTAGATTTCTCTTTTTGGGTCTATGCATCAGTACCTTTAGCAGTTCTTGGCACTCTTCCGGCACTGACACTGATCCACAATGCACGTTGCTCCGCGACCCCGCTCCGAGCGTATACCCCGCCGACTTCCATCGACACGCAAGTGTCGCTCCGACGCAAGGGGTATGGAGTCAGTTCGGTCCGCGCCTCGGTCACGATGGTCCTCGATACGGACTTCGGCGCTCGGAGTCGGAATGGCGGAACGTGCAGATGTGCTGGAGGCGGCTTCGGCCCTGGATATCGCAAGAGCCTGTTGAGCATGAGAAACGGCGCTAGGCAGACATGTGAATCTGCTAAAAGCAAAGTGGCACCGCCTTGACAACGCTCCCTGGAATCGGCCACTCGTGCCTCCTCCGAACATTGCTAGCACATGTCGTGCGTAGCAGACCGCAGCGCCGTGCGCCGTGTGTGCCGAAACTTGCCTGCCAACAGCATTCATCGAAACTAGACTCCCACTACTTTGCGCTAACAACATTGCGGTGCTCAGCTGCTCCCGAGAACGACCACTAAGACAACGCTGGCGAAGCGTTCCAGCAACTTGGAACGGCCCTGGTCCCTATGCACGCGACAGCAGTGACTGAACGCTGATGTGTGCGTGTACTAGTGCGAGCGGAGTGTGAACCCAAACATTGTTCCGGGTCGCGTCCGTCGCGTAGAGCGCGCCTCGGATTGGGGTGTCGCGCGTACCACGGAATGGAAAGCAGGGACCAACGTGTACAGGGAGGCGGCTACAACCTCGGACCACGGAACACGGACCGCAGTGACTGTGGTTTGTGGCTGCAGAGCAGCATGCACTCAGTTCGAGCAGACCGACTAGCATGACATTCAAGGTCTGTCGGCGATACATAAGATCCAAGCTATGATGTTTTCGTAGCAGATCCCCAGCTCCGACTCCGAAGCCCAACTGCAAACCATCACGCTCTCTCCACGTTCACGCTCCTTCAACACAAGCACAAGCATTATGCGCCTCATCGTCTTTCTCTCCGTTGTTGGGATCTTCGCCTCCACCTGTCCCGCCTCGGCTACGGACTACCTGGGTCCTTCGTCGGTGCCTGTACCACAGCCGACAATCCAGGCCGAACGTCGAATGCAGCGACGCGGCGTTATCGGTGCGAACTGATTTCGAGCATATCACGGACCCGGTGCCTTTGCTTGGAGCTGGGCTCCCCTCTCGGCACCATCACATTATGGCCGCAAGCCGACAAGTGCGAGCACCTCTGGAGTCTCCATAGCCTCTTTCTTCGGCACCGTCCGCCATCCCCCCTCGCTCCCGTCCAGTCTCCTCGGCGGCTCTTCCTGCCCCCTCGCCATGAGCCCCTTGTGCGGAGCATGCGTCGACCCCTTCCTCTCCCTCCACAGCGTCAACCTGCGCTCCATGGCCTCCTCGTCCGCCACGTCCCGGGGACAGTAGCACACATACGTCGCGAGCCTCGGCTGCGTTCCGACTGGCGAACAATTCCAGTGCACCGTTCTCGAGTCCCAGAGGATCAGGTCACCAGCGTCTGCACACACCTTGACGGTCTCGCATTGGGACTGGTACCATTCGAACTCTTCTTCCGTGAAACGATGCGCGTCCGTTGCCGGCCCGTCAAAGCCGGCGGGATACTGCGAATGGAGCAAGTGCGAACCACGGAGCACGCATAACCCGCCATCCTTCTGCCCGTTCGGCGCCAGGTTGGCTATGCCCTGGTACAAACTGAACGGCGCGCGGGGGTCGGAGTCAATGTGTGGCCACGGCTTCGTTGGCTGGATGTCGCGCTGTCCCTGAGGCCCGAGCGGGAGAGAGACGTTGATCCCATCAAAGCTAGCGATCAGGTCAGAGGTATCCCACAGCTGCGCGAACACGGCCAGGATGCCGGGATGTCTGCGGTAAGCAGTGAAGGAGGAGAACAACGCACGTCCGAATCGCCCACACGAAGGACTCGTGCTGCACGCTGTGCTGGTAGTAGAGCCCGCCGAAGGCGCTGGAGGGCAGGTGGGCCGCCGTCCAGGTCGACTTGTCGTTGACGTTGAAGCCTAGCCCAAAGCCGGACAGCCACGCCCAGGCGGACTCTTCGAACGCACGACAAGCGGCCGCGTCCACAACACCGGGGACAACGCAGTACCCATCCCGCTCGAGGTCGTGCTGCCACTGCGGTTTCTTCGTCTCAATACCTGTAGTTGAGGTGATGGTCATGGTGCTAGTTGCTTTCGGCAAACCCCCACCGCGCGAAGGAATCCAGGCCATGCTTATATGTATGCATTTCTAGATGAATCGACTGAGCGTGGCTTGATGCATGAGATCTGCCGATTACAGATGACAGTGATCATGTGCTGGGAGAGTTTAACCGGAGCATTCCGCTGTTGGTGGATTTCTCGGACCGGATTCCGACAGTTACAACCGGCTCTCCTTTGGCGAACGTTCCGCCGCGTCGCCGTACACGTACGAATCGACAAAGTCGAGCAAGGGGGTAATGACCGTGTCCCATTCCGGATCTTGCGGGCCCTGCGTGTCAACAAGTACTCAGGGTGTGAATGAGGTTGGTGGAGAGGACTCACGGCGATCTTTAGGTCAAAGTTGTGCAGCTCGCCGGGCAGGTACATTGCTCTGCACGGCAGACCCTCGGCGCGCAACGCCGCCTCGAGGTTTCGCGTATGGTACGTCGGAACGGTCCAGTCCTTCTCCCCGTGCACCATGAATGCTGGCGGGAACCGCTTCCTCTCATGCACCTGCCGAACGACATCGAGCGGCTTCAAGCTCTCCATCCACTCCTCGTCGCTGTTGAACGTCTCCCTCCGTCCACCGATCACGCTCATGAGCCGCCGCTCGTATTCGTACGTCATCATGTCGATGCGCATCTGGGCCGTCTTTGGCGGTTCCCAGTCCGATGGCAGGCCCCAGTACGCCTGTAACTGCCCCAGAGTGAGGTTGGGCGGGAGCTCGTGCTTGAACACGCCGCAGAACTCGGCTTTCGCCGGGTCGCGCTCGTCGCAGAACGCCTGGATCGCCTGCAGCGAGTTGACGACCTTATTCAGCGGCGGGTCCCGGCCGGGCGGGAGGAAGTAGGGGTCACTGCAGGTCGACATGCCGTATACTGACACGAAGGCTGTGGGCATGGGTTCCAAGCGGAGCGAACCCCAGGCCGCGATTGCGGCGCCGGCACTGTCTCCGCCAGTCACCCAACAGGAGAGGTCGACCTCAGTGCCAAACTTGGAGAGTACCGAGGGGAGATTTGACTGGAGCCAGTTGAAGGCAGCTTCAGAGTCCGACATGATGTCGAAGAAGGAGACGTGAGGGAGCAGGCGGTACCCGACCGAGATGACGTGGTACCCTCGTGAACGGAAGCCGGGGAGGATCCACGGGTTCGGCGTGTAGTGCTTCCCAAAGCTACTGTCAGCACAGGATCAATCTGAAGGCGTACGTGAAACCACCGCCGTGATACCACACGAGATACGGGCGTGGTCCCTTTCCACTCGTCGCTGGCCATACTCGCAAAGGGATGTCGACGCCGTGCTCGCTTTTGTACACGTGGTCCGAGTACGGTCCCGGTACCGCATTCATGTACCACGGCCTAGCGCGCTTCTTCAGTTTCGGAGGACCCATCACTGTTTACGCAAGAGTTGGGTGGAGTTGTTGGTGGAGAGTAGAAGAGATTGTTGATTTTATCGACAATCTCCACCCCGCCGGCAGGAACAGCCGATGCAGCTCGGGTGTGCCTTTAGCCGGAGGTGTCGGGGCCGAGCGTGACCGAGTTGTCGGCGATCTCGTGCTGATAACGGAATATGGTTTCGCTGCGTTGTAGACTGCTGAAGACTGAGTGCTGCGTGCTCTCTACAGTCTAGCCACTGAGATGGGAAGCTAGACGGCTGCTAGCTCTGCCACGGAGACGATTCATGTTCAATCGACTGCTAAGATATCTTTGGCGTGCAGCCAAATACACCGCACGTCCAGTCGGATTTGACCGAGCACGGCTTCTGTCAACCGGAACTCTGGTGCCCATGCATTCGCCAAGTCAGAGGTGCACGGCGCTCAGTCTTTGCTTATGCATACTGCTTTCTCGTCATCACCGGCCGCTCGTCCATCATGTGCACGCAGACGGCTAGCCCTCCACCGCGATATGCCGACGATTAAGCGCCAGTCGGCTCCGACGCGCGATTCACGTCCTTCACACTTTCCCTCTCCGCCGCGCTGATGCCGCCAGCCTCCAGTATCCGCCCCAGCACCTCGCTCTTTCCCTCGACATACACATTGATGTCGTCCGTCTGCTCTCCCAGCCGTCTCTTCGTTGCTGCATACTCCTCGCGCACATCCTCCCTTTCCCGCAGCACGTCACGCACGGCCAGGTGATTGCGCAGCGCCAGACAGCCATCGGCGCAGACGTAGATGTTACGCTTTAGCCCGCCGTGCTTGGCTGCATGCCAGACATCCGAGGGGCTGGCAATAGCTTCGCGTCCAGGAATGCCGAGGTTGCCTCTATGCGTGTACCCTGCCGCCGCTAGGGCAGCGATGACGGCTGGAACATGAGCTGGCGCCGTTACAATATCGACGTCGAGGACTGGTTTCGCCCAGAGACCCGGAACGGAGGTCGAGCCGACGTGCTCTATGCGCACAGGAAGGCCGGCGAGGACTGTGGCGAGCTCGGCGGAGAGGGAGGCGAAGTATTCTGGCCAGGCGGGGTCATACTCGACGACTTGGATCGGCATGATGGAATGTTTGATGTTGAAGTGGAGGTTGCGAACGAGCATGGGCTCAAAGATGATGAGTGGCGGGTGACTGCGCCTGGCTGGCCATCGCTCGGGTTTTTGCCTGTCACCATGTTCTGGACAAGCATGCTTGAGCCGGCGATGGCGAGCACGGCACTACCGAAATGGGAGGCTGGACTGTGCGCTGCGCGTGATTGACGCCGTGCACGACCCAGCCACGCCTGCGGGCGCTGTCACGGGCTGTGCAGTGGCAACACACGTCGCGCACAACCCACGCCCGCCGCACGTCCCCTTCAATGTTGTTCGCATCTCACATGCCTATCCCGCCCCCCATAACCCGTTCACTTGCTTTAACACTTGGGGCAACGTTCTTGTTGCCATGGCACACATCTTCATCTCCATCACACGTCTGTTCGCTCTCAAGCTCGCAAGCTCGCACGCCCTCCAGCTCGCACCGATCACCCCGATCGCCCTAACGCCTCCTCCACAACAGCGCATCTTCGCTCCGCACAAGGATGCGCACTCACCTCCGCACTTCTTTCGTCATATCACCAGGGCTGGTCACATAAGAAGACGTTGACAACGACATGACCATCGTCGAACACGCCAACATCCAGATGACGTCTGCGCTGGCCGCGGTCACGGCGCCGGCACCGCCGACCAAGCGCAAGATGTACGCGCACCAGCTGGTCAATGAGCTGGAGGAGAGTGAGTACATTACCCCGTCTTGCACACATCTCAGGAGCCATGCTCTGCAGAGTATGCCGGCGTTTGCCACAGCTAGGCGCCGGCGGCACCCTCGCTGGCGATCAGAATCCAGCACCCGTGTGGTTGCTCATTTGGCGCTGGGGTGCGACAATGGATGGCCAGCTAGAACGTAGTGGGAAGCTAACGTCCAGTCGAGATCCAGGTCACAGTCGCGATCAAGGACCGCCCGTTGCGCGAGCTGGACGCGCTCGACGAGCTCGTCGACGTCAAGTTCCTTTCTCCCTTCCGCGCTGGCTGGTCAAGCATTAAGGCGAAGGGCGGCAAGTCGGCCATCTACCGTGCTCGCAAGATCAAGGTGGGTTCTCACATCATCTCAGCACATCAGCTGTGAGTCGTTCTCGGCCAAGCTGACGCCAGGTCGCCCAACTCGAGGCGTTGTACCGCGCCCTCTCCCTCCCGCGGCTCTCGACGCTGCACGTCGACTTCCCCGCCCACCTCGCAGCCTTCATCCTCCCCCGCCTCGAGCCGAGTACAGAGGCACTGCAGCTGTCGCCCGTGCCGCCCAACGCGACGCCGGAACTCGTCTCCTTCCTCCTCCGCTGCTATCACAAGGGCACCCGCGTGCTGCTGCTCGAGACAGAGGATCCTGTCGCATTCGACGCGGTGAAGCAGGCCTTCTCCATCATCCGCTACGAGTTTGAGGGCCGGTACACGCGCGTCGTGCTCAGCGAGATGGACCCGATGCCGTCCATGGTGTCGGAGGCTTCGGGTCCGACGCCGCTGTCCACTCCCTCGATGCTCACGCGCGGGTCTAGCGCGACGCCCTCGATCGCGCCCTCGCTCTCGCCGCCGCTGCACACCCCTTAACTCTTCTCATCCTCCAACCCACACCGGCCATGAGCCACTCATAGACTCCAGATCAGACACTCATTTGACTGCATATAATCGTCAGTACGGACACTAGGGCACCCCGGCATTGTGCATGTCTCTCTTTCCTCTTTCTCTCTCCCGTTTCCTCTCTATTATTATCTGCAATGCATCGGAATCAGCATATTTTAGGATTGGTTGTAATTGTTCTTGCTTAAAACAAAGATTTTGCTTGCCAGCATGTATGCTGGCCGGATCGCGGTGGTCGTCGCGTTCAGCTCGCGGCCGCGGTCGCCCCAGTGCTTCTTCTCCCCGAGACAACAGATATCGTTACCAGATGTTCATGTTCACTCTATGCGCAGCGACCGCTGCCTGCACTCGCTGCGCCCGTGCCTTGGCACTTAGTTGACAGAGACGAGCTTGACGTCAAACTTGAGCGTCGAGTTGGGGGGAATGCCGGGGAGACGCTGCTTGCCATAAGCGAGCTTGGCGGGGATGGTGAGGCGGCGCTCGCCACCGACGGCCATGCCGGCGAGACCCTGGTCCCAGCCGGCGATGACCTCGCCACGGCCGAGGACGAAGGAGAAGGGCTTTCCGGAGGTGTTGGCGTCGAACTGCTTGCCGTTCTCGAGCTTGCCGACGTAGCGCATGCCGAGGCGCTTGCCGGGCTTGGCGACGGGGCCGTTACCCTGCTTCACGTCCTCGATGATCAGGCCGGAGGGGAGGGTCTGTGGTGTCAGCTGGGAAACGGGTGAAGATAGCTGGAAGCGATAGCCAGTGCCTGTGGCCTAAAGCAGCCCAATGAAGAACAGCCGGAAGCATCAGTGCAGGAAGAAGCGGAGCATGGGGGTGCGTCTGCATTACTTCCTACAATTAATGTCGTCTGGGTTGCTATTCTATAAAGTTCTTAGGGCGTTGGGAGACTGGTATATCCGCTCCAGCGTTTACTTTCTCACCTTCTTCGACTCCTTCTTGGGGGCAGCCTCCTTCTCCTTCTTGACGTTGGCGGCGGCAGCCTCCTCGAGCTTGGCCTTCTTGGCGAGCTTCTTCTTCTGGCTCTTGGAGAGCTCCTGCTCCTCGGCGGCGGGGGCCTCCTCCTCGGCCTTGCGCTTCTTGTCCTGCTTGGCGGGCTTCGACTCAGGCTCGATCAGCTCGATCTTGCCCTTGGGGGCAACCTCAACCTCCTCGTCGAACTCCTCGACGTCGAACTCGTCCTCGTCGTCGAGCGAGAGGTCGTCGTAGTCGTCAGACTCGTACTCGGAGTCAGAGTCGGAGTAGTCGTCGGCGGGGAACTGGTTGACGTAGTTGCCCATGAGGTGGACGGCGCTGAACGTTAGTTATCGGAATGGAAAGAATGGGTAACTCACTTCTCGCCGGTAACCTCGAAGATGACAACCTCGCCCTCGACAAAGGTGAGGTTGAGGACAGCCTGCTCGCACTTGCCAGCGGTCAGCGAGCAGAGGACAGAGGTCTCCTCGAGGTCGTCCTCGTCGTCAGAGTCGTCCTCCATGTCCTCGTCGTCGTCCTCCTCGTCATCGTCATCGCCCTCCTGCTCCTCAGAGTCCTCGGACTCCTCGTCGTCGTCGTCGCCCTCGGGACCCTCGAACGACTCGTCGTCCTCGTCAGAGTCGAACTCGGAGTCCTCCTCGAAGGCAGACTGCGAGATGGGGTTGTGGGTGACCTTGACGACCGAGCGGCCGGTCTCGGAGAGGAGGTCCTCGGCGAGGGCGGCGTTGGTGATCTGGAAGTCGCGGTTGACGTAGAGAGGGATGGGCTCTCCGGGAATGAGAGTGAGGGACTGGGTGTTAGCTGGATGCTCTTGTGCTAGAAGCTATGCTCCGAGGTAGAGTTGGGTTGAAAATCTGCCGGCGCCGTAACCTCAGCAACATCCACCCTGGACATTGTTTTGATGTTTGCGTCGCCCCCGCCGCACGGACACCGGCGAGCTCGTCTCCGAGACGATAACAATGGCATGCAGCGACATCGATGAGCCGAGCCGCTGCTCTCTCCACAAGGCATAGCCTTTGGTCCAGATGCAAGACCGCGGATCCCTCATCGGTAGCAGCGATCGGATGACGCTACGAGTGCGGGGCCAGCGGGGGACAAACAATGAGGTTGACCGAGGAGCTCGACCCGACTCGACTCTCGAGCGCAACAAAGCAACTACTCACCCAGAGGTTCATGCGGACGGTCATTTTTGCGATGTGGTTGTAGGTGAAAGGAACAAGATAGGTGAGAGAGAGGTGAGAAGGAAGGCGGAAGGATGTTCCACGAACGTTCTACACGCCCGGCGTCATCTCGGCGCCCCCTGGACCAGCCCTCGATCAACTTTTCAGAAGCGACCGTGGGACCCTTGCACATCATTACGTAACTCCTACCCACGCGACAGCTGGAAAACAATGACGTGGCTGGGGACCTGGGGTCTGATTGCTGGGCAGTGACGCACGTCACCATGCACACGCCGGACTCAGCGCGGTGCCCGTCCAGCATCCAGCTACTGCAACGCACACACCTCGACCTCGACACCGACAGCGAGCAGCAGCGATGGTGAGCTAAGGTAACAGGTTACAGCTGACAGAAACAGTCGAACACCCTCCGCCCATACCTGAACGCGGTCCGCGCGACGCTCACGGCGGCGCTCACGCTCGAGAACTTCTCGTCCCAGGTCGTCGAGCGACACAACAAGCCCGAGGTCGAGTCGAAGTGAGTCGTCTTTCGGATGGCGCGTCATCGCCAGTTTCCTCATACTATCCCTTGGTGGGCGCTCTGGCGTGCTGTCGACGTTACCGAGCACGGGTCTCAGCCGAACTGGCCGCATCAGCTGCAGCCGACGTACGGTCTAGCTAACAACAGGAACACGCCCGAGGTGCTGCTGCACCCCCTGATCATCTCGCGTAACGAGAGCGAGCGGGTGCTGATTGAGCCGTCGATCAACTCGATCCGCGTCTCGATCTCGATCAAGCAGGCAGACGACATTGAGAAGATCCTCTGCCACAAGTTTACCCGCTTCATGATGATGCGTGCGGAGAACTTTGTGATTCTGCGCCGAAAGCCTCTCCCCGTGAGTACCCAGACTCCAGCGATAGCTGGAGTCGTAAATGAACCCTCTCCTGAAAAGCGTGGCCGCACGAGGACCGTCGTACCGAGTACCGGAGAGCTGTGGAGGATCCGAATACCCAGCTGACACCCAGGGATACGACATTTCCTTCCTGATCACCAACTTCCACTCCGAGTCCATGCTCAAGCACAAGCTGGTCGACTTCATCATCCAGTTCATGGAGGACGTGGACAAGGAGATCTCCGAGATGAAGCTGTCGCTCAACGCGCGCGCTCGCATTGTCGCCGAAAGCTACCTCGCGACGTTCACGTAACCGACATTTCAGAACTTAGATGTTGTCAGAAGACAATAAATTAGCAACGGCTTTGTATACTAGAGGGGATATGCATCGGTACCCGCCACATCACGCCCTCGTTGGGCTGTGCGAGGGATCAGCGCTGTCGGTGTGTGGCCAGCATGAGGGGTCGGCCCTTGGGCACAGCAACAGTCTAGGCCGCATTCGTGAATCTGTCACGGCCACACGACGGCCATCTATTATATCCTGGCATCTCCTGGTCTACATGGCGTATACATAACCAAACATACGGGCGCGCTTGCGTCTTTACGCAATCGAGCCAGGCCTTACAACGGCGTGATGATCGAGGACGACTTGGCATCCGTGATCGTGCGGAGGACATAGTCGTCTCCGCTCTGGCAGATGTAGCGCACCCACGGGAGCGCGCTGTACCCGCTCTTCTCGACAATCTTGAGGTACCGGACCTGGATGCCGGAGAGGGTGAAGTAGGGGATCTCAAAGGAGACGCGCAGGGGCGGACGCTTGTCGAGCTCCTCGCCGACGACGGAGGGCAGACCGAAGTGCGCACGCATCAGGTAGTCCTTTCCTCCGCCGAGTTCTGAATGTCAGCTACCGCCTCCAAGCGAGACAGCCATGGCGACGAGAAGGTGACGTAGGGGTTCCAGTGCAACTCTCCCAGACACAACTCACGCTTGATCTTCCAGATGAACGCGCTCTTCTCGGGAGCATAGACGACGGATCCCGTTGCGGCGCGGAATTTCGGGCTGTCCGCGTCTTCCGGGACGGGGACGTAGATCTCGACATTGTTCGCCGTACTCTTGCGCTTGAACTGTCCGCGGACCTTGACCATGTACTCTATGCGCGAATTCTTGTACCGCTCGACGCTTGCCTCGACCCAGACAAGGGGCTTGACGGGGGTGGAGAGGCGGTAGGACATGAGCTCAAACTCGCCGTCGGGTGGGATGAAGGAGATGGTGCGGTCGTTCTCGAAACGCGACAGGCGCACGCACTGGTGGAACTTGACGTCCTCCATCTCGACCGACTTGCCGCGCGCCGCCCGCCCCGTGTTCTCAAACATGACCTTGTCGTTCAGACCCAGGCGCAGCTCCGGCATTCCACTCAGGTAGCACTTCATCTTGACGGACCCCAGAATCTCGGACCGCACGACGTTGCCGCTCGCGTTCACGAGCAGGTTGACACTCTCGATCACGTCCAGGAACACCTCGTTCTTGCGGTATCGGATGCCCTCTGAGCGCCAGGACACGGCATTCGTGACCGCCATGGGCGGGCGGACCTGAACCTCGAGCTTGTGCGACTCTTGCGTAATGTACTCCTGGAGAATCTTGGACTCGGTCGTCTGCGGATATCCAAAGTCCATCATCTCATCGAGCAGCTCGTAGATGATGACAAAGTTGTCCCGGATCGACTCCTCCTCCACTTCCTTAAAGTACTCGGCCAGCACGCTCACGAGCCGGTGCAGGAAGAGGATGATCTCGGCCGCGTTCGAGTTACGCTTCGAAAGCGCCAGCAGGTAGAGGTTGTTGTGCCGAATGTGCATGTAGTTGATACCCTCGTCGGAGAAACAGGGCTGGATCGGAATGTTCTCCTCCTCCATCTCGAGGATCAGCGGCAGGAACTTGTCGACGCATGAGGCGGGGACGTCGTCGCGGTATGATCGTTGAATTAGGGACTGTCAGTCAGCTCGAGGCCAGAGACGAAGCTTGAGTCAGCAGCAATGTGATCGCACCTTGCCCTTCATGTCGAGGATGGCGACTGGACGTTAGCTGTGCCTGCAGTCGCGTCGAGCTCACCGAGACTCGCCATGGCGGGCAGAAGATGCGCTTGAAGTGTTGCGCGGCCGAGGCGATAGAGAGGAAGTCACGAAGCGAAGAAGTCCAAAGGAGTCGTCGGCGTCTGTCTGCCTTGTTCGTTGTCGTGTGTGTCTGTGGGTGAGCGGTGCGTCGCCGTGCCGCGTCGTGTCGCACAGCTAGGGTGTGAGCGGGTGGAGGGTCTGATGTTCAACCCTTAAGTCGCACTCCCCGTTAAGATATTTCAGACAGAGAGCGATCGACCCCGTTGCCACGTGGACAATTTTACCCCGCATTTGCCGCAGGCTAAGGGACGACAACTCGCTCGCTGGACGTGACGTGACGGGGAAGCCCGTGCAGTGTGCCAGCAACGCGCCCCCTTATCGACTTGCTACTCTCCTTCCTTTCCCGTTGACAACTTCCATTCCCTCACTGTCTACTCGCTCGATACCCACAGTCACTACATCCCACAACCTTACACTTGTATACTCTCACACTCAACCCCGCCTGCATTCATTCACATACCACCCAAAATGGCCGACGTGAGCTAAGCATCTGGCAACGACAGCTGACATTCCAGCACCACGACGACGAGCTTCTCCCGACCCAGACCGAGGGCTACAAGGTTCGTCTCATCTCATTTAAGATTTCTGCTACATTTCAATTCAATGCTGACGCTCAGGTCGGTGAGGCCAAGACCATGGCCGAGCTCGCCGCCCTCGACCAGGAGGATGAGTCGCTGCAGCGCTGGAAGGCCTCGCTCGGCCTCACTGGTGGTGCCGGCGGCAGCGGCAAGAAGGAGGTCGTCCCCGTCTCCCTCTTCCTCACCTCCCCCACCCGCCCCGGCGGGGACATCACCCTCGACCTCACCCTGCCCCCCGCCGACATTGCCAAGCTGAAGAAGGACCCTAGTGAGTTAGCTCTTGCTCAATGGAACTGACCCCAGTCACCATCAAGGAGGGTGTCGAGTACAGCGTCGGCATCAAGTTCCGCGTGAAGAGCGAGATCGTCTCCGGCCTTAAGTACCTGCAGGTCGTGAAGCGTGCTGGTGTCACTGGTAAGTTGGCAGGTTCTCACCGCAACTGACATTCAGTCGACAAGACTGAGGCGATGCTCGGATCATATGGACCCCAGGAGGAGCCGTACACCAAAGTCGTAAGTTGATTTCTTGATGTATGTAACTGACCTCAGTTCGCTTCGGAGGAGGCGCCCACGGGCATGCTCGCGCGCTCTGGTTCGTACGCCGTGCGCTCGCGACTCATCGACGACGACAACAATGTCTGGATCGACGTCGAGTGGGGTGAGTACAGCCATCGCAGGGTCTGAGGCGAGGTGACGAAGGGTGCGAGGTTTCACCGCCTCACGCCGAGCACGCCTCGCCCGCCTCGTCTTCGCAACGCCCTCCGCGGAGTCCAAACACTGACCTCTTCCCAGGCTTCAAGCTGTCCAAGGACTGGTAATCGCGCCGACCAGGAAGCACTAGACGTGCGCCGCGCACACCACCACCGACCGAGTCGCCCATGTCCGCTTACGGGCGATCAGTCCGCTTACGGGCTGATCGCGGTCGGATACAGATACTACAGCAGCTTTAGGGGGATGTTATATTTTAATGATTGTTGTCCCACATGTTACCAACGGTGCACATTGTACTCCTGTGGGCCTGTCACTGACTTGTTCTGTGCCTCGTGAAAGCGTCAGGTATATCAGCCCCTCGAGCAACATGCATGCAGGACCGGGCCATCTCTAATGAACAATTGCTAGTCGTGTATCTATAGCACCTCAATACTCTGATCCCTCGACGTTAAACTTCTTGCCATACGTCAGATATCCCATCATGAGGTTGAATATGCCATCGGGCAGATTCATGGAGAGGAGGGTGTACTCGATCTTGGCGAGCCCATGGACCTGGCCGAGGGTGAAGATGGCATGCGCGATGGAGCTGGGGTAGCTGCTCTCCATATACCACCTGTGGTGGTAGGCCGTAAGCTTGATAGCGGCGTTGAGGGTGCGCGGCAAGTCGGCATCAGAGGCGTACATATCCAGCAACCTGAGCAGAGAGCGGGCGGAAAACTTGGCATCAAGGCAGCGCTGGAACGCATCCTTGGCCTCGTCCTTGTGGTGCAGCCGGAGTGCCAGCTCGCCAAGGATCTCCCACTCCGTGCCTGTCTTGCGGTACGACATGTGCTGGGTCTGGAAGTGCGAGATCTCGGCGCGCCAGATCGTGTACACGCGCAGATCCTCGTAGAGCACCAGGAAGAGATTGTCCAGCCACCGCTCACAGAGGCGCTTATTGCTGAAGGCGGAGCCCTCGAATTCCTCGTCCGACGCCGAGTCGTGCGCCAGCTGCTCGGGCTTTTCTAACGCGGGATGCGGGACCTTCTTCTTCTCCGCCTGCTGCTGCTCGGCGGCGGCCTGCTCTGCGTGCTCTGCGTGCTCCTTGTCGTCATCTGCCTTGGCGTCTGTGGGTTTCGTGTCCTTGTCGTCTTTCTCGTCCCCGGGCTTGTCGTGCTTCGCATCGCCGTTCGTGTCGGTTGCGTCCTTTGTCTCGTTGTCCTCGTCGTGGTGCGAGACCATGATCGTCGGCGTCGTTGCGCGGGAAATCCCGTCGTCCGAGTCCGGACTGTGGATCGCGCGCGTGGACGCGTTCTCGTCGTCGCCGTCTCCGTTGCGCGCGCCCGACGCGTCCATCGACGCACTGCTCTTGTGCTGCCTGTACTCCTCCTCCATTACGAAGACGGCCGATCTCGTCTTGAGCAGCTCGTCCCACCCGATCTGCGACACCATCTTGGCCAGCAGCTCGTAGGCCTTGCTGAACGTCCCCCTGAGTCCCGGGGCGGGGAGGCGGAGGAGCGCGACGTCGGCCTCGTTATCACGCGCAGACTCCTCGTCAATCAGGCCAGACTCGGCGATGAACTTCTTCACGGGCAGATGCGTCCGCGCAGGAGGCGGCATGCGGTGCAGGTCCCGCTCGTTGAAGGTGAACATCGGGCACGAGTTGAGCGTCAGCAGCGCCTTGTCGAACTGCCCCAGCTCGATGTGCGTCTCGGACAGCTTGGCCCAGGTTAAAAACTCGCTCGGCGCAGAGTTCACCGCCTGCTGCGCCACCTGGCACGCCCACTCCGCCTTGCCCTTTGAAAGCAGGAAGTCAACCTGCTGCAGCAGGATGGGGTAGCTCTTCGGCGCAGACTTGAGCGCGGCATTCATCACTTGGACAGCCTTAATTTCCTCGTCTGAGAGTTAGAAAGGCCCCAAGACGACAACTCACTCATGCCAATGTAGCTCTGCGCCAGGAGGGCAGCGACCTCGGGCTCCTTCTGGTATATCCGCTCAAAGAGGTTCGCAGCCTGCTCGAGTCGGTACGCGTCGGCAAAATACTTGATGATACCCGCCGTGAGGTGGTTGGACACAATCGTCGCGACTTGAACCTCGGGGTCCGAGCCAAGGTGCCAGCCAGAGAAGAACATGTCCTCGGCCGCCTTCAGGAAGCGCTGCTCGCCCTCAATCGTCGTGATCGGGTCCATCTTTCGGTAGCCAGCCAACCGGTATGACGCATCGTCGGCGTATCGGATCGCACGCAGGAGCGCAGACAGGTACGTCTCCTGCCAGAGCTGCGGCGTGGCCTCATGCCTGTCGTCAGTTGCAGTCACATCGGAGCAACTTACCGCTCGCCTCGGACGTCTACGACGTACGCGTCGACACCTCCGGGAATGCGCACCTCGACGCGCATGTCGACCCGCGAGAAGGCGTTGAAACAGCTACCCCGTCAGTGATCGGCTCTTCCGCGAAACACTTACCAGTAGGTGCCTGTTCGGACACGCCAGCCGTTGCCCTTGCCGAACCACGCCGGAGACTCCTCGATGTGGAACTGGAGCGAGTTGAGGTACGCCGCGAGCGACGCTGATGATGAGGCCTCAACACCGGAACTGTTGTCAGCTTTGATTGAGGAGGCGCTGTAGCTCACCAGTAGTGATAAGAGCCGACATCCTTCTGCGTTGTCTTCTGGCCGTAGGATTTCACGACATGGCACAGATCGGGAGGTCCCAGTTCACGGAACGAGCCTGCATGTCAGCTAAAGACAGAGCTTCTGTAGCTTACCCAAAGTCTCTGTCCTAGCGGTGATGGACTCTCCAATGTCGGTCTGGGAAGTCAGTTGATATGTTCGCGTCGCAACGTGCGCGGCGTCAGGGTTGAATGAGAGCTCACCTCGACGAACTCTGGGATGTCCTTGAAGAGCTCAGACATCCCTGTAAGAAGAAGATGCGGGTGGTTGAGTGAGCCGAGCTCTTCGTTTTAGGGTTGGAGGGAGGGGGCTTTGAGAGGGAGAGGAGGGAGGAGGCGGAGTAAAGTAGAGGATAGAGTGAAATGTGTCGATGCGAGTAGCGTCGAGGTGGTGGTGTAATGAAGCCTGGACGTTGGATGATGTGGCATGGGCGTAGGACGCAGGGACAGGGACTGAGGCCAGGAACGGGTGGACTCTGATCGCGTCTCATACATCTTGTGCCGCGTGGACATCCTGACACACTCCTTCAATCGACCGTCCTGACACAACTCACGCCTCAGCTCATCCTGCTGCATTCCACACTTGCACAACCACCACCCAAAACTCACGCAGCACCGACCATGCAAAAGGAGGTGAGCTTCACCGACGACCACTCAGCTGACAGCCAGGGCGCTCTAGAGACACCCGGCGCCGGACCATCGCGGCCGCCAAGCCCTCCCGCCCTTCCGGAACCTCTCCTTGACGAGGCCGACGAGGATGCCGACAGGGAGCTCTGTAAGCTCACTACCAGTACAACAAGCTGACCCCAGTCCTGCGAAGGCAAAAGGAGTACACTGATCTGGAGAGCTCGGTCGAGGTGAGTTGCATGACGTTGCATAGTGCGCTGACCATTTCGTAGGCCAGTGCCGAGTTGTTGACGTCGCTCGGGTCCTATCTGGAAACGTTTCAGGACAACCTCTCCGAAGTTTCCGGCCAGATTGCGGACCTGCAGCAGCGGAGTGACGAGATCGAGCGACAGCTGAAGGGCCGAAGAGTGAGTTGACTTGAGCTTACGGCGAACTGACTGCGACAGGTCATCCTCCCTCCGCTGAACGCGCTCCTGTCCGACCTTATCATCCCCACCTCCCTCGTCCTGACTATCCGCGACACCGAGCCGAAACAGAACCCGCAACTATGGCTGCAGGCCGTCCAGGAGCTGGAGGAGAAGCTCGTCTCGGTCAAGGCGCGCGGCGCCAAGGTGAAAGCGGCGCGCGAGCTCGAGGGCGTGCTGGAGGCGCTCGCCTTGAAAGCGATGCACGCCTTGCCGCCGTTCCTGCTCACGCTGATCCGCCCGCTCCGATCGGCATCGAAAGGACTCAGCACGAACCTCGCCGTCATGCAGACCAGCTTGCTGCTCAAGTACCAGCCGTTCTACAGCTTCTTGCTCCGACAGAGCCCGCGACACGCAAAGCAGGTCGAGCGGGGGTACGTCAACGCCGCCCGGTCGTACTACGAGACGGCCATGCGACGGTATGCGCGAGCTCTGTCTACCATTCGTGCTCGGACACCAGAGAAGTCGGAGCTCATCGGCGTTGTCTCGGCTGAGGAGGCGGCGGCGCCCGTCGACAGGACACCGCCGAGCGCGAAGCAGACATACGGCAAACTCAAGTTTGCAGAGCTCAATATGGAGGATGATGAAGGGGCTGTCGTGCTCGCGTACACGATGGACAACAAGGAGACTGTGAGTTGTTGGTTCACGCTGCACTTTAACTGACTGCAGACTGCTCCGGTCGAACAACTCTTCCGATCACTCGGTCTCGTGCTCCTCGACAACGGTTCGGCCGAGTTCACCTTCATTGTGCGCTTCTTCGCGCGAGCTGGTTTGGGATCCGGCTCGTCGACGCCCAAGCCGCCGAATGTACGATCACCGAACAGCACGCCGTTAGACTCGCCCGTACTCGGGCCCATGTCTGACGCGGGCAAGTCGCGCGGCGGGCGACGACGAGGCAATGCGGCCGCCGCCTCCGCCGAAAGCCTGAAGGACGCGGAGCGAATCTGGAATGAAGTTTTCGGCTCTGCGCTCGAGTATACGACGCAGTTCTTCCAGACGATTGTGACGACGCCGCCCTCTGCCGCATCGCTGCTGACCATTATCCGCCTGAACGACGAGCTGATCAAGACAGCCGAGTCGCGCGGCGCCCTCCCCCTCATCCCCTACCTGACTGGGTGGAAGCTGGCCCTATGGCCCGTGTACCGCAAGGCCATGGATGCGCACATTGACAGCATCAAGGCGCTCGCGGACCAGGCCGAGGGCAAAGGATTGACGAGCTGGGTCAGCAAGGCCGTCAAGGACAGCCAAGTGCGACACGTTGCGCTGCGGTACGCTGTTCTCTTCTCGTGTGTCGTCGCGCTCGCCGATCAGGCCGAGGACGCGATGCTCTTCTCTAGGTGGGTTATTAGCCTGGTAAAAGATTAACCCGCAGCATGCTCCGGATGCGCAACGAGCTCATCCGCCTGATCAAGATCCAGGGCGACAAGATCAAGGATGTGCCTGCGCGCCAGTCGTTCCTCTCGTCGACGTACGAGATTGTGATGCGCGAGCTCGTCGCTGGCCCCGGCGCGCCGACAAATGCGCACCTGCAGTCCGAGCTCTCCTTCTTCCGCACGCGGGAGGAAGAAGCCCGCCGCCGCATCTCAGTCACATAGCAAGAAGTGTCGTTGGTTGGCATGCATGCTTGCATTCTTTGGTTTGGCCCGCAACAGACGTAAAGGTGTTGGGGTAATTAATCTTCTAACCTGTCTGTCTAACTACACCTCCTCGTCATCGTCGTCCTCGTCGGCGGCGGGGGCTGCCGGCTCCTCGGCCGCGGGCTCGTCGCCGTCCTCGTCGTCGTCGTCGTCGCCCGCCTCGAACTCCTCGTCGTCCTCCTCCTCGTCCTCCTCCTCGCCCTCCTTGAGACCAGCGGCAGCGAGCGCCTCGGCCTGCAACGTCAGTCATACTGCTGCCGCGTAGAGTTTCGGGTGACTTACGGAAGAGTAGTCGACCTGTTTCCTGCGACGGGGCCCGCGGACGATGAGCTCATCGTCGCTGTCGTCCGAGACGTCCTCGTAGTCCTCTTCCTTGTCCTCCTCCTCGGCGGGGGCGGCAGCCTTGCCCTTGCCCTTGTCCTTGGGGGCGTCGGCGGGGGCATCCTTGGGCTCAACGGGCTCAGCGGGCTCAGCGGCGTCCGTCTTCTGCCTGTTTCGTCAGCATGATGCAGGTCTCGTGCGCGTGCGCGTGCGCGTGTAGCACGAGTCTGTGCCCCGACGCGTCTGGATTAATGGGTGACTCACTTCTTCTCAGCCTCGGGGGCCTCGGCATCCTCCGCCTTGCGCTTCTCGCCAGCCTGCTCGGGCTTGCTGGCGTCGACGACAGGAGCAGCGGCGGTCTCGGTCTTGGTCTCCTCGGCGCTCATGGTGGATGGCGTGGATATGTGATGCAGACACTACAATTCCCTCGCTTCGCGCCTCTAAACAAACATGACCACGACATGTACGTCAGTCCCCTTTGGTTGCCATTTTGGGTGGCACCCGGATTGGCACACGTAATAAAACCATCCATGGCACGTGACTCGGAGGGTAGTGCCTCCCAAAAGTTCAATCCACCCTGTACACACCCAACGATAACAAACCAGCTCGCCCTAGCAGCAAGCAAGCAAAGCAAGCAAGCAGCAATGGCGACAACCTCCCTGCCCCCCTCGGCGGTCGCGTCGAGCAGCGCCCACGCCGTCGTCGCCTCGGGCTCGACCGTCCATCTTGTCACCGGCGACAAGGTCGCTTCGGCCAGCAGCGCCGAGGACGCCAAGCAGGAGCTCGCCGGCGTCATCCGCAAGGTCGCCATCAGCGCCGATGGCAAGTACGCCGTCACGGCCGGCGATGACAAGAGCCTGCGTGTCTGGGAGCTGAAGGAGAAGCCTGAGCTCGTGTCTACGCGCCAGACGACGAAGCGTGTCGCGGACATGTGTTTCGACAAGGACGGCAACATTGTCGTCACTGACAAGGTTGGCGATGTCTTCAGGTGAGTTGGATCTTGGGCGAGCACAAGGACTCACTTGGCTGGCAGCTGGCAGAGCTGCAGCTACCAGTAGTTATCACCGAGTGCTGCGTAGCTATGCAAAGCTGAGGTCGTGAAACCGGTGAGCTAACCACCAGCTACCCGTTCGAGCCCCGTGCCGTTGAGAACCGGCCGCAGGGCTTTGTCGTCGCGTCCGACCCGAGCCTGAACCCGGACGGCGACCTGTTGCTCGGCCACGTCTCGCTCATCACGCAGACGCTCCTGACGCCTGACAACAAGCACATCGTCACGGCCGACCGTGATGAGCACATCCGCGTCTCGCGCTATCCGAAGGCGTATGTCATTGACCGTTTCCTCTGGGGTTCCGAGGGGTGAGTGTTTGCTTTGGTGCCTGCAGCCGAGCACAGTCGAGCTCAGTCGAGCGAGGTGGTCGCTGAGGTATTGCAAGACGTGAGCTGACGCCAGATTCGTCTCTGCGATCCACATCCCGACGTCCCGGCCCAACCTCCTGCTCTCTGGCGGCGGCCAGCCCACCCTCCAAGTCTTCGACTGGACGAGTGGCGCTCTCCTGGGCCGGATCGACATTCTCGCCGCCGTGTCGCCGTACCGCGCCATCCGCCCGCCGACGCGCAAGATCAAGGGCAAGCGCAAGGCCGTCGGGTCCGACAGCGGGCTGATGCCGAGCGACGACCCCGCCGCTGCGGGGTGGTTCACCGCCCCCGAGGGACACATGTACCCCATTGGCCAAGGGGTGGCGATCACGCAGATCGGCTCGGTGGTCGTCGACGGTGTGACGGTGGTGCTGTTCTACTCCCGTGGATCGAGCGCGCTGCACGCGTTCACGCTGAACGAGGACGGAAGCGCCGGCGCCATCCAGACGGCGAGCTTTGCCCACCCCGTGCTTGGCTTTGCGCCCGTTGGGGCCCAGATCCTCGTCACGCTCGACAACACGCACGCTGCTATTGCGTCCGCTACGGTCTCGGCTTCGCCCGTGGCGCTCGTGTCTGTCGCTTCTGACGGCTCCCTCTCGTCCGCCGACTCTCCCCTCCTCCCCGCTCTCTCCGAGTCGCTCTCGACTCCCTCTCTCCAGATCCCCGCCTCAGATGCGGCAAAGCTCAACCTCTACGGCGACCTGCAGATCCTCCCCCGCCGGCCCGGCTTCGAGGAGGACGAGGCGCAGGCCGGCGAATCCTCTCTCCCCGCCAACGTCGACGAGCTCGCGCCTAAAAGGCTCGGAAGACTCAAGGCGCAGGGACACGATGTGCATATTCCGGCCAAGAAGAGGAAAAAGAGCAAGGGCGAGAAGAAGCGTGAGCGCAACGCTGCTGCTGCTGCCGGCAAGAGCGGAGGCGAGACGAGCGAGGCTGCTGGCGACGATGAGGAGAGCGCCATGAACGCTTAGGGCTTCTGTTAGGTTTTCATAGATTTATGCACTGGGGTATCGGATTAGCTGGATTAGAGCTTGGCAAGCACCGAAGAGACTTATGCTGATGTATACAACTATCCAGATTGGACAGTGGCATCTGCGACGTAGCTGAAGCAGCGGAAGTAGCTGAAGCAGATGGCTACTTCATACCTCGGGTTGTAGGGCATGACGTATCGAGATGTGCCTATCCTCATGCCAGAGATAGCGTGCTTAGTCCGAGATGTGGTGGTACTACCGACACCCGAGGCGAGGTATGCAGTAGTGGCTGCAGAGCATCATGCAGAGCGGAGGCAGCCATAGGCGAGGGAACACCAGTCGCGATCAGTTCTTGCGCCTGGCTCACATGCCGTCATGATTCATCATGCAGGTTGAATAGTTTCTCTAATTCACTGAATAATCGCGATTAGCGCTGGCTTTGAATAATGAGAGTCCTACTGGCTAGCATGACCGGCTGACGCCATGACGGACCTGGGCTCAGGTGTCAGCTGCAGGAAACCCAGGAACGAAAGGCACGTGTGCCTGTGACGTCTTGCTTCGATCCTCGACGCGTGTTGCATCTCAGCTCACAACCAAGGTTAATAATCCCCCGATCGTCATACGCACTTGCTGCTTGCTTGCACCTGTTCAGATTGGGACCGGTGCGAGCCGTGTTTCCCGGGTCCATCTGTCCAACCGGATGACACTCAATTCCAACTGGGAAACGAGGCGATGTGAGAAAAAAAAGACATCATCTCATTGATGGATTGATCAATGTGGAGTTCTAGAGCTCGCATGTCATCTGCCTCTGCCTATCTGTGCTTTCGAGTCGAGACAAATGCTTGCCCGACTTTTCCCTCCCCTCCTCCGCTTCTCCCTGTGCGTCAGCCTCCGCCGCCTCCGTCCCCTCCGCCCCCTCCGCCCGCTGCGCCTCAAGCTGAAGCAAGAGGCCCGAGCGGCACCCACTGTGCACTGCCAACGGCAGAGCTGCAGAGCATGCAGAGCATGAAGAGGCACACCCCACCATCCGCCGACACCCCGCAGTCATCCATCGCCGCAGCCCGGGTATCTTCCCGGCGACCGGCGGCGAGCAATACGGCCTCGTCGGGCGGAGACCGTCTGTCGGGCTTGTGACCCCTGCATCCGTAAAGTGTCAGTACCAGTCGGGGCAGTGAAGCTCAGCGATTCCGTCATTTTCAGCAGACTAGCAAAGCTTAAGCCGGGGGGGTGGAAGAGTACCTGGATCGAAAATCCAGCGGCCAGCGGGGAGGCTTCTTCTCTCCTCTCACTGGTTGAGGGATGTCAGTGGGTTGCCGGTAACTCTAAGTTTGACACTTGTTCTGGTGGATTGGTGGATTGGGCAGGATGGGCAGAAGGGCTCGATGCCAAGCCCACTATAACTGGACGCTTGGCCCTCGCATTATCCTCCCTCATGCTATGCTGACTGACCTTGCGCTTGGACTATGCTCCCATTCTCCCAACGAACTCTGATTACCCGCCGCCAAGCAGGAGGATCCTTGCCAAGCAATCTCTTTGGGAGCATGGTGCGCGTCGTACTCACTGCCTGTTGCATGTCGGACAAGATCTGCATGCAAACTGTTGACAGTCTTGTAGCATGACATGATGAATGGATGCATTCTCCCGCCACCAGCGGCGCATAGCGCATTGCTCATGAGCTCAGGACTCGAGTGTTTGGCCCCTGTGCGGTGATGGATGATGGCTCATGTGGTTGACTGGTCCAGCCCTTGGCCCCCTTTGGCCGCTGCGCTCCAGTCGGACCCCATTTGTACCTCGGTCGATCCTTACCCTTCACGCGATGCACCCCTCTAAATCGCTCTAATCGACGGAATATAATGAATCCACCTGCGCTTCCACTCTGCACCACGGTGCATTCCCCCCAGTCTGAGTCTGCGACGTTTGCCGCTGCACCAGTGCAACGATACGGTCCTTCTCTCATCCTCGTCTCGACTGACCCTCTCTCACAACCTCCTCCTCACCCACCACTCGCACACTGCTATTGCACAAAGAGTTGGCCACCCGATCTGGACAGACTGTCGAGGACACCTGAGCGGTCAAAGTTTGCTCGACCCTTAGTCCCTGTACCCCGCGTCTTCCCTTGACTTTTCACGTTCTCGACGAGCCGGATACAGCCAGAGCCAGGACCCCTAATCCTCCCCTTGGGCCGTCCCTTGCCGCCGCATCACCTCTCACCGCGCCTTCCCTCAATCCTCACCCACACCCACTCTCACTCACTCCTAGTCACTCTCACAAAACTCTGCAGTCATCCTTGCACACAACCAACAGCAAGCACACACAGACAGGCTCACACTTTCCGAACCGAGCGAAGGGAAGGAAAGAACAACCCTCGCGCACCCCTGCCCCGATCCGAAAGTGGGTGCTCAACGGCCCCGACGTCAGATCCACAATCCAGCGACCCCCGTGCCCATCCTTGCCCCTCCTTCCCTCTTCACACCCTCATTCAGACCTCGACCACCACCCTCAATCGCCATTCCCTCACTCCCACCCTTGCCTCTGCCAGTCAACCCAGCCGGTTCGAGCCCCCGCCATCGCCCTTGCACACCCTGGCTTCAAGCCCTGCCGCACCCTCCGGCCTGAACCGCCTGACCCGCCGAGATCCCAACCATCATCGACCACCACTGGCCAACTGCATTTTCTGCGTTTCCTTATCTCCTCCACTCCCCCTCTCTGGGAATTCAGGTAATACTACACCGCGCATCACACCAAGCACCTCACTCATCTCTAAACTTCGGGTGCTTCGTGGTCCGCTTCGACCGCTTCTGAGCTTCCTTTCCATTTCGCATTCAAACTCGGGAGCCTGGCGCAAGTCGCACACACGCACACTCGCACGTCGCGCGACTCGGATCGTCACTGCACCGGCCACCGGCAGCACTCGCTTTGTGCTCGACCGTTTAGTTATCTTCCGATCGCGCCGCCGCTCGTCCCAGGCGGAAATCGCCCCCCCTGTTCCCTTCCCCGCCCGATCGATCGCCATTGCCCGCGGCTCTGCAGCTCCTGACGGCACACAGCACACAGCTCATCAGACACCAGGACCATCACGCCCTACTCTTCCGCGCTTCCTGCCAGAGCCACCCGTCCGCCTGTCCGTTACTCTTCATAAAGTCACGCGCGGGCTCATCTGATCTGTGTTTGAATCAGACGAATCCCTTAGATCCTTCTTTTCACGGCCTTCCAGACCTCCCGCCGTGTGCATTATTCCTGCTCTTCTCATATCGCCTCCCGCCGTCGAGAACCTTGTCTGCGTCAACGCGTCCGGCCTCGTTTCAGCCAACGTCTTTCGACCCAGTGACCACCACAGAGAGTCACCAGTGACGTCGGGCAACTCCTCCCCCAGCTGACCTCGCTCTCCCCTTTGTCTCGCGTTCGTAACAGCATACGTCTCGTTTACGACCAACCGACGACCGTCGCGCTTTGCCCAAGCTCGATCCATTCCATCGCTTTTGCTTTGCCACCCACCGCGCAGGCTATTTCTCTGCATCAGCCAACAAACCCAGCTCCAGCATTCCACACACCATTCCACCCCCAACTCTTGCGACACCCCTACTCCTAGGCCCACAACGCCCTGGGGCACCATTCTTCCATGCCGTCGACTCGACCGCCGCCTGCGCCGGCGCGCGGCCGTGTCGCCTACCCTTCTGCCGATGCCTACACGGCCGGTGACGCAGGGGCGCAGCCCACTTTGGGCGAGTCATCGACCACTCAGGCGCAGGCTATCCAGGCTGGGGGACAGTCCTACGAGAACGACAAGCCTATAAGCAGCGGAGGCGCCGTTGGACTTCTTCGACGCAGAACCACCACCAAGCGCAAACCGCAACCTTCTGGCGACTCGCCTGATGCTCGTGCTGAGATGTCTGAGCGCGAGAAGAGCACTCAAGGCCTGAAGACATGGTGGAAGGCGTTCAGCAGCAACCCCAAGTCGTCGGCGCCGACGCGGACGCCGGTCACGATGAACACCCGCCTCCAGTTCGGTGTCCCGCTCCACGTCGTGCTCCAGTATGCCGGCATGTCCATTTCGACGCAGGCACCCGACGGCTCGCTCAACATGTGGGGCGAGGTTCCCATCGCCGTCGCCCGTTGCGGCGCCTACCTGAAGGGCAAGACGGATATCGAGGGTGTCTTCCGCGTCTCCGGCTCGGCGAAGCGCATGCGAGATCTCCAATTGACATTCGACACTGGACCCGACGTAAGTCTTGCCGATCTGCCGTGTGTATCGAGGCAGTGCTGACGCACACACCAGTACGGCCTCCATCTCGACTGGTCAGAAACGATGTACACGCCGCACGACGTTGCGACGATATTCCGACGCTTCCTCACCCAGATGCCGGAGCCAGTTATCCCGTGCTCGTTCTACAACAGGGTGAGTTTCCAAGTTCGCTACACAACTGACACCAGTTCCGCGACATTGCGACCATGCCAGGTCTCTCGGACGACCAGAGGATACGCGAGTACAAGCGGCTCATCCGGCGAATGCCGGCTGAGAACCAGTTCCTGCTGCTATACGTGCTCGATCTCCTGGGAATATTCGCAAAGGAATCGGACAAGAATCTCATGACCGCGGCTAGTACGTTACAAGGTAGTAAACGCACTAACTGGCTTCAGATCTAGCTGTCATTTTCCAGCCGGGCATCCTCCACCACCGCGGCCACGACATGCGGCCAGCGGAGAGCGCCGTCTCGAAGGACGTCGTCAAGTTCCTGATCGATCACGAGGCGTCGTTCGTCTTTGGCATGACTATGGTGAGCTATATGAGCGCTTTGGAGCTGACAGACAGCGGATTGCGTCGCGTCAAAACAGCGGGGTCATTCCCACTGTGGGGTCCTCGAACGACCCTGGCGCTCGACCCCCGTCCAGGCAGGAGGCGTCTCGACAGGACAACCGAGAGGCGCCCGCAGCACCGCCATCCCCTACACCGCTCGGACGGCGGGGATCTGGCCAGGACATGCGGACAGACTCGCCGACACGAGGCGCGAGCCGGCCGCCCGTCATCCGGCGAGAGAGCGGAGACAGCTACAAGACGGCGCTCGAGTACCCGGCCGGCGGAGCTGGCGGCATCTCGATCCCGACTGCTGTTCCGGAACACGCTGTCGCGAGCAACCATGCGGTCGCTCAGCCGCGCCCGATTCCTAGCTCGTCGAAGCGCGAGAACGTGGGTGCGTCCTCATCGTCGCTCGCGGTCAGCGGTCTGTCGCCGCGCACGAGTTCGCTCGCGGCAAGAGCGTCACTGAAGAGCCCGGCGTCGCCCCGCACACAATCACCACACACCGCCCGCACCCCGACGAGCTCGCGCGTCCAGTCGCCGAGCTTTACGTCTCCGAGCCGGCCACAGCCGCGGCGCGCCGACACAGACTTCATGCTTCCGTCCGATTCGGACGATGAGGCGCCCAAGGGCGGGTACTATATTGTCGAGAAGCCGCGGAGCCCGCAACCGCCGACTGCGCCGGCCAAGACCCTCCCAAAAGCGACCGTCACGGACCTGCTGCCGGAGCAGCCCAAGCCGCGGCGTCGTGGCACGTCGCGTCAGCAGACACGGAGCGCGGACCCAGTCAGTCCGTCGCCGTCCCGGCGTCGCGCCGGCGTCGCCGCGACGGGCATGTATCCCAGCGACTCGGACGACGACGCCCCCGCAGGCGGCTACATCATCTACGAGAACAAGAAGGTGAGCCCGTCAACGACGACGCTCCCGCGCCGCGGCGCGCTGTGGAACGGCGACGGGCGCACCAACTCGCCCAAACCGACGGCTGGCGGCGCCACAGGCCTCCTCAGGCGCAAGACACTGCCCACCAAGCGCGTGAGCGACTTTACGAACCGCATGCGCCGCGTCGTGCGCGAGGCGTAGTGCGCCAGGCCCCTGAGTCCGAGTGACAGTGTGCGTCGGCACCGGCGTCGGCGGCGTAAGCGGCGGCATGTACGCTCGCGATCGACATGAGTGCGCCTCTTGTTCCCCCAACCCCCCCCCAAATCCAGCATCCGGCCCAGTTCAAGGGCATCCGAACATTGTCCCTATGGTCTTTTTCCACCCTCTCGGCGCGAACACTGCCAGTGCCGCGCATGCGTGAGGGGATATACTGTGAACATTTTTCAAGCGGGATTGACTTTTTTTGTGTAATTGTAGTGGAAACTATAAACCAGAGATGGCATTCTTGTCCCTGGACGTGGGGTAGGGGGGTTGGCGTGTAGAGGGTGATACTAACTGGATACTGGCAGCTGCATTGTTCGCGGATATGTATGGGGGGTACATATCCAGCGTACTGACGCACTCACCAGCACGACATCGAGCAACGCCAGCCAGTTGACGTCTGCTCATCTCCCACTCTCCCACTCTCCCACTCTCCCACTCTCCCACTCTACTCTCTCTATGGCTTTTCCAACATTCACCTCTCAAGCATTCCAGGCCCGAGCTCACAGCGCAGCCCGGGGGAGCAGGACAGCCTGGGGGAGGAGGACAGCCTGGGGGAGGAGAAAAAGGAGTGACCTCTGGCGGGGTCGAACCGCCGACCTTATGCGTACCAATTTTGCTAATGTTAAGCATACGCTCTAACCAACTGAGCTAAGTGGCCTGGAGCTGATTGCGCAGCTGCAATGAGGGTGTTGAGCGGGGGTGGTGGAATGGTTACGTAAGATGGCGAGGAAGGAGTGGCGGGTGGCGGTTGTTTGCGGTGGAGGAGGGACGGAGGGCAACGATGAGTTGTCGGGGTGGGCCACAAACAGAGTGGTGAGGTCCTGTGACCTTCCGCTTGGGCTTTTTGCCCTGTTTAGTCTGAAGTCACTATCGCGTGCGTAGCTTTCGGAGGCTCCACACGACACGAGGTCGTTCTTCATCACGCTACCTCAGCAGCCTATCCAGCAACCTCTCTACGTATCGCCCATCCGAGAACCGGCATAGAAACCCCTACTCTGCCGACTCTCCTCCCTTTCCACGACCTACGCTAACATTTGGTCTGGTTGGCAACACACTGCGGACGGTCCAGCGGGATCTGACCCGATTCTTCTGTCCCGCGGCGGAAAAGAATCGTCCCACGTCCCACGGTTGCGCGCGACGTCCCAACCGGGCTGTCGTGGACACACAGCCGCACCGCTTCCTTTCTGCACCTCTTGTTCAATCTATCCATTACCTGCACTGCTGCGCCCCTAGCACTTCGCACACATTGCACCTCGTCAAGGATGCCTCGGTCACGACAAGTTTCCAAACGCCGTATCACCCCGGGAACTTGCGGGCACAGGCTGTGGCGACGTGGCTGTGTGTCCCAGCTTGTCTTCTCTTCCTCCAACTCTTCACTCATCACCCCTCCTCCTTCCATTCGACAGCCTCTGTAGTAGCTGAGGGTGAGCTTCGAAGACCATCCATTCTGAGCTGACCCGCAGGCTTCGTCTCAAGTAAGGATACACGGTAAGCTAGCGCCAACTCGCAGTCTAAGCTGACGTCCAGTCCTCGCACTGGTGGGCTGCGTACTTGGCTTCAAGATAGCTGACCGCCAGTCGCCCCAGACGAGGTGAGCTGCCAGTACTGGAAACGCTAGCTGACAACCAGCTTCGGCATCACCTCGCGCGACGAGACGACGAGTTCGGTGAGCTTTGTGAATCCGATCAAGAGAGCTGACCACGCAGTTCACCCCTCGCCCCCTCAGGGTAACTCTCTCTCTTTTCTTACCACGTTCTTCTGTGCGGGTGAGTTTTCACCACCTGCTGAGACAAACTGACACCCAGTTATCGGCCACATCCCCCGCATTCCCGCACGCACGTTCGAGGGTCGCGGCGCTTGTGAGTTTTCAAGGGGAAAACCGGAACAAACTGACATTTCAGTCTTCTATGAGAAGGACTCGAGAATAACGAGGCGAAGGTGGGGTGGAACCTTTGGATTTGTGGTCGGTTGCTGCTCAAGGTGCTTCGAACTGACGATCAGGCCGCCACTTACTCGCCGTGAAATCATTCGATCCCTTCTCGCCCTCGTCGGCGACTCCGCGCTGTGAGTTCTCGACGAGAACCTGAACTAACACGCAGCCGCCTCACCTTGGGTCAGTTAGCGAGCTGAGATGGTTTAACTGACAAACAGTCAGCCGGAACATCGATTCCTCCTCTGAAGGGCTGAGACGGAAAGGCGGTAGGTTGAACCACACTCAAAGTCAACTGACACCCCAGCCTTCCTATCCCTCTCTCCCTCTCTCAAGAAAGCGTTGGGCAGTGAGTTGAGCTCCCTGAGCACGTAACTGACACAACAGGCTGGCGTTCTTTGTCAGTTTCCTGGATATTGTCCATAAACTGACTGTCAGCGCTACATCCTCCGTTCCAGGCTTTGACCACCGTCATCCCGTGTCCTGGGTTAGTTCCTCGACCCCGGTCCATGAACTGACTCGCAGTCTCCAAATCTGCCTCCCCGTCAATCCTCGTCAGTTAAGTCGAACCCGACGACGAACTGACAAGCAAGGTCTCTCGTCTCGAACCTTTGGGAGGGGACACTGTGAGTTCGGAAGAGGAATCCCAGAACTGACATCCCAGCCGGCCCCTGTTGCACGGTATTCGGCGACCAGAAGCGACTCCAACCCCCCTGCGCGATCTTCGTTAGTTCCAGGACCAGGAGCATCGAACTGACAGTCCAGCCGGCTGCTCGACGCCCTACGTCACCAGAGGGTCATGCCGTGAGTTCTCCGAACTTCGCGTGCGAGCTGACAGCCAGAGTCCAGACTTCACCACAAGCACCGTCAGCTGAGACCGTCTGCATTAGCTGACGTGGCAGTGTATCCAACCTCCACTCTCGCCACCACCTGTCAGTTGACGGAGAGAATGCAGAACTGACGAGCAGGCGCTCTTCCTTCGAGGTTCAAGAGACACGTGGTGATGAGTTGTGCATCCGGCGATCAGAACTGACCGTCAGCCCGCGTTCTAGTGAGCAGCTGCAGGGGAAGAGGCATAGCTGAGCACCCAGCGGACGAAAGCGGCACGACATCATCACGACTCGCCCTTCGCAGTCGGCCACTACACGGTGAGTCGAGCTAATGCATGCACACCGAAGCTGACGGCCAGCACTGTAAGCCGAGCTTCAACAACCATGCGCGAGCTCATTCCCAGCCACCTGGCACCTGCCGTGAGTCAAGCGGTGTGGCGACGGGGCGCGGATACAGCGAGAAAGTGAGTGCAGCAGCTGTATTGCATTCCGACAGGAGCTGACAAGCAGGTACTGTACGGTTGCGGCCATCTCGAAGCTCGCACACATCCAAGCCGGCCTCAACCCTAGTCACTAAAGTGAGTCATCCACTTCAGCTGTGAAGTTGTTGTTCCTGCCAAGCTGATAGGCAGAGTTAGAGAAGCCCGGAAACCGCTGTGACAGCACCGCTGTGACAGCACCGCTGTGACAGCTTGTTGACAGCTTCTTCCACGTGAGTAGCTTCGATGAACGTCGGGATCAGCTAACAGCCAGCAGAGCGTGAGTCATTGAGCTATCGTTCTCCGCGGACTAGCTCACACGCAGCTTCGGGTAAGTGAACCAGCTGCCATGAACAGGCCAGCTGACACATCAGAGCTCCAGTGCGAGAGGACGTCAACTCTTTCAAGCCGAAGCTACGCTGCTTCTTTGTGAGTCTATCAGTTACCTTCTTCCCGAACATAACTGACGAACAGCCCCGCGTAAGTTGGTTGCCCAGCTATCACAAAAGACGGCTTAGGTTGATGCGCCAGCCCAGTCTCTGGTCACTAAAAGAGAAGCAAGTACGTCCCCAGCTAGGAATGACGAGGACCACAGCTGACTGTCCAGACCCAACCCGCTTAAAACATCCACTCTGCGTAAGTTTCTCAGCTGACGGAATTGAGCCGCAAGCTGACTCTCCAGTACTGTCGCACCCCTTCGCCATGAGCGCCACCGCCACGCCCGCGGAGCCCGCCCCTCCTCTCTACCTCACCCCGCCCGTCCTTCTCGCCGCCCTACAAACGGCCATCGAGCAGCTCAACGCGCAGCTTGAAGCAGAGAGGGACGTGCTGTTCGATCTCTGGGACAACCTGAGCATCATCCTCTACGCCAAGCGCGGCACCGGCCCAGGAGTGGCGGCAGCGTTGGACACGATCCTCCAGCTGGCCCTTCAAGGTCTCCAACTCCGCTTCGCAGTTCGCGTCTCGACTGTCTCGGAGCTGTATCTGGAAACGGACTTTGTCCTGGAGGCGTGCTATGACGAGGGTTACCACGAGGCTGGGGAGCGCTACCTCGCTCACATGTTGGAGACATTCGCTGCTCAGCCAGGGGTCTGGAAGGCGGTTCTGGCAGCCGCAAAGCCTGAAGAGGGCACGGACCCGGTGGTGGCGTGGGGTGAGTTCGTATCCTCTTTCGCTCTACCGGACGACGTGCTCGAGGATGAATCCAGCTGAGACGAGGAGCTGGAGGGTCAAGCCATTCATTACATAGCGTCATAGCATCGAGTCACGAACGCGAGGAATTCTCTATAACGACACTGGACTTTGAGGACAGAATGGGCACGGAATTATGAGAAATTGTGTAAATTACGATATGAACAACTGTGCCTCTTCCAATGCTGGTGTAACACGCTGCTCCGCTCGCTCATGAGGTAGCGGTTCTTTACTACGTAGTTTGAATACCTTCGGTATTAACTATAGTCATTGCAGTGCCCGTGGTGCCAACCGGACGGATTGAGCACGCGCATGCGGAACACATGAGTCGACCGCCGCGTCGCACTGTTGCACCTTAGGGTGATGCACCTACACGCCCAACACGCGTCGCTGTTCCTCTGCTCTCTTCTACAAAGCGCGCGGGACACAACCGCCTTCCCTCTCCACCTCTTCATCCCATCATCCCATCAGTGATCGCTTCGTCCTCTTCTCACTCCACCACCTATTCCTTCGGCCCACGACTCCTCCCTCACCGCAATCGACCCTTGTCAGAATTCAGTCCCCATACAATGAACAGTGGGAGCCCGCACTGGTCCAGGTTCTGGCACACCGTCGACCATCTTCGCAGTCTGCAAGCCATGGCCAGGGGCTACGACCTCCAGCCCGTTATCTCTGCGAAAGCCGCCCAACTATACAGGAATCGCCGTCCGGACACTCTCGTATCAGTCCAGCCACGCCGTTCCACCACCTTTCCACCAAAGCTAGAGGACTATGCTCCTGCAATCCAGGGTGAGATTAGTCTCGCTCTCGAGTTCATTGCGTTCCAGGACTCCAGCAACCTGCGCCACCTCGAAGCGATGGAGTTCCGCTACCGTGGTCTCATCGACTTTGCGCTGGAGATCCCGGCCCCCGAAGGGTCCCGCCGCTATCTTGAGCTTCGAGACCGCTATGGCAAACTGCGCGACTTCATCAAGTCGTTCGGTGAACCTAAGGGCCGCCATCCCCTGCACACTTTGGAGAAGCTTGAAGCAGAGGTGCAGTCGCGCATCCTTTTTTACGCCATCGCGGAGCATATGAAGTACAATCGCTTTGCCCTCCACAAGGCCAAGCTGTGAAGGGAAATAATCATCGAGGCATACATCGTGAAAACAGCGCTCGTCCTCGCGGTACTTGGCGTTGTGCGCGTGCATCCTTCGTTCCTTACCAGTCAATGTCTGCACATGCACGGATTGATATGCATACTCACAGAAAAGATCGCCGAGATGCATACCGTCAGTGCGGCTCCTGTTGCAAAGCATTTTAGCGTGCGCTTGTGCTCATCGTGCTGTCGAGGGTGGTCGATCAGACTCACTCGAACAGCAGTCCTACTGGCCAGTGCTGATCGGTGTCGAGTGCATATTGCAGCGAGAAAGCCCCAACCACGCAGTACACTATGAGAAGTGCGACAGACAGCATGGAAGCATGCTCCGCCAAGGCAAAATATCGGCACACCACGGCACAGCTCTCAGAGGCCGCCGAGCGACCGAGCCTGCCGAGTGTGAACACACATCCTTACCTGCTTCATGTGCCATCGCAGCCATCTCGTCGCTGACTGAAGACTTGACTACTTGCCAGTCCTTGAGTCCTTGTACTGTTCATTTCATCACCAACCGTCTCTCCCCGCCCAGAAATACGATGACCACCGTCCCCACCTCTACCCACCTTCCGATGTCTCCCGATCCCCAGAAGCAGGAGATGTTGGACTGCATTATGGCGCTCCACGTCATGGACATGAAGCGCCTTGATGAGGAGCGCCATGTGCTCCTGGTCCACATTAAGAAGCACACCAAGCACGAGAGCGCGTACTTGCTCAAGCTCGCCGCTCCCAACCGCAACTACAAGCGCCTCCGTGAGGCTCAGTCTCGCGAGTTCGCTGTTCGCGTGAACGCGGTCATGAAGCAGCAGCCGACTCCTCAGGAGTAGTACGTGTGAGTGACCTCAGGGGTAGGCTGACTGGCCGCAGACGCAGGACCTCCCGCAGCTTCCTGCTGTTCGCCTTCCGATACCATTCCGTACATACTTCATGTATCAAAGTTCACTCTTCAAGGGTTTGCAGCGACTGCTGTGAGGTGACTGGAATAACTAACGAGGTTCAAGCTCGATCAGCATCGACTGCCTAGTGCTCTACAACGAGGCCTTCTTGGACATTCACGATTAGCAGCCCGTCCAGCCGCGTCCGGTCATCGACCATGTGGCCTTGCACCAATCCACACAACCTCCAGCACAGCACTACAACTGCAAATAGCGACCAATCTCCCCAAACTGCACGGTGCCCGCCTACCTCCTGGTTCTCTTCATCGTCGTGTTCCTCTATCCACCCCTCCTCTCATCCCTCAACTATCTCAAAGCTCTCACAATTCTCCGCCCAGTCAGTTTCAGTGACAGATCGACGAACGAAGAATGTACTGACTGCAGGTCGTCATGAACCCGAGCGACCCCGCGAACGGCGCCACTGCCAGCAACACCACGACCCAATACGACCACCACGCCATGGTCGCCAACGCGTCCAATGGTGATGCCGCGCCTACCTACCCTGCACCTCACGTGCCCCTTTCTGCCATCCCGAACTGGATCGATCCTCCCGCTCCTCCCTCTCCTCGCCCCACGATGACCGTGGAGAATGACTACACCAAAATCTCCCGTCTGACTCCGGCCGACTACGAAAGGTGGGCGGCCATCGAGAATGCGTTCATGGAGCTGCCTGGCATTCCAGGCGCGGAGGATCAGAATGTTCGGCGCATTGAGGACCTTCAATGGATGTTTGTTCGCATCTGCATTCGTGCCGGTGCGTGCACCCACAGTACGGCCTGGGACCAGGGTATGTACTCTGGGCGCGACTTTACCTGGTGGGAGGCGCAGCAGATGTACCGTGAGTCACCCGGTCTTCTTCTTGACCCGCTGGTGTTATAAAGACTTTCCTCGCCTGCTTCCTTGCTCTCCGAGTTGATGGGGGGCCTAACCAGGTCGCTAACGGCAGACACTGCACGCGAGAACAACCTCATCACCGCCGACGTGCCCCTGTACTGGGAAGCCTTTGAGGACAGCTTCCCCGTCTACATCGTCCTTTATCCCAACGTGGACAGCTACAATGCACGCAAGAACCAGGACTTCGCCAAGTTTCTCGCCTCCATCCCATTCGTCGTCGTCCTGGTGCGCAAGCAGGACTGGGACAACGGCATGGTCGCGACCATTTTCCTCGTCGCGCTCACCCCGGAGCACTATACTGGGTACTAGCCGGGACGTGCGTTCTCCAAGCACGTGACGAATACGTATTTGGAAGCTTTATTGTTCGATTGTTCAAAAATTAAAGTGAAATGCACGGAAATGGAAGGCGACGCCACTCCCTTGATGCGAGCATGCTGACAGGAGCAAGACTGCAGCATGCTTCTTGCTTCATGCATGCATTGTCACTGACGCCCAGGACATCATTGATCACAGGTTTCTTCAGCCCTCATGGGCGTTAGGATCAACCGCGCACGCATGTGTGTTCGCGGCGGAACCATACCATGGGCGCATCCTCACCTATCCCCCCCTCACGTCACAATTCCCTGCTGCTATACTGGTACGTCCATCCGTACCAGGCTCAGCGGGTGGCAACGCTGCTCCCGTTATTCCTCGATATGAATATAAGCATGTCCCTCTTCTCCCAGATCTTGCACTTACACTGTTCACCATGAGCCTCACGCAAAGCTACTATATCCGCACGCTGCGCAAACTTCACGACCAAGAGTTGCGGATCGAATACCGCGCAGCTGAAAAGAGGTCAACGGCCGAGTATCGATACTGGAAGGCGATTCGACCACTGCGCTCGACTTCCACTCGATACAGTTCCTCATACGGTTACGGCCACTCTGCATACGCACATCAGGTGATGCACCACTCACATACGGGCCTACCACAGCTACCACAGAGCATCAGCTATGGCCATTCTGGCCAACTACCGCCTATGGGAGGGATAGGAGCACACGGGTACCCTGTCCTTCCGCGCGATCGTCACCGCTTAGCCCGCGCCCAGGAAAAGTACTATCGCCGCTGTTACGAGATTGAGAACAAGAGGCATAGGGACCTGGAGCGTATACAAAATCGCCGTGAGCAGTTGCTGGGCATGCTGAATGGTGAGCTGCATCCTGAGGTCGAGCTGACGACAGCGAACGGCGCTAGGTACGCTCGCCGCGGTATAATGTGAAGTCACATCTTCCCACCCTGTCTCGTCTCAAGCTTCGCATGTGCCATTGCCATGTCCATTATAGTCAAAAGCAAGTCTAGCATCGCTGTATCACTGTAACTGTATCTATGCAAGCCCATCACAGATTCGCGTCCCTCGTATCAGGGCTCGGCGCATCCCACTCCCCCGCATCCAGCGTCGCAAGGAACCGCCAGAGACTCTCCGCAACCCACCTCGGTTTCTCCTGCACGAGCAGGTGCTCGGCCTGGAGCCACCTCTCGTTCCTCGCCCTCGGCGGGCGGTGGACCATCTGCTGGCTCCTCTTGTCGCCGTACGTTGTTGCCGAATTGCCGGCCATAATCCACCCCACGGGCACGGGAATGTTGGGCAGCTTGTCCCATGCCCTTGCGCCCGCCTCGGGTTCCGTGAAGGTGCATGCTTCGGCCCAGATTGGGGTCGCGAGGGTTACTTCACCATCGGGGTTTGAGGGGTCAGAGGGGATGAGGGCTCGTGCGAGGTAGACGTCGAACTGCTCGGGATCGAAGGCCGCGAAGAACGGGTTGGAGGCCAGGAGCTCGCGGGCGGCGCGGCGCGAGGGCCAGGTGTCTCGCCGCTTGAGCACGACGGGGGTCACGGGGAACGCGGCGGTGGGGTTCGGGTATCCGTCCTCCTTGGGGAGATACCAGGGCACAGGAACGGGGTCGACTAGGCAGATTCCCGCGAAGAGCTCAGGTCTCGCATGCGCGGCATGACAGATTGCCGCACCGCCGAAGGAGTGTCCGAGCCCGATCACCTTCCGCGGCACCTCGGGAGTAGAAGACCAGGGAAGATCCCAGGGACGGTCTGAGCATGCCGGCGCGGAGGTCACAACATGCGCGACGAGGTTGAGAAAGTCACGCCCCGTGTCCTCCCAGCTCTGGAGGGGACCCAGGCGACCGTCAGAGAGATACACGCTCTCGTTGTGGTGCAAATCGTCCATCATCCAGACCTCGTCTATGCGGACGTTGTGGGGACCGAGCGGGCCGCCGCCGAACGCCTGAGCCGGCGCGGAGGGGTCGTGGCTGATGATCTCGCGGATGATCGTGTGCCAGTGCTACATCATCAGCTTCTGCACACTCTGGAATGAGAGTCGAGACTCACCTCCTTCTGCAACCCGCCCGCGTGAGTGCACACGAGCGTGTAACCCCCAACTGGATCCTTACGAGCCCATCGCTCAACGCTGATCCACTGTCTTGGCGGCGCGGCCTCCTTGGCCTCTTCGAGACTCCACGCATGCGAGTCATACCGTCCTCGAACGAGGGTTTCGCACCACTCTCCGAGCCGCTTCGCGCGCTCCTCCTTGCTCTCCTCGTCCGGCACAGTGCCCCAGGGCTGCGAGTCGTGGCCCAAATTTCCGTGTCCCTCGCGATAGAGACGGGGATACGCAGCGGGCGCAGCGTGGTGCGTCCTCACCCATCCCTCAGGAGGAGGAAGGGGCTCTCGCCTCGGCTCCGGACGTGCCTTATCCTCTGGCGGCGGCAGGAAGCCCAGCAAAGGTCGGTAGGGTACGAGGATCTTGGGCCAAACACCCTCCTTCGGAGCAGGGTACGACGCGATGCCACCGCGGTGCTGGAAAATGGACGGCTTCTGAGGCACGCGCACGCTGCGGTAGTCGGCGCGAACCTGTGACATGACGTGAGAGGGTGCCGAAGACGATGTGGTAGAGGTGATGAAGAGAGGGGATGGTTGAAGGAAAGTTAAAAACACAGCGGCGGGCCCCGCTGGTGCTGGTTCCTCGGTGGTGATGGCTCGGCATCTTCAGGAGCCGGAGCTGCCGAGACCGGTCGGGAATCACCACATCACTTCCGCACTTGCTCACCATATTGAGGCCACCATCATCTTGCATTCAGCAAAGGACGCTAACTCCTTTGAATGGGTGGTGGATTCGTCGTGGACCAGTGTTCTTAAGTCTGCAGGATTGCGGTCAAGAATGCATGCACTGACGCTGGGGTATGCGGGGGCGGCCCTGAGCGCCGTCGCCCCACATGAGGTGCCCCGCTGATGCTCATGACAAGACTAGGACACTCTGATGTTCCCCACAGCATGGATGTTGGTGTACATCCTGTCGGCGGCCCATCTGTCAGCGATCGCGATCATTGCTGTTACGGCCGGAAGAGAGGTGGGAGACACCGAGTCTCCGCCGATTGTGCGGAATACGCCTCTGGTCCAAATCTAATCAGCTTTTGATCCCGCTAATAATCTGGCTCGAAGCAATCTAATCAGCTCAGTCTCCCACGCTGGCCTCCGGAGAGCAAGTTGCCGGTACAGGGGCGGACAAGGCCGACGCCCAGATACGCTATATCAACCTCCACCAGTGTCCTCCACCACCAATGTCCAGCCCACCTCCAAGTCCTCCCTCCGTCACTTCCAACTCCAGTCGCCATGTCCGAGCCCATCGTCCCTCCCAAGGTCCCCAAGACCTACTCTGAACTCCCCGTGCGCCACATTCGCATCAAGAACCATCCCGAGAACGCGCCAGGCGTCACTCCCATCCAGATCGTCGAGCTCTACCGCCCTGGTAAGCATAATGCGTTCACGTACGAGATGGCTGCCGACATTGTGCGGACCTGGGACACGTTTGCCGTCGACGACCGTGTTAAGGTCATTGTCCTCGCGGGCGAGGGCAAGATCTTCTGCGCTGGCGCCGACCTCTCGGGCGCGTTCCAACGCTCTGACGACGACATCAACGGACACCGTGACACGTGAGTCCCGAGGCGGGGATGGCCGCCAGAACCTTCCCCCGCAGATCTGATCGCTGGTCTGGAGAAGCTGTCGAACAGCAGTTGCAGCTAACATGCAGTGGAGGTCAGGTCGCCCTCGCGATCTACCGCTGCCCGAAGCCCACGATCGCTGCTATGCAGGGTGCCGCTGTCGGAGTGGGTGTCACGATGACTCTGCCGGCCACGATCCGCGTGGCGTGGAAGGACGCCAAGGTTGGATTCGTCTTCTCGCGCCGCGGCCTCGTCATGGAGGCGGCTTCCTCCTACTTCCTCCCGCGTTTGATCGGCATGTCCCGCGCCTTGCACCTCGTGACGACCGGCGCCGTCTACCCCGCCAGCTCGAAGCTGTTCGACGGCCTCTTCTCCGAGCTCCTCGACACGCCTGACCAGGTTCTCCCCCGCGCCCTCGAGATTGCCGAGGAGGTCGCTGCCAACTGCTCCAGTGTCTCCATCGCGCTCATGAAGGAGATGATGTACCGCGGCACCGACAGCCCGGAGGCGCAGCACCTCCTCGACTCGAAGCTCATCTTCGACCTCTACGGCACGCCCGACATCAAGGAGGGCGTCGCGAGCTTCCTCGAGAAGCGTCCTGTCAAGTTCACTGGCACACTCGCAGCCGACGCGCCCGTGCACTACCCCTGGTGGAACACCGTGGACGTGCGCACCCGCAAGCAGGACAAGCGCGCCGCCAAGCTCTAACCGGTCTTAGTCCTAATTTGTTAACCAAAAGTCAGTAGTCAGTAGTTAAGGAGAGTAGTTCATGTGAGATTATGAACTGAGGAAGCTATGGATATAAAACTCGAAGGGTATTAACCTGCTGTATAGTTGTCGAATTGAGTCCTGGGTATCGGTCGCGTGTTGGGTATTGGGTATTGACCTAGTCGGAAAGTGGTGAGAGGGTGGTCTTTACAGAGCGGTCTGCAGGACTACTGTCGAACGTACGTAGGCCTGGCAGGGCGGCGCGGGCTGAAGGGCTGGGAGTACCTAGCCTTGGGGTTGTTCGGCAGCTTACAGACCTTCTTGGGAGTCAATGGAGTGCTGCGCAGCCGCTTGGCATGCCTCCCCTCAGTGTCGGAATCAAGGTCTGAGGCCTTGGCGTCCGACAACGAACGCTTGGTGCCCTTGGAGGTGGACGCGCCCAGAGGCTGGATTAGTCCGCCCTCCCGGCTGTCAACCTCCTGATGCTTGTTGGCCGGGCTCTGTGGCGAACTTTCGCTCTTCTCCGCCATGGCCTGCGCACGCTTCTTGCCGTGCTTGTTGAACTCCGTCGAAATAGGATCTGATGTGTCCTTTACTTGGCGCTGAACAATGTCCTGCTGACGCATCGCGCTATAGGGCGTGGTGGAGGCCCTGTAGACTCCATCCGCAACTGTCGGTGCTCGCCTGCAGCCCCTGTTCTTCGCCTCCTGCTTCCCGCGCTCCTTCGCAAGATGCTGATCATAGGAGCTTACCTCGCCAAGCGTTTGGATTTTGGCGAACGTGGCCCTGTTCGGCCGCTGGGTCGGGAGCTTGCGCTTACTCTTGGGCATGAAGATCGACGGCTCGGCGCTACGCTTCGTGCCTCGCGGGGCAGTCTTCTCCTTGGCGAGGGGAGTCGTGTCCTTGAGCTCCTCGATAGAAACCTCCGAGACGGGGGTCGGCTTCTCACCGGGGTCCGCGACGGCAGCCTCCGTGATGGGGATAGGCTCCTCATCGGACTCCTCGACAGGAGGCTCCGCGACGTGGGTCGGCTTCTCCTTGGGCTCATCAACGGAGGTCTCCATGACCGGGGTCGCCCTCTTGTCGAGCTCCTCGCTGGAAACATCCGTGATGGGGGTCGGCTTCTCGTCGAGCTCCTGCTTCACAACCAGTTCCGCCTTCGTCGCGACAGCATCCTCTCCGACGCCGTCCTCATCCTTTCCAGCAGCGGGCAGGTCGTAGACCTTCACAGGCTTCAGAACAGTCGTGGCAGGCTTCGGCACGTGGACCGACTTGATCCAAGAATTCTTGACGCCGGCGGGATGATCATAATCCCACAAGGCTTGTTTCTTCTCCTTCAGAACGTTGAACGCAGCCTCGCGCTCCGCGTACAGCGCCGACTTCAGCGGGTCGGAGGCATAGGGCCTAGGCGTGCCGAACCTCAACGGCTGCTTCAGGCTGGCCTGATACTTGGCGTCGGCATGGACAAGAGCGTACTCCGCGTGACTGATTTGCGCGACGAGCTTTGCGCGCGCTGGCGACTGCGTGGCCATGAGGGAATTGTCCGCGTCGTGTCGCGGGGCAAGGGGTAACGATTACGCGGAGGAGGGGATGAATAAATGGCGCTAATGGCGATCTAGGGGCGGGTGTTTGGCGTTGTGAGGCTGTGGAGAAGAGAACGAGGGAAAGGCTCGTCCTAACAAAGGACAAGTGAGAGGCGCTGGAGGACGGGGGGAAAGGGGTATGAAAGTGCTTAGAGAGAATGGAGAAGTGAAGAACGAGGAGTTGAGCGGTGCGAGCGGTTTTGATGGTGACGAGGCGTGTTTCTGGAGCGACAAACTGATGCACAACGCGGGGCAGAGGGAGCAAGAGTCCCCCCTCTGGCTCCGTTGAGGCGGCGAAGGTGATCTGCTGTATGCCCCAACGCGTCGTGGTGTGTGTCCAGAGTTGACGCGACTCGAGGCCGCACGTGTCCACGTGCCGCCGACAACCACGCGGGGCACCCTCCTCAAACTCCTGCACTCTAATTCATTCTACCTCAGACTCAAAGACATTTCTGAGACGCTGCGTGGACGAAACGCTCACAACGCGCGTAGAAATCAGGGTGTAACGCCAGGAAGGAAAAACTTGTGAAACTGTGCAAAATCGTTGATCCGCCACAGAGTCATGCACAGGGTATACATAAGACCAGAGACTATAGACAACACGACGAGCCCACGACCAGCGAGGAAAACTACGGGTACAACTACAGCGACAACACATCACAGCCAGCTACTCAGTTGACTTCTTCTCGATCATCTCACACATGTCCTTGAACGCCTCCATCCCCCGCTCGGTATTCTTCTTCGCCCGACCATTCTGCTTCAAGAGCGCCTTCGCCACCAACTGGAAGAATGCAGACTGCACACCACTCATGTCGCCATCGGCCAGGGCGATCAGGAATGCGTCGTTAAGCTTGTCGAGAGCCGTCACTTCGGTAGGATCGTTCCGATAAATCCTGAGGGTGGCTTGGAGCACGCTCCGGAAGATGGTTTCCAAGGGTTGCATGGCCGCCCTGCGGTGGCTCGAGTTGATGGGAACAGTGGCACGAGGTCGAACGGACCTTGAGGAGGATGCTCGGGCTGGTTGGCTGTGAGAAGGGAGGTTTGTGGCTAAGTTCTCATTGAATGACCTTCCAGTGTGGAGCTCATAGCGTATCTCGCGACGGCCGGCATCGCGGGGCTCTAGCTCTTTATGTCGAGAGTGGAAGTGGTCGGCGAGGTAGAGCTCGGTGGGAGGAGGGTTGTTCTGAAACGTCTCACGACAAAAAACGGGTGGAGCAACCTGAAAGGGCAGGTGTGGATCCATCTGAGTTGGCGGAGACGGCAGCCTGACGGAGCCAAAGCTCACATAGTAGTCCTCATACCGGGCGGGTGGACTGTCGGACACCCAGTGGTGGGCGTCCATGTGGTCGTCATGATTGTATTGAGGCTCGGAGTCGACTTCGTGGGCGCGCTTCTTGCCCTTGTTGAGGGTGGTGGGTTGAGGTGGCTCAGAGCTCTTTGAGCGGTTGGCCCAGGCAGACTTGCTGTGCTGGGCTGCCGCCCTATCGGCGCTCCCTCCGCGAGGAGCAACCGGAGGAGGCAGGTTCGAGACGTTCTCGTCTGGGGTGTTAACCTGCCACCACAGCCTTCGCTTGGGCTGAGAGTGGGCGGGAGGAGCGACCGCGGGACCAAGTTGGTGTGCGCGGCCTGACCGAGGACTGGGAGTTTCGAGCTGTGGCAGAACGCGCTGCGTTGTATCTTGATCGAGGGTCCGCGAGTGATACCGAGGGCTGTTGAAAGTATCGACCGACGAACCGTAGAAATCGTGGGGTACAGTTCCAGATCGAGGCGTGGACACAGGTGGATGGGGGTGGCTGAGGGGAGCGCCTTCAGTGTAGTCCGGCAAGAAGCGGTCAGACACGGATCCGTGGTTACTCTGCAACGCCACGTTCACTAGCAGCTCAAGACCTAACGATGTGGCCTCGGAGACCACAGATGGAGGCACGGAGAAGCGGTTCATGTGCACGGCTGTTCGAGCGTGAGGAGGTGACGGAGCGTGGGGGCGACGTCGATCCACTTCCATTTCTGCAGAGTTGCCCATGAAAGCTGAGGCGGCGGCCGAGAGCTCCGAAAGTGACGACAGTGAGGACGTAGTGCTAGTGGCAGCCGGGGACCTGTCAATGCTAACGATGGCTCTTGCTTGGAAAGGGTCCTTCTTGAGAGAAAAGGTTGTGGCCGGCGACTGATTAGTCCGCCATGTGCGAGGGGCACGGCTGTCGCTCTGTCGAAAAACGACAGTGTCTGTTTCTTTCAGATTCCAGAACAGCTCCTTCCCAGTCCGAGCATCCCGAGCAGGGTTGCGACGAGGAGCTAGCGCATCGGTACTCGACATTGCATGTTCAGGCGTCCATCCGGGGTGTCCATTCCAGGTGTCACCGTTGTTGTTCCTGGTGTGATGCTCATCCTGTTCGTTGGGAGTTGGACGAAGTTTAGCTCGGGAGGGCCTCGTTCGGGCTTTAGGTGGCTTGGCCGCTGGTGCCACTGGGATTGGCTTCCAGGCTCCAGCCTGCAGCACCTCGGCATAGCTGAGGTGGATAGAGTTGTAAAACGCCGCAAACTCATCTGGCTGAGAAAGCAACGAGCACTCTACGCCCTTGTCGAGGCACCCAGCACACTGCGGTACGCCGGGGAGGATACGACAAGCGGGCATTCCTGTACGGATACAGGTGCTGCATTTATCCTCACAAGTAAACCCACGGTGGTGAACCTCCAGAGGGCTGCTGTGGGGGCGCGCATCGGCGGTCTTGTGCGCTTCTTCGAGCTCCGCACGGGATTGAATAACCTCGTTCCTGGGGCCATAGAGGGGAGTGAGCTGCTCTTGATGAAGCCAGACGGTAGTGGCTGCCATTGCCTCCTTCTGCCTGGCGGTGTTGAGAGAGGCCTCACAATCCCAAAGACGGTCTTGTAGCTGCTGCAGCGGCGTCTCTGCAGGATTATCGATCTGGGACTGAATTTTGGAGAGCTTGCTCTCGGCCTCGCGAGTGCATCGAGTAGCGACGTAGTGCCATTTCTCGGCACTGGCGACCTTCTCGTAAGAGAGGTGACTCATGGCCCTATGGTCAGCTTGACTGAATAGTGTTTTGCTCACGAGGTGGAGAGGAGCGAGATTGGGTGAAGTGAGGAATCAAGTGATGGGGTTGTTGTGCCATAAGTAAGTGGTGGCCACACGCCGCTCGCACACATCGAGCGGTTGCTCCCGTTGGGGATCCTGTGCTCCGAGTCGTGCGACGCAAACACCGTCACCTCTGCTCAAGGGAGCGAGGCGGACTGCGCAAGCAGATCTGTCTGTGTGCTGTACATGCTTGGAAGGCTTGTCAAGCGTACTTCGGCAAACGTGCCTTCAGCGCTGGGGATTAGTCGATGCATGCCGCTCGTTCTTCAGTACAACTTATCTATACATCCAAGTATCCTGCTAGCTCTGCCTGAGAACTTGCTCGCATCACCTTAAAGCCGGTGTCCGCTACAAGCTATAGCTTGGTTATGAGGGTTACAACTAGGAACACAAACGGGGGTACCGAGTGCGGTGGTGGCCAAGCTTCAAGCGCGACGACGCTTGACTGCGCCCTCGTCAATCTCGTCGCTGGCCCCACGCTTCTTGGAGAGTTCGTCGGTGAAGTCGTCATCTGTGGTCAGCTTGGTCTCCAGAGAGCACGTACCGTGACAGTATTGAGTGTTGAGGTCCTCAATCTCCAGCTTGTACAGCTTAACGAGGTCGCAGTAGCCCTTGATCACAAGCTCGTGAACCGCGCGGAGATTCTCCTCCTTTTGGCCCTTCGTACGCTTTGGCTGCCTCTGCTTCAAAGCCTTGGACTTCCGAAGCATCTCCGAATACACGGCATATTGAGCCTGCTTCAACCGGGCTAGCTTCATCGAGTGATCATGCGTAATGCTGGCAACCTCGGCCTTGAAGCCCTCGCTGTTGTACGGGATGTTTCCTGCTGTCAGTAAGTTGGAGATTGAAGTCTGGTCTCATCCGCAACTCACCAATGGAAAGAACGGCAGTCTCAAACTCTTCAAGCTGCATCTTGAGCGTCGAGAAGTAAGTGTCAAAATGCTCAAGCTGGAAGGCAGCCATCTCCTCCCTTCCCTTCTTGTTGGGAGAGACTCCCTCGTTGAGCATCATCATTGTGGAGACGTAAAGGTACTCGGTCTCGATGTCGTCCTGGGCCTTCTTGATTCGGTTGTAGAGATGCTTGCAGGAGCTGATACTGTGCTCCATTGAGAGCGGTGAAGAGTGAGCCATGCTGCTTGTGCGGTGGTCGGCCTTTGGTGGTCGGACTACATCATTATGCTCGAAGGAAGGTTAAGTATTCGAACCGGAGGGGATCCCCATGCCGCTAGCAATGCTCAGTGATGCACACGTTACACTATCCGCACACACATATTGGGATTCTGTCCTCCGACCCCGTCGGCGATGGTGGTCCACTCTCTCTCACCTTCCCCATCGAGCGGAATGTGTGCCCTCTCCCGACACTTGTCGCTTCACTCATCGATCAAATTGACGCATCCAACAGCTTCCTTCCCTTTCCAGTTGCCTTCAGCACCCAACCAATTGTGCATCAGCGTCAGAGGGAGTAACCACGGTTACATCTGACACAGCAAGCTGAAAACTGGTTGAAATTGCCGGTTTCATTCCCGAAACTCGTCTTACTGCCACATGCCTTGCAGCATCATCCCCGCCGCCCTCAGGAGGACTTGACGCAATGCATAGCGAGAACTATGTGTGAGTGCAATACAAGTACGGTGCATGAAGCTTTAAGAAGACTGGGGAACAGGATGTGGAAGTGAAGGTTGATGTGTATCGAAGAACGGAGTGTGCGGTTCGTCGAGTGACCCCGTGCTAGTGGGACTCACAGCGCCGAACTGGGGGTCCCATGCAGACGGTGCTACTCCTCATCCTCCTCAACGATGTAGCCAACAAGGTCCTGAGGACCAATGACGATGTAATCGTTGAGCTCGGGGTCCTCCAGCATGCATATATGGTGCAGATGAGCCTGAAGGGATGGGCTGAGCTCGTCCTCCAGCTCCTCGGTGCCCGAGTCGTAGGTCGGACCAGACGTGGCGGTGGCGGCCGTGGTGTCCACAGCAGAGGCGGGTAAGGTGCCCTCAATCCATTGGTTCAAGAGGAGCTCAAGGTAGGCCGCGTCGTCACCCCCAAGGTCGGCTGCGACGTCACCCGACGCACTGCCCGCGACGTTGGGGGAGTCGGGGGCGTCAAGGGAGTCGAGGGAGTGGCCGGAGTGGCTGGAGATGACGGACCAGCTAGGCTCAGGAGAGTTCGAGGAGGGCGAGAGAAGACCTTCCTGACTGCTACTCGAGGGCCAGAGGAAGTCCTCATCATCGCTGCTGGACGGACAGACCCAGCCCTGGTCGCAACTGCCTCCGGACGAGGTGTTGTCTTCGTCAGTGCTTGGGGCCCATGTGAGGCCCTCGTGCGGGCTGAGGTCGGACATGCTTTTGTAAGCTGTAAGTCAGTTGTCAACACCAGTTGGGCAGCTCACTGGAGGTCGATTGTTGGTGGACGAGAATGAAGAGATACTGTATGAGAAGAGGTGGCTGGAAACTTGGGGCTCGGCGGCCTTGGCCATGCCCGTCTCAGTGTGTCGCTGACATGGAGTACCTGACCTGGCGTGGTGCACAGAGTGCGAGTTGTGTGCAAGCCCCCAGGCCCAGTCAGCGTGCTGGTCAGTCCCGTCACTCTGAGACTTCTTACTGCATCACCAGAGAGTCAAATAACAAACTAATCCATCCCATTTACTTTGTTACAAGCCTGATTATTACGAACGGAGTATCTCCCTAACGGATCCAATTTGATCCACCCATTGTTTGAAGTTAATGCTCACGCGTTGATCTGCGCGGGCTGGAGCTGGAGGGCGCCCTCGGCCTCCCTGTGCTCCCTGGCGCGAAGCTTGGCCTCGCGGCGAAGCTCGACACTGCGAGCCTTGGGGTAGGGCGCCTCGAAGACGTCGTCGAGCTCCTCGAGCGAGAGCTGCTTGGTCTCAACGACAAAGAGCCAGATGACCACGCATCCAACGACGTCCCAGCACATGAAGATAAGGTAGACCTTCCATCCGAGGGCCTTCATGGCGTCCGGGATACCGAAGGTGTTGATGAGGGAGAAGACGGCGGCGCACCAGCCCTGCAGCGCGAGACCCTTGGCGCGCACCTCGTAGCTGAGGATTTCGGCGGGATACAGGCCCTGCAGCGGCGTCCAACCGAAGGAGAAAAAGACGTTCCAGAGCATGATAAACGCGATACCGGCCTTGGAGCGGGCGTTGTTCTGCACGCCGTTCGGCTGTACAAGACCGGCAATGATGCCGAGACAGCACGCGGCCCAGATCTCAGAGCCGAGCATGAGCGGCCGACGGCCGACGTAGTCGATGCACGCGGCGCCGCTCATGGCGCCGATCATGGCGACAACGCTCGAGACGAGGGTGAGGGTGCGCTGCTCGTTGCCGCTCGTGATGCCCGCCTCCTTCAGGAGAGACGGCATGAAGTAGCTCACCATGCCGTTACCGGACAGCTGGCCCCAGCACGCGACAATGACACAGAGACCGAAACGGTAGCGGTCGCCGCGGGTGCGCCAGATGGGGCGGAAGTCCCACCAGCGCTTGTCGGCACCGTCCTGCTTGACGTTCTCCTCGATCTCGGTCATGGTGAGCTGGACGAGGGGCGAGTTGACGTCGTCGTCGCGCGAGTGCAGGTTGGCGAGGATGCGCGCCGCCTGCTCCTTCTTGCCGCGGGCGTAGAGCCAGCGGGGCGACTCGGGGCACAGCATGATGAAGAGGAAGTTGACGGCCGCAAAGGTCATCTGGAGCAGGAAGGGGACGCGCCAGCTCGAGTCGTCGTTGCGGGGGCCGTACGGGATCGCCACGCCAGTCGCAACAATGTTGCCGACGTACCAGCAGCAGTTGGACAGGCCGAGCACGAATCCACGGTTCCAGGGAGAAGACACCTCGGCAAGGTACACCTTGGCAGCTGTTCCGGCGAGGGTGCCGCCGAGACCGACAAAGAAGCGGCCCGCAAGCAGCCAGTCCATGTTCTTGGCGTAGCCGTTGATGAAGCAGCCCATGATCAGGAGAGCATTGCCGAAGAACATGGCCCAGCGACGGCCGATCCAGTCCGGGATGATGATCGAGGGGAAGAATGCGACAACCATGCCGACCGTGTAGATGCCGAACACAATGTTGGTGCCCGTGAGCGCGTCCTGGCTGTCCGCGTTAGCGCCGCGTATGCGATAAGCCAGAGTGCACTCACAGTCCGAAGTACTTGTGGAACGTGTCCATGCTGTTCACGCTTCCGATGATAGTGCCGTCAAAGCCGACGTCGGCGGACGCAGCACACGCAATGGTCACAATGGCCATGAAATTGTACCACCTAGGGTCGCTCCATCCGGGGCCTGGGTCGGCCATGCGCGCCGCCGCGAGGACGGTCGCGGCATCGACGCCATGGTCGATGTGCGCGACATCAATCTTCTCGTCTTCCTTTCCGACTGAGTGCACCGAGTCGGGCATGATGTCTTGGCAAGCGCTGTTGCTGGCGTGTGAGTAAGAAGGGTGAGTGTGGTTGGGACCAACGAAGAAAGAAAGAACATGACACCCCGTCCATAAATACACTTTCTCGAGCATGCGCTATCATGCTTGGTTCCTTGGCCGCCTGGCCGCTCACGGCGGAGCATGGCGGGGCAAGCGGCGCTATCGTTGCCGGCGCTGAATGGGGCCAAACGGAAATCCTGGGCCCCGCTAGCCGTATGAGCCGTAGCAGCCGTAAGGACGTATGGTATTGGACGTATTCGCATGCTCCGTGGACTTGGCGGGACTCTTGCAAGGGACGATTGCAAAAGGATGTGATCGACAGAGTCGGGCGAGTCGCGCGAGTCGCGCGAGCGGCCGAGAACGCGGCCCCGCATTTGCGTTTGATGGATGACGCCGAGGCCAAAATTCCCGTTCGCAAGAGGCCCGGTGATCAGCTCGAGGGCCAAAATTCCCGTTCGAGGCGTCGCCGGTTGCCAATGCGTGCTAATCGTTGCTCGGGCTGGGTTCGGGCTAAGGCGATTCTAGCGGGGTTGCGAGGATCGACCGCGCGTTCGCTTCCTCACGCGATATCGGGGACTGCGGCGAAAACGGCGCGTTGAACAAAATGAAGGGAGTCGTGGGCGGGAAGAGTTTGTTCCGGCGCTCGAATGAGGGGCCATGAGGGGCAAAGGACAGGGTTATCGCAGGCAGTGCGGCCCCACATTGGCCCACATGGTCCCGCAGAAGCGCAGATGCAAGCATGCGAATGTCACCGGATGCATGATGCAGAGATGCAGAGGGATCTAATCTTGTCCGCAAGCTAGCGCCTCTGCATGTCGGGCAGGTCGCCGGAAGCATGCTCAAGCCAAGTGGGCAATCCACCGGACAGCCGAGTCTCCTTACCATAAATGGGCCGGCTAACGAGATTTCACCCTCACGTCAGCAGCCGGATCTGGTATTACCCCTATCTCTCCCCTCCCTATCAAACAACGCCCCCACGCCACCCCGCAACGCCATGTTCCTCGTTCCTGGTACCTCCGCGATCACGGTCTTGGCCTCCCTCCTCCTTGCGAGCACCGGCACCGATGCACTCGACAATGGCCTTGCGCGCACCCCGCCCATGGGCTGGAACTCATGGAACGCAGTCCGCTGCGCCGTAAACGAGACCATTGTGCGGTCTGCCGCTGATGCGCTGGTCGATTCCGGCCTCGCAGCAGCAGGGTACCAGTACATTGTGCTGGACGACTGCTGGCAGGACTACAAGCGCGGCGCCGACGGCGCTTTGCGCGCGCACCCGACCAAGTTCCCCAGCGGCATTGCGACACTCGCGTCGTACGTGCGCTCCAAGGGGCTCAAGTTCGGCCTCTACGGCTCGCCCGGGACGCGGACGTGCGCCATGATCTACGACAAGTACCCCGGCACCGGGCTGGGCAGCAAGGGGCACGAGCAGCAGGACGCGGACACGTGGGCGGCCTGGGGCGTGCAGTATCTCAAGTACGACTGGTGTCTGGCCGACAAGGACGGGCTGGTGCACCAGCCGACGTTTGAGCGGATGCGCGACGCGCTCGCCGCCACGGGCAAGGGGGGCGAGATCACGTACTCGATCTCCGAGTACGGGTACACCAAGCCTTGGACGTGGGCTGCGCCCGTCGCGAATCTCTGGCGCACGACGGCAGACATCCAGCCCCGCTGGGACAGCGTTGCGCGCATCATCGAGTCCCAGGCCGCACTGGCCGGCACGTCTGCGCCGGGGGCTTGGAACGACCCCGACATGCTCCAGATCGGGAACGGCAAGTTCACCCCGGAGGAGACACGCTCCCACGTCGCCATGTGGGCCATGCTCGCTGCCCCGCTCATGGTCGGCACGCTTGTTGATAAGCTCCCGCAGCAGACGCTCGACGTCCTCGCCAACCCGCGGCTGGTCGCTATTGACCAGGACTCCCTCGGAAAGCAGGCCGCGCGCATTCAGCAGACCGCAGGCGTGGACCTCTGGACCCGCGAACTCAGCGGAGGCCGACAGGCTATCGCTGTCTTCAACACGGGCAACAGTACTCAGAGCGTCACCCTTTCGCTCGGCCAGGACGCGGCGTTGACGGACGTGTGGTCCGGTAACGCCGTCGCTCACGGTACCGCCAAGGTCACAGCGCAGGTGAAGGCGCACGACACGGCCGTGTTCACTCGCAGGTCGGTCGGAGACGTTAGTATCACTGTTGCGTAGCGTGAAGAAACAGAGGAAGCGGAATCATGCATGATACACGTAAGAACTACAAGCTACAACTGGATGGACCTCGCCAGGGCGTTCATGACGACTGACACGTTCCCCAAGCTGGACGTGTCTCTCCGCGCTGCTCCCATCAGCACCCGTCAGTCAGTCGATCAGGCAGTCTGTCAGTGACGGTAGTTATCTCTCAGGACGAGGATGATCCCAACGCAAAGCAGAGCCGGAAGCTTCAAATTGCCATGATTTATCAACACCCTAGCGCGGGGGGGGGGGAAAGGTCACTGAAGGGGGACGCAACATCTGGTGTCAGCCCTCTGCGCATAGCGATGCCTAGCTACAAGCACGAGCATCATGACCCTCCCCGGTCCCGCCGAAGAACGCCACGCCGGCATTAGAATCGAATGTGTCGTCAGGGTCGGAGCTGTCACCACTGGAGAGAGCTGGGGCGTCGCTGCTGCCGCCGGAGCTGTGCGAGCCACCCGAGGTGCTTCGACTGCCCGCCGGGTGCGTTACGGTCGAAGGGAGACTCGGCTCACTGGGCTTCTTGCAGTTGATGAGCTTCTGGGCGACCTCGGGACTGACTGCGCGATACTCGTTGCCAGTCACATTCTTGAACGGCTTCTTGAAACTAGCGGGTATCTTGACCCGACGCACAAGCTTCATGACTTCCGGTGCCATGGGCAAGTCTTCCCAGGTGAGCCTTTGGCGCACCGATTCGCCAACGAATGCCCCTCTCAAGGCTTTCGTAACCCACTCCTCGACCTCCTCCCGCGGCAATGGCGCCTGGCGACCACATCACTGTTCCAACTCTTCGGCCTGGCGTCAGCTAAACCGCGATGCTAGATTCTCTCACCATTTGACTAGCCGTAGCAGCAATGGCGGGCTGGGCGGCCAACCACTCCTCCAAAGTGTCAAACATTCCATCATCCCTACCGGGATACCCCCACACATTCACGAAACGTTGGCTACAGAGTCAGAAAGTATGTCTGGAAAGGAGCACCAAAGACTTTACTCACATTTCGAGCGCCTTATCCGCCACCACAAGTCGATACACGTCAGCAGGGACCTGGTCGGGGATCTTCCTGTCTGGCCCAGGAGGATGCTTCGAATCGGGGCAATAGCCGTTCCTGTAGGCATTCGTGGCTAAGAAGGCAGCGAGGCAGAGGTGGCGCTTGTCGTCCACGGGCCCGGTAGGGCCATATTCCAAAGGAGCCGCGATCGTAGCCTGGGCGGGGAAAGCCCGTGGTAGCTGGATGCGGCTCGTTTGGCTCATACCAAGCCATCCAGGCTGGCTTCGGAGCTTCGGACGATTTGAAGAGTGAGATGGCGGAGAGGATGTTGCTGAGAGAGGCCAGAGCCATGTTGACGTCCGAGGTTGATCGTTGTGTGGAGATAAAATCACTGTCGAAAGAGAAGGGTGGGTGGATGGGCAAATGATAGAGCTAGTGGTTGTGTAGGTGTAAGTAGATATGGATAATTGTGAGGACGAGGCTGTGATTGAGGATGAGGATGAGATGACGATACAGCCATTTAAGTAGTGGAGACAAGGGTGCGCCGGTCCTAAGTTTGGCCCATTTGGCTCCTCGGCTTTTGACCGTGTCCATTGTTTTGCATTGAAGCGTAGTGCACTCCACTGCCGTGTCCCCGACCGAACTACTACCACGTAACCAGCCTTTGCTACCTCTCTCGTTGGGTGCTATGGCTGATGATTATAGTGACCGAGTAGCCCTCGATACCCCGCGATCTAGTTGCCGACGCTCAATCGTTATCGAGAGTCTGATCACGTGTGCTACTACACGAGTCGCGAGTTTTGACAGGCATTCCAGTCAAACTGGGAACTGGGCAGGCCTTATTGCTGCAGGTACACCAGGCAGTAGTTCGGTAGGCTGCAGCTCGTAGCTGCATAGGCTGGCAATAAGTTCGCAGTTGGCGGCTTTGAGGCCCGGACGCCGGAACCGCGGCTACACGGCTACCACTGCTACACCCTGCGGCTGTCGCGGTTGCTCGTCACGTCTCCACGTCTCCCAAACACACGAAGCGTCTCGGTATTTGGCCGCTGGACTCTGGGCCCAAGAAATGCATGCATGAGATGCGGTCAGGAAGCTAGTAAGTCATGTGTTGTGCGGGGACTGGGAGTGTGTCACGCCATTAGGACTATTAGTCAACTGGTTTGAACTGGATGTGAATTTGACTTCAGAGAACTAGAACCATCAGATCTTGGAGCCAGTGCATGGTGCAGAGATCCCTGGAGAGCTTTCCTGTGCTAGCGGTCTGCATATCATGTTGCTCCCCAAACACAGTGTCTTACACTCTACGGCATGCGGCTCCCAGTTGGCCACCCATCAATGTTCTAACCAACGGTCTCGTAGGTCTCGATGGTTTCGAGCCGCCCGGTCGTCGGTGGCAAACGAGCCAGAACCGGTGAAGGAGCCCCTCCTGATCCTCTTCCGGCTTACCTTTCGCGCTGCAGCAAACTTTGAAGTCTGTGCAGACCTGGTCGCCAGCCACACCTCGGCCTCGAGCCGCCGCCGAATCGAGCCAGGCACGTACGCCTCAGCCGGTGCAATCACGTCGTGGTCCTGCGTTTCAATGGCCTGAGGCGCAGCAGTTCGAGAGAGGCCCAGCTGCGTCGGCTCTCGATCTGTCCTGCGTCCCGGGGTCCGAATACGCGTGAGGGGTGAATGGATCCTCGGCGCGTTGATAGACTGGGCAGGGGTTGGTAGCGATGCAGCCAGCTGTTTCGGAATCGGAGCCCGAGAGCGGGGTGCGTCACGCGCTCGACGACGTTGTAGGTCCGAACCTGCGTCCTGCTCCGTTTCCGTCTTCACAGTCCCCGATCCCATCTTGCTCCTCGTGTCCTTCCGCCCGTCTTTGCTCCCAACCCTCGCCGAGCTCGTCGAGCTCGTCGAGCTTCTCTCGGGCCGCAAGCATCCCACGACAATCCTCCTCAGATACCCAGCCACTTCTTTCGCCGTGCGCAGCTTGACTTCGAATACTTCCTTCTGCCTTCTCTGGGAGCGGCGCTGGTTGCCCGCATTGCGTGCCCGGCGTTGCTGCTCCGTCACTACGCCGTCGTCCCCGCCTGCGCCGCGCCGGTAGGGGCTGATGGGGAGTGGCGCTGCGCGCTCGGTCAGCACGGCGAGCTCGTCCTCGCCCTCGGACTCGCGGTGGGCGATCCAGCGCCTGAGGCTCGTCTTCAGGCGTTCTTTGTCGGCTGTGCGTCAGTCACATATCGCAAGTTGGCGGGGGCCGCGGGGCAGGCCAAGTGGATTGAAAGGGCGGAAAGCTGTAGGTGGAGAGTGGAGGGTGGAGGTGGTGTGTAGGGGACGAGAGGCGGAGACGGCGGGAAAGAAAGGGCGGTGGTCAGTATGAAAGGGCAACGTACCATCATCAAGCGAGCAGTCCGAGCTGTCAAGCCACTCGCCCAAAATCCGGCGATACAGTCTCCTCTTCCTCTCTTCGGCATGCAGAAGCCTAGCTCTTGAATCACGCGTGAAGCGGCGCCAAAGCTCAGTCTGCAGACTAGGCCAGGCGTCGAATCCCTCCCTCTTCGCTGCGGCGCGTTCAGCGGCGGCGTCTTTTTTGCGGCGGGTCACGAAGGAGACGTAGTCGGCCGATATGGCGCGTTCCTCTATGAGGAGTTCGGTGTGGAGCTTCTCCGAGGTTGAGGTTGAGGTTAGCATTGGCTCGGAGTCGCAGCTCGTGAGGCTGTCGATCGAGCGGGATAGCTGGAGATATCTGGACGATGAGGATGGGTGGTGGCAGGTCTTTTGAGAGAATGGCGAGGCGAAGGGGTGCGTTTTCTGGATGTGAGTTGTATGATGGAAAGATCATTGTGGATGTAGGGGGGAGGTCAACGCCGTGCTCGAGCTCTCGGTCATGCAGTGGGCCAAGGTGCAGAGGTGCACCGGCGCGGCGGGAGAGCGGGGCGGAGGGGGCGACGGCGCGACAGCGCAAGAAGGGGGCGCAATGTGAAGAAGGCCGGGGTGTGTACGGCCTTTGTGTGTCGGACGTGTCTCTCCGCGCTGCTCCCATCAGCACCCGTCAGTCAGTCGATCAGGCAGTCTGTCAGTGACGGTAGTTATCTCTCAGGACGAGGATGATCCCAACGCAAAGCAGAGCCGGAAGCTTCAAATTGCCATGATTTATCAACACCCTAGCGCGGCCGCTGCTCGCAGATCCGGCACCGAGTCCCGTGCACAAGGCAGTTGGTGTGGAACTCGCGCGCGCACCAGACACAGGTGTATCCCCCTGCAAGGGCGATGAGTTCGTGCCTGTTACGCTTGTCTGTTGTCAGCTACGGGGACGGACAAGCTCGGAGGACGAGGGAGGGGCGAGAGGTTCTGCTCACAGGACTGCACCGAGTGCACGTTGGCGGGGCAGAAGGAGGACGAGTCGGAGGAGACAGTCGAGAGGCGGTAGTAGACGTCGAGCATGGCTTTTGGGGGAGTACAACATGGGTAGAAGATGAAGGACGTGGGTGGTGCTTTTGAACGATACTGGTGTCAAAGGAGGCGGTGAGGTGAACAATGACGGCGCGTGTCAGAATGACGACGAAGCGTCCCTCAACACTTCTTGACCGTCTTGACCTGCGACGCTACCTGCGCAGCCTGCGCGACCTGCGTTGGGACCCCAGCCCCCGTTGCAGGTAGTACAGAACGAATGGGCAAAGGCCGCGTGAACGCGTACCCCATCCATTGGCCGCAGTACACACAGATCAGATCGCCGCTGCCGAATGCGACGCCGTGGCAAGGACCTGCACGCCCGTCAGCTCTAACACGTTGTGAGACTCACGACCGCGATTGAGGGTGTGCGTGCAAGGGCCGAACATGGGGGGCTTTTGAGCTTTAGAGATTAGTTGGGCCGGGGAGGCCGTGGTGACCATCTGTGGGGTGGTAAGTAACAGAGACAGCCTAGACGGCCTTATATCTCAGAGAGATCTGGTCGGCTGGGGCCGCTGCAGCGGCAGAGGTGCTCCGCTTGCCCCCGCTCCGGATATGGACGTGCGACATGGGAGAAGACATGGGAAGATCGGGGGCGAGTGTGCCGAGCGAACGATGATGGGGTGCGACGGCGTCGGTGCTGCGGAATGCGTGTGTCGTGGAAAACGCAGAGATGTCACGGTGGGTATCCGTCCTGGGGTCAGATTCGAGGTGAGCCTGGGGTGCGATGAGTCTTGTCAGTCCGCAGTACGTCGTCCATGAGTCGCATTCCTGCCACCATCACCTGAGCAGCGCGGCAATCCCGAGTAGTGTATACACAGTGTGCTGCATCCCACGCCGCCAGCCCTCGCCTACACGCCCTTCTTCTCCATCTCGCGGCCCTCCTCCCACATCGTCCGGCCAGAGCATGCGCAGACTGTCTTGTCGTTGCCCCACACGCCGGAGGAGCGGGCGACAACGCCGGCAAAGACGCTTCCCGGCTTGCCATCATTCTCTCCTTCCTTCTGCACAACGCACCCGCGCCCGACCCACTCCCACAGCTGCCCGTCGACCTCCTTGAACAGATCACCGTAGCCCTTGCCGTCGGGCTTGAGCTGGCCGAGGTTCACGAACTCGCCGCCGGTCGACTTTGGCGGGTCGACGAGGTTGCCCGTCTTCGAGACGTAGACGTTGAACTTGTCCTGCGCAGCGTTTGGCGGGAAGCGCACCGTCAGGTCCATCAAAATGCTCTTGGGCGCGATCTGCACGAAGCGAGAAATGCCATACACCTGCTGCGAGAACTCGTCCTCCTTCAGTCCCGGCAGCGACTTGGAGGCGTCGGGTGACGGAAGGGCGATCGGAGACTCAAGAATGGAGATGGCGGCCTCGGAAGGAACGTTTGGGTCTGCAGACGACGCCCCGCGGACTAGCACCTGGCGCTCGGTCGACTTGAGCGCAGAGAGCAGCTGAGAAGGAGGAGCTGGATGTCAGCTCAGGTCGCGAAGCACTCTAGCTATATCGGCGTTCGACTCACTCTTTCCAGTGATCGTTACTCGCTTGTTGTCGAGCTCGATGTCGTACCGGTCAATGCCTGTTGTTAGCTTACGCTGGTCAAACGCACAGCTGGCGGGGCGGGGCGCACGGGACGTGACCAAACACTCAGCAAGAGGATTGCCACGCCCTTGGTGCACACCTGACGACACTCACCGGGAACACTGCTGAGGGCCTTTTCAACTGCGTTGACACACTGGAGATTAGCTCGGAGTGTCTCGTGCTAGCTCACGTTCTGGCACGTCAGGTCGACGGCGAACTCTGTCTGTGCTTTGTCAGCTTACACAGCAGCGATGCAGCTCACCCTAAAGGCAGAACTGGCGAGAGTCATGTTGCTGTCCTGTGCACGCTTGCACTTGTTGAATGCGTGAGAGTGAAAGTGTAGTGAGGAAGTCGAGAGACGGCGAGCAAGGGCTTAGTCATGGTGAGCGGCGAGGCCCCGGTCCAAGTCGGGGTCGTCATTTCCGGCTGAACCAACCAACCTCCACTTTACGACCCTCACGCGCGCGCGCGCCTGACAATTTCCGTCGCGTGCGTGCGTTCCTACGTTGTTATCCTTATCAGTGCGGTCCCATGCCCTGTTCCTCGCGATTCTCGCTACTCTCTGCACACCTCACGTGCCCCTATTAATAAGCCCTGCAACTCCGTCACCGACAACACTCCGACCCTCCGGAGTCCATGTCATCATCGACTCGGTCTGTCGGCGGAGAGCGAGGGCGAGTCAGGAACGAGACAAAGGAACACACACAAAGGGCGAGATAAGCGAATCACGTGACCCAATGACTCGAGAAAGATCGATGATATAATTGCTCCGAGGGCGACTCTGCCACCGCAAGAGAGAGAGAGCGAAAGACCGAGCTACGTCTCTTCCCACAACCACAGCATCATGACGACCTCACCGGCGCGGGCTTTGCCTACGCTGGCGCGGCGCGCGTTCTCCACGACCGCCGCCGTCGCAAAGGGCTCGGGCGGCAAGCCGACTCCGAACAAGGACCACCACATTGTGCAGTACAACGACGACGACTTCCCCCGCGGATTCGGTGTCGCCGCGACGCACTGCGGCATCAAGAAGAATGGCGCCCTCGACCTCGGTGTTCTCGTCAGTGTGTCCGAGCGCCCCACTGCCGCCGCGGCGTGCACAACCCGCAACGCCTTCAAGGCCGCGCCCGTCACTGTCACCACTGAGCTGCTCGCGAGCACTGACGGACGTGCCCGCGGCTTTGTCGTTAACTCGGGCTGCGCCAACGCCGTCACGGGAAGCCAGGGATTGGACAATGCGTGGGCCATGAGCAAGTCGCTCACCAACGCTCTCGCGCCCCAGCCCGAGACGTGGGGCAAGGAGAAGGCCGGCTCGCTCGTCATGTCTACCGGTGTTATTGGCCAGCAGCTGCCGATCGAGAAGATCACTTCTGCCGTCCCCAAGCTCGCCGGCAACCTCGGCCTCGACTCCAAGTCCTGGATGGACCTCGCCAGGGCGTTCATGACGACTGACACGTTCCCCAAGCTGCGCTGCCGCTCCTTCAACCTCGCGGGCCAGACGATCCGCATGGTCGGTATCGACAAGGGCGCCGGCATGATTGCGCCCAACATGGGCCCGGCCGTTCCCCACGCTACTCTTCTCGGTGTTATCGCTACCGACGCTGCTATCGCTCCCTCTGCCCTCCAGTCTGCTCTCAACTATGCCGTCGACCGTTCCTTCAACTCGATCACCGTCGACGGCGACATGAGCACGAACGACACGATCCTCGCCCTCGCCAACGGCATGGGTACCCCGGGCAACAGCGAGATCCACGAGGGCATGGTTGCCGAGTACGAGCTGTTCCGTAACGAGCTCACGTCGTTTGCGCAGGACCTCGCCAAGCTGGTCGTGCACGACGGTGAGGGCGCGACCAAGTTTGTCACTGTGCACGTCCACGGCGCGCCCTCGTACGACGTCGCCAAGACGGTTGCCTCGTCCGTTGCCAACTCGAACCTCGTCAAGACGGCCATGTACGGCGAGGACGCCAACTGGGGCCGCATCCTGTGCGCTGTCGGCTACTCGTCCGTGCCCGAGGGCACGATCGACCCCCACAAGGTCTCCGTCTCCATGATCCCCGCCAAGGACGACCCGGTCCAGACCCCCATGGTCCTGCTCAAGGATGGCGAGCCCGACGCCAACCTCGAGGCCAACGAGGACCGCGCCACCAACCTCATCCAGAGCGAGAACGTCACCATCGACATTGACCTCGGACAGGGCAAGGGCGAGGCCGCGACGTACTGGACCTGCGACCTGTCCCACGACTACGTGACCATCAACGGAGACGTGAGTTTTGTCCCGCCTTCGGCTGATCAGAAACTGACACCCCAGTACCGCACGTAAACGAACGTTATGTAAGTGTAGTTTAAAGAAAGCAGCATAAGCAGCGTGTTTCCCCTCTATAAAGATGCAAACAATGGAACCATCTAGTCTATGGACGTCTGTTACTTCTCCTCGACAATCTTGTTGATCAGCGTGCCCACGCCATGCGACACCTCGACGCGGAACTCGTCCCCGTCATGCAGCAGCGACTTGGGGTTCTTGGACCATCCGATACCGCTGGGAGTTCTGCGAGCGTCAGCGAGCTGCCACATGGCACACACTCCTCCTCTGTTAAACTCACCCAGTAATGATGACGGTGCCCTTGGGCAGCGTGCTTCCCTGGCTGAGGAACGCGATGATCTTGGGAATAGAGAAGATGAGGTCGTTCAAGTTCGAGCTCTGGACGACGTTCCCGTTGTGGATGCCCTTGACGGTGACCTCGCCGATCTTGCTCTGCTCCAATGACTCGCGGGGCACGAAGACAGGCCCGAGAGGAGCGGCGCCATCAAACGACTTGGAGAAGGACCACTGGCTCGTCGCGAACTGCGCTTTGCGGCTGGACACGTCGTTGGACGCAGTGATGCCGCCGAGGTAGGACCAGGCCTCGGACTCGGGCACGTCCTTGGCATCCTTGCCGATGATGATTGCCACTTCGGCTTCGTAGTCTGCCGCATCGTCTTTCACGAACGCCTTCGGGATCACGGTCGGCGCCGGGAAGGGGTCGGCGAGCGCCTGGGCAGCCTTGAAGAAGACGGTTGGGACGGAGGGGACTTCCATGCCCACCTCGAGCGCGTGGGAGAGGTACTGTTGTCAGCAAAGGCAGGGCGAGCGAAGCGAGCTCATGAGCTCGATATCGCTGCTCCTCTCCGTCCATCTCTCCAAGCTTCGCCCCTTCTGAGGCTGGTAGCAGACGAGCAGACGATGGTAACTCACGTTAAGACCAATGCAGCGGATAGTCCCACACTCCCTCTGCGTCACGGGCGCAAGCACGCGGTCAAGCGTGACCTTCTCGCCCGTCTTGGCCCCGGGGTCAAGGACGCTCTCGCCGTCATACAGCTCGACCTCGACCTTGTCCCCCGCATACGTCGCGAGGCCGACATCGATGTCGCCGACTGGCTCGCCGATACGGACCGTCGAGGAGCCAGAGGGCAGGAAACGGATGAGTCGCGAGGCGCCCATTCTGAGAAGACTTGGGAGCATGTGTTGTTGCGACGAAGAGGAAATGTTGTCAGAACGTGAGGGAGTGGGCAAGGACGGAGGGAGGGGGAGGAGAGATCGGCCCGGGAGACCGGACATCGGAGAGCGGACGAGCCGGCCGGCCCGGCGTCATTAGGCGTCATCTAACACAATTCACCGCAATCTATCTCAAGCCTTCTGAAATTGGTGAAAGTAATTAGAAATTGGTGAAAGCAGATAGAAATTGGTGAACGCATTTTCTAATCTCAGCTCATAAGTCGCCGCAAGAGGTACGGCCCCGAGTCCTCCGATAGCTTGCGGCGTTCTTGGGCGGCGTCCATCGATAGATAAGATCTGGCAAACGGGACGGTGATGCCCACTAGCACTCGAAAGTAACCGCCCAACAACAACAACATGGCCCCCGTCAACCTCGTCAGCGTGAACACGGCCCCAGAGCGCGCCAAGGTCGTCATTGGCACCGTCATCGAAAATGTCAAGGACAAGTACGACATCGTGCATGCCGGCAACAGCACCACGATCGAGGGCGTCAAGCCGCTGTTGGAGAGCGTGCAGCCGCCGCCGGGCATTCTGTTCTGCGCCAGTATGGTGAGTCACTCAAGGGCTAGAGGCAAGATGGATGGTTGCTCAGCTTGCTAAATGCTCGCTGTCGCTCGCTCGCTGACACTCTCCAGTGGACACCAGAGGAGCAGGAGGAGATCCAGCGGATCGCGCGCGAAACCGTGCCGGGGATCAAGACGCATGCCATTCCGACCGGACTCCAGGTCAAGGTCGGTCCGGACGGGGTGATCAAGTACCTGATGGAGCGAATTGATGAGATCATGGCGTAGTCTAGGAGTGTCATGCATACAACAGGGTGTTACAGGATGGTTGGTGTGATATGCTATAATGTGTTCGTATATTCTAAAAGATGTCCTCGGCCAGGACGAGCTCGAGCTCCCTCTCCCCGACCTCGGCGGCGTACTCGTCCATGGACAAGAAGCGAAAACAGCTCTCCTCGTTGATGAAGAGGTACACGAACTCCCACCAGCGCTTGATCCGCGGATCGCGCGTGGTGTAGTCGATTTCGTCCGTGAACCTCTCCAAGATCGCGTCCTGCACATTACTGAGGCAGCGCCAGTAGAAGCACTGTCTGATCTTCTCCCGTGCATACCCGCTGGGCAAGAGGACGTCGTTGGGCCGGCTCTGGATCCAGCGGTTCTCCCACCGTTCCGTGCCGACAAACGTGATTGTGCCCGCCGTGTGCGGATTCATGGGCGGGGGATACGGGGTCTTGAGGAGGTGGCGAAGGCGCTGCGTCCAGTCGTCTGCCAGACTCGTGATGAGCCCGAAGAGTGGTCCCTCGGCGGGAGACAGGTGGCGAGTCGGATCCGGCTTGACGTGCACGAGCATGCCGGGGTCGGTGCGGCATCCGCTCGCCTCGGAGCACATGGAGCAGAAATCCTCGGGCGCCTCAAGCTGCACTCGGCCCTGATACTTGGACACGAGCACGGTGGTGTGCGCAATGTCGCTGGGGGGCAGCATGCAATAGTCGAACAGCCACTCGTACTCGGAGTGCAGGCGGAAGTGGAGTACGCGGCGGCTGGGTCGGTCCGCGCGCTCGTCGTGGGGTGTGCGGGGCAAGCTGAGCGTACCAACACCCTCGACAGGCGCAACCGGAGCGCCAATGTCGAGATCAGGCACGTCAGAGTCGGCATCGTTGACGTCCTCGACATCCTCGGCATCATCGGCGTCCTCGACGCCCTCCGTGTCGCACGCGGGCGGCGGCGAACCGGCCGACTGGAGTGCTATCCGCCGCGAATCGAGCGTTGCTCGATTCATTCTCGTCCATCCGTTCCCCTTCCGAGGGAACATGTCGAGCACGTGCACCTCCGTATCGGCTTCCAGGGCCCAGTTGGCAGCATGCGCGTGCGGGTCGCCCACGAAACGGACGTACTGGAGCCGACCGAGGGTGTCGGCGCGGATCCGGGCTTCGTGGGCGTGGGCGGGGCACTTGGACGATGTCTCGTCTTCCATCACGGCATCCGCGTCGGCGTCTACTTCAGCTTCGGCGTCCGCGTCCGCGTCCGCAGTATCCGGCGTGAACTTGGCATGGCACTCGCACGGTCCGACTTCTATCGTCGCTGTTGAGACGGCCTGCCCATGCCATGGCAGGCCGAGCAATCGGCTCTGGGGCGGTAGCGGGCGATGCCGGGCCATCTTGAGTGGCGCGGTGGCCTCAGCCGTCTCGAGCGCATAGGTGATGTCGGAGAGGAAGGCAGAGTCGATACGCGCCGCAACGGCCCGAGAGGTGCCCCTCAGCGCTCGCAGAGTCGTCGCATCGCGACGCTCAATGACAGCACGGAGCACGGCCTCAAACAGATGCGGGTAGGCGAGATGGTCGATTGTGCCGGGCACTCCTCGCCCGACAGCAGATGCGGCGGGGGTGTATGGCGGTGTCGGGGGTGTTGTTGTTTTCGGTGGCGTGGTTGTTTTCGTTTTCGCGCACAAGGGGAGGGATATGTGTGTCGGGGCTGGTTCGACCCAGTCCCACACGCGCGGCCTCTTGGGCCTGTCGCGGGTGTTGAGGGGAAGCGCGCGTTTCATTGCTCGCCTCGATGGTGACGATGGGGTCAGTCAAGCGTGAGTGAGAGTGAAGGAGTGATGTGAAAGACGATGACAACAGTGAACTCGTCAAAGCCCTTCAGGTCGCTGCGAGCCGGACATTGCTCGCTTCGGGTCGCTTGGCTGGCCCCTTCTTGCCCGTAGTACAACCAGGGAAACAGGCAGAGGAGCGCAGGCAGCACTTGCGCAGTGTATTTTCGTCGATGGCGTGTCTATAACGGACACTTTGCAGTTGCACGTTGCGCGCGCTGAATGGATGTGTAATCGGCCGATCGTGGTTGGTCCGTTTCTTGGCACAGGCGTAGTCCCCGCAGTCCATCTCTTCGGCCGCGTCCCACCCTTTCGGGTTGAGGAACCCGTAAGCTGCCCCTTCTCTGCCTCTGCGCCAGCGCAGAAGGAGAGCTTCATAGACCCCCTCTCCTCCCACAGGGAACAGGGGACAGGGACGGATTCCAGTCACCGGAGTAAATCATTAAGGTTTCTCTCTCGCTCCACAGCCAGACGAGACGCGGTGACGCGGTGACGACCTTGACTTCTAATTCAAACTCTTGTCAGCGTGACGCTACAGCCGTGCGCTGCCGTATGCATACCCCAAGCCAGCCCCTGCCATCCCAACTGTCGATGACAACGAGAGATCGCAGCCTTTCGGTCGGCATCGTCCGAAACGACCATCGTTCTGGCAGATTTCGGACCTCATGTCCCCGCCCTGAGATGATGGGCTCAACCTATCGCGTCGGGCGTATACCATCGCGCCCATCGGACACGCATCCCAACTCCCTTGCTAGGCCCTGTGTAGCCCGCACCCATCTGCAGCGTGCGGCGTATGGCTTTGTTCGGAATACAAAGCAAACCACTGCTACTGGCTCAAGAGACGGACGCCTTGGCGCCCAGCAGGCTGCATCATGATCGCCGCACACTTCACTGGCTGACGGGCTGACGCCGCACCGTAGCCCGCTCTGTGGTCCATGAATCGCTTGCAGCGGCCAAGATCGACGGGGGCGCTCGTGCCATGTCCGCGTTGACGAATAAGAGAGAGTGCATTACGCCTCACTGTCTCATGCTGCACAGCAACAATGGGCAACAACGTGTACACGTCGTGGTGAAGGTGGGGGAGGTTCGGCCGTTGATTGCTCTCCAGCGATAGCGCATCAGATAGTCCCAGGCCCCCCGAGGTCGGGTTCTTGCATTCAGACGCTAGGATGTGTGACGCTAGATCTGACAGCCGCAGCTGCCGTCGGCCGGTTGCGAGGCCCCGCTGCGGGACGAAACTGGCCTGTCAGCGTCGAGAAAGCTGTCGGGTCTCCGCTCGGCATTGTCTGGTGCTTCTGGGGTAAACGGACGCTAGACGACCGCACTGCCAGACGGAGACAGGCTGAGCAGGGAGACAGCTGCACGACTGCAAGCGCCGCAAGCGCTCACGGCGCTTACGCGCTTACACGCCGCAGAGGCGTCCGGACTGCCCTCACCGACACCGCGTGCCAAGTCTCACGAGCTCCTTCCGGGATGCCAAGACCGCCCTGCGGCATGCGGCATGATACGATCCGAAACAAAGTCTGCATACGGAGTTTTTCAAGATTCCAGTAATGTCTATGATACACTCTCTCACCTCTTGAAGCCTCTGATCCATCATCACATCACCCAGCACTCAGTCCAGATTGCACTAGTAGCCCTTCTTGAAGTCGACACGGTTGATGACCGGCTCCCCCTTCGCAAGCCTGTCGAGGTTGACCATGAGCACGTCCGCCGTGATGTCCATCTCGCCTTCGGGGTCGCCGGAGCAGTGCGGCGTGACGATCACCTTGGGGTGGGTCCACAGGGGATGATTGTCGGGCAGGGGCTCGGGATCCGTCACATCCAGCGCGGCGCCGAAGAGCCCGTCCTCTGCGTCGAGGGCTGCGAGAATGTCCTCGGACGTCGCGACGTTGCCGCGTCCGACGGAGATGAGGACTGCTTGCGGAGGAAGCATGCCTGGGCGTCAGCTCTTGATCTGTGTTAGAGAACCGTCTTCACTGCTGCTTCGGTTCGCAAACGGCTTGCGCTCTGGACTCCAGCGCATGACCAGCCTGTTGCCTGGGTCTCGCGTTCTATATCCCAGCGACAGACCATACGTTCATGGAAACAGTGAACACAGCGAGTTACTCACCAAGTCTTTCCTTTGTCAGGAACCCCCTCGTCTTCGGTGTATTAGGCAGCGACGCAACGAGCACATCGCACTGCCCCAGGAAGTCCTTGACCTGCTCCTCGTCCTCAGTTGAGTAGTACTTCTCGGGGATCTTGCCCTCGACATCGCCGCCGCCGGGGGGGATGTACCCGTCCTGTCGCCTAGCGCTGCCCGAGGTGTTGGCCGCAATGATGCTGAACCCGAGCGCCTTGAGGAGACGCGCAGACTCACGGCCCAGGCTGCCGTATCCCTGGGAGTCAGCTGGACTCCTACTTCCTCTTCGCTGCGAAAGTATGCCAGGAGGAAGGCAGAAGAGTCACTCACAAGCAAGCCCGCGGTGCGGCCCCTAGTCTGCCGGATCCCATACGTCCGTCCATACACGTCAATGTCCTTAGTCCACGTCCTCTTCTCGCGCGCGTTGAGGATCTGCTTCGGGATCTGGTGGTAGATATTGAGCACCATGGCCGTGACATAGTTGGGAATCGTGAGAGCATGGGCCCCACTCGCCGTGGACAGGCTCACGTCTCGCTCCCCATTCTTGACCGCCGCCATCGGGGGCCAGTTCTGGCCCCCATCGGAACCCGAGGAGCAGAGCTGGACGTGCTTCAGCCGCGGCAGCTCCGAGAGATCCTTCACGCCGTCGGGGATGCCGAAGAGGACGTCGATGTCGGGGAACTTGGAGCGGTCGACGTCCTTCCCGTCGGGCCAGTAGTGGACGTTGGCGACGGACTGGAGCTCAGCGAGCTTCGAGTCCGAGATGGGAATGAGACACCCGAGAGTCAGCTTCGTGTCGGCCGTCATGATTGCGCTTTCAGTGATGAGGTGAGAGTGCGAGGACGTGTCAGCGAGCGCGGTGCTTATGTACTCTGGGGCCAGCACGGCGTGCTCGCCGAGCTCCATAACTCCGTGACAGCGCGGCAACTAGCGGATAGCGGATCATCGATGGTGCCCACTACTCGTACACGGTTCAGTCACTGTGGAAATGGAGGATGTAGCGCTATACCCGGCTTGTGCCGCTCCATCCCGCGACGGGTCCGGCACTCCGGTCCGGTGGCCGGTTCCCTTTGGCATGCTTTATCCCCAATCTTCAAGTGCCGGACAGTCTTAAGGACGAACGGACGAATGCATACATGCAAACGATGGGTGGACACGGTTCTGTCAGGTACGTGTGGACGCTACAGGGATGGAGATGGGGAAACTGAATGTACAGGTGTGCTGTGGCGTATGGATATGCTGTTGTGGACAGGATCGTTCGAAGGAGAAGAGCGGACGGACTGGTCATAAGCGGACATGAGCGGATATGAACGGAATGAGGGCGATGAGCATTAGGGAGGTCGTAAGGCGTAAGAAAAAAGGTGCGGAGTAAAGTGACATGGTGGGTGTCATGGGAGGCTTGACGGGGCGTTTCGAGGTACGAGGAAGCGATCGCATGCGAAGGAAGCGAGCTCGCTATCGGGTGTTCCATGCGTGACGGTTCGGGTCTAGAGCGTGGGACAGGCTATGCGCTGACAGGACTCGCGCTCCTCAGTCTCCTCTCCTCGAGCGCGGCAGCAACCAGCTGCGCCATCTTCTTACAGCCCCCACACCAATGCACACGACAGTAACCGCCATGCGAGCAGGCCGAGTCGCGGCGTTCCAGCTCCTCCCCGACTGCCGCACATGAGGGGCAAGGGCGCGCAGGCGCCTCAGGTGGCCGAGGGCAGGGCTCGAGCGTGAATCTCTCCCCCGGAGCCAGGACAAATGCCCGGCAGCGTGTCGGCGCCGGTGGCTTGGGCAGCGAGCGAGTCGGACAAGGGGGCGGGGCGGAGATGGGCCGCGGTGGCGACTGCGGTGGCGAGTCGACGCTGTTGGTCATACTGCTGAAACTCAGTATGAGTTAGAACAGAGGAAAGTGAAGGAGTCGAAAGTGAGGAAGAAGACGAGGGGTTTGAAGAAAAGGCGCTGAGAGGTGGCCGGCAGCGCTGAAGCGAACGGTAACGAGCGTGGGGCAGTTGGAGGTCGGCGGCGTACTCGCGGCGTAGTTGAAATAAGACGGACGGACGGGTGATGCAGAAGTGCGACGCTGCGAGGTCTGCGACGTGGGATGATGGAGCTCGTGTGCTCATGGACGGCGAGGGCGGGGTGCGTGCGCCGTGGTCGAGACATTCTGGCGGATCAAGCACGAGGGCCTGGTCTAATGGTCTCGCATGTTTGGGCGCAGCGACACTCTTGCTCTTTAGCTTCCTCATCTCGATTCGATTTTCCAGACATTCGCGCGCTTCTGGGCAGCACCGTGACGCCTAGTGTCTATCGCCTAATCGTACATCCGCCACTATGAATATGCAATGCAAAAGATGAACTGACGCTGTCTCACTCTGGCGGGCAAATGCGCTCGCGGACACTAACTGGAGCGAAGGAGCGCCAGCATCGCCCAACCCATGACGACGACGGCGACGACGAGCGACGTGATGCCCTCCACAACCCGCCGGATGTGGCTCTGCCGGGCCTCCTCCCGTCGGTCGTGGTCCACTTCCCATACCGGCTCGTCCTCGAACTCGCTATCGCTTTCCCCGTGCCGATACAGGTTGATAGTGGGGTGGCGGCTCGGCGCGGCCGAGGACAGTTGCCGAGAATGCCGCGAGCGATGCGACCGCGGGTTGCCCACCGGCGATGATGAGAAGAGCGCCATGAATAGCTGCGTCCCGTCCGTGTATGGCAGTGTGAGGAGGTTGAACACGAACAGCGACATTGTCACAAGACGCATGTACCTGGTCGTCAGCTGTGCAGCACACCCCAGTAGCTCACTGCATGAAAAGCGCCCCCCATCGGGTCGCAGAGCCCCAGAAGCGCGGTCGCGCAGAGTCGACCTGCACCTGCTGCAGGACGGCAGCACTGTCGCCAGACCACAGAAGCGTGTCCTGCTTCCCATTCGGCTTGCGATATCGTATTCTGAGGATGCGCTCGTAGTCGGCAGGGCGAATGCACACCTGCGACGTTGGGCAATGGCACTCGCTGTTGGGCACCGTGATGATCCCGTGCGGCGGAAGGCAGCGGGTTCCAGACCGTTCTCTGCCGATCTCATCGAAGCCGACAAGGTGCAGATCCGCGCACGGCGCCTGTGGAGCGTCTCTAAACTCCCACTTCGAAACACACCACCCCTTCGTTGGGTCGAGCGGCGGCGTGCCCAGGTATTGGCTCCACCTGTCCTCGGTGCCGCCGATGAAGTGGTCGTCGACATGCGTGATCAGATAGCCCGGGCTCAGGTGGGATTGCAGCTTCGAGTCCTGCCGTGTCAGTCACGCCACCAGCGCGCATCAGTATGAACCACTCACCGGTGCGATTGCGGTTACTATCCGTCCCTGGGCGGCTGCGTCGGTCCAGAGCAAGCTGCTGAAGCCGCCGAGTACAACGAGCGCGATCCACAGCAGCAGGTTGAAGAACGGCCCAGAGGTCGCGATGCGTGCCTTTGCTCTCGGCGGCAGCGAATCGACGGTCGCGGGAAACGCCACTGACGCCGAGGGAAGCACAAGGTGAATGCTGAATAGCAGCTTGGACGGAGAGATTTCCTCTAATGCCGCGGCGAATGCATGGCCCGCCTCGTGGACGAGCTGGCATAGGAGTAACGCGAGCGCAAGCGTCGGCAGATGTGACAGAGGAGCAGTCACCCCGGGTATCTGATAGAGGTCAGCTGATAGCTTTAAGCTTATCACGTACGAGTGGCAGGACGCCGCCACTGTCCGATGCATGCACTGGCGGCGGTGTGTCGGGGACGATGGCCCTGCGGATGATCTCCACGGTGCCCGTGTCCTCGGCGCGGGCGTGAGCCTCGGCCTCGAGCCAGACCGCTGACCAGACCTGCTTGGCTGACCAGACCGCTACACCAAAGGCGAAAGCCGAGCCAAAGACGCCAGCTACGACGCCCACATCGAACAGCCGGACTGCAGCCGAGCGTGCGCGGTATGGGAGTCGGTGGACGACCTTCTTCGGCAGGCGGTTGAGCGCTACCGTCGTCGCCGAGACGGTGATGCCCTGGCGTTCAAGCACCCATTGCGCTCGCGGGGCAAGGCGGTACGGGGCGGGGAGAGATCGGGTCGGGTTCTTGGCGAGGTAGGACGGGGCGGCGCGAAGAGCAGCGATGACAGCAGCAAGAAGGATGAGGGGGAGGAGGACGTCGAGCATCGCGTGTGCGACGCTCTCTGTCTGTGTGGCAGGGGAAGTCGACGCCGAGGCCGAGGTCGAGATCGATAAGCGTGCGAGGGAGAGTGAGTGCAAGGAGACAACGTCAACTTGAACTTGACCCTCGGCTCGATCGGGTAGTCGTTCGAGACATTTGTATTTGTCCCTGGCAACCATTGTAATCGGCACGTGATCGGGGTCTAATCTACTTCCGACGTGTCTATTAGCATTCCTCCACATTACCACAGTGCACCCTCGACGTCACAACAAAGCAACCACCCTCCTGTTCCTGCTCCTTTCGACTTTCCATCACACCGCACTTCTTCCCGCACTTTCACAACCATGTCCGGCTGGGAGGTTCGTTTCTCCAACTCGCGCAAGACGCCCTACTTCTACAATGCCCAGACCCAGCAGTCGACCTGGGAGCCGCCCGCCGGCATGAGCGAGGCCGAGATCCACGCCCTCCCGGGAGCCAAGTACCTCACCGGCGGCGGTGAGGCTGGCCAGGTTCGCGCTAGCCACATTCTTGCCAAGCACGCTGGCTCGCGCCGTCCCTCGTCGTGGAAGCAGGTGAGTCGCTATGCTGCGCAATGGCGGCGTCAGCGGCGCCGCGGCTCGGCCGACCGGCCCCTGCACCCTGGCATCATCCGCCGGCAGCCGGCAGCTGCCGCTACATCTAGCTCTAGCTGACTTTCGCAGGACCGAATCACGCGCTCGCTCCCTGAGGCGCGCCAGCAGATCCAGGCGTACATTGAGCAGATCCAGGCGCTGCCGCAGGACCAGCAGGCTGCCGAGTTTGCCAAGATCGCGAGCACCGAGAGCGACTGCTCCAGCGCGCGCAAGGGCGGTGACCTTGGCTGGTTCGGCCGCGGCCAGATGCAGAAGGCGTTCGAGGTGAGCTCGTGAACAACTGGCTCCTAGCTGATATCCAGGACGGCACCTACGCTCTCCAGGTCGGCGAGATGAGCCCCATCATCGAGTCCGACTCCGGCGTCCACGTCATCTACCGCACCGGTTAAAAGAGGAGCAATGCTACGTTTGTCTGAAGGACGTGGGACTGATCGGCGCGCACTGATCTAAAATCCATTGGCATCACATTACTGACTCTTAATTCTGAATTCATTACTACAACTCCCAACAGTGTAGGCTGAAGCCTCAGCCCTTTTATCCCGCGCTTAGCACCAGTAGCGGAAGTACTTGTTCTCCTTGTCGGTGAGGCCGCTCTCTCCGGCGAGGCGGGTCTGTAGCTCACGCTCCTCCTCTGCCATGCCCGACTCGGCGAACTCCTTGTCGCGGCGCTTGTTCTGGCGCTTGTAGTACCACTGCATGCAGCCGAGGTTGATGGCGTTGACACAGAGACAGATGGCACAGGCAATGAGGGCGCGGTGGTAGCGAGGGGCGTCGGCAGGAACGAAGATCTGTCCTCCAACGACGTTCTGGGAGTCAGCTTTGTTCACCTGAGAGCCAAAGGGTACTTACACCAATACAGTAGGCCATGAGACATGAGGCACCGAAAACGGTCTTCTTGGAACGGCCGGCGACGTTGACAGTCATGAGGGGGAAGACGAGGAACATGGTGATGGAGTAGATGGGGTAGAACTGGTAGAAAGCCCAGCGCACCCAGCGGTTCATGGTGAGAGGGGTGAATCCGACGAAGAGGAGAATGAAGCAAGTCCAGAGCTGGGCGGCGATGGCGATGGGGAAGCGCGACTTGGGGAAGTAGTAGACGCAGAAACCGGCGAGGATGATGCAAACGCAAGTGATGGCGTTACCGGGGAGCGAGTAGAGGATTGTGTCGAGGCTGTTGAATCCGAACGTCTTGTTGATCAAGATACCGAACGCGGTCAGGCCTCCGTTCGGGATGCAGTTGAGGAAGTTGGCGGCGACCATGTGCCACAGCTGCGGGTCGCGGAAGCACTCGCGCACCTGAGCCCAGTTCCAGGGGTGGCTCTCACCACCGCCAGTGCCGTTCGACACGATACGCGCCTTGGCCATGAGCTTCTCGCGCTTCGTAAGCCACCAGACCTCGTCGGGGGTGCCGACGAAGATGAGGCAAATGATACCCATGCCCACAGTCGTGCCGCCGAGGAAGAGGTTAATGACGCGCCACGCCGCGAGGCCGCCGCGCGTCTGCGCGTCCAGCGCAATGTAGTAGATTCCAACACCGAAGATAATGGCAAAGAAAGTGTTCATCGAAGCGTAGAGCGTCTGTCGCAGCGTCTGCTCACGACGCAAGTACCAGGCAGACGTCATGATGGCGAAACCGGGCATGACGGCGGCCTCGAACCATCCGAGGAGCGTGCGGACCAGGGAAAGCTGCCAGTAGTTGTTGCAGGCGGCCAGGCACATGCACATGGCACCCCAGATAATAACAGTGACACTGATAGCCTTTCCGAGAGGGAAGTGCTGCAGAAGAGCACCCATTGGGAACTGCGCGACAGCGAAACCAAGATCTGACAATATTAGCGTAAACCCGGGTGCCACATGTCAGGATGCCACACTCACAGAAGAAACTGTTCAGGTTGTTGTATTCCTGCGGCTTGAGGTGCGTGTCCTCCTTGAGACCCTTTAAGGTCAGCCATTGCTCAAAGAGATGATTTATGTGCAGGATAAAGAAGAGACATGGCCGGCGGGGGAGGCAAATTCCTGAAAACTCACGAAAATCACACCCGAGGACAGAGACGTCTTGTCAGAATAGTTCAGACCGAAGATGATCATCATGATGGGCATGATGATGAAGTCGATCTTCAGACGAAGGCGCTTGTACTCCTTTTCGGTGAACTGGTCCTCGGCGTAGATGACCTTCTCATGCTCGTCGAGAGAGCCCCTCTCAAGGACATCGACGACGGCAAGGCCCTTCTCATCCTTGTGGTTGTCGCCAAGCTTCTCAGATGAGATCGAGCCATTCGTCGGCATGCGCTCGATCTCCGAGGTAACGACTTTCGCGGACGTCATGGCGGAATGTGCCACTGCGGGCTCGGCGGTGTGGAATGAGTGAGTCGAGGGTGTGGCGATTGAAAGAGAGCGGTATCAATAACTTGAACCCCGAAGGGAATGTCTCGGTGTTGCGAGGATGTGGTTTTGCGAGTTGATGAACTTCGGAGAGCTACATCTGCATCGGCTACATATAATCAACTCTGCTGCGCAACTTTTGATGCGTCCGACGTTAGGCGGCATTCTCCACAGCAAGTAAACGGCCGGCTCCGCGGGGCCCGATATCTCCACAAAGAAGCCACGCGCTAAGCTCTCTCTCGAATCATGAATGCAATGATCTAGGCATGGCTGGGGCCGAGATTGGATGAAAAGCCAGCGCGGTTAGTTGCCCGCGTCCTGTGGCCCCGGCTTGAGTCTGGGGATCTGAAGTATTACTGGAGCTGGTCACCGATAGGGTGACAGTCGAGGGTTGGAGAGGGGGGGAAAGCGGAGCCTCCGACGGCCCCGGAGGAGCGGAGCTGAGGTGAGCCACTGTTGGTTTCGTGGGTGACTCAAACGGCGAATGGAAAGCATCCGCGGTTACATTTGCCAAAGGTCGCGCGCTCTATGCAGGACCTGCCGCGCATAGCCGACGATCAAAAACTTTGAATGCCGGTCGAATGGTGACTCATAGACACAGCCTCCCGGCCGATGCTTGCCTGACATGCCTGGCATACCTGAACCTCGACAAGCAAATGGCCACAATCTTATCGCAAGTTTCATGGCCGGACGCCGGTTCTGCCGACTTTTGCCAGCCTGGATAAACTTCCGCGCGGGCACGTCGCCGCCACAACCCTTTCTATTCTGGGCGGTGGATCTGGAAGGCCCAGCCCACATGCCCTACAGCGCTTGCCCACCTGTTCCCCGCATTCGTGGTCGCGGCGATCTTATGCTGCTGAACCACGTAAACACCGCAACCTTCCGGAAAGTCGCCACCGTCCGAGTCTCCTATTAAGTGGAGCGCTGGTTCTGTCAAGAAACATGAGTGGGTCCATGCCGAGTGTGCCGAACGTCTTGTCGGCTGTGTCGGGACGAGGGCAAATCTGTATTCCCCAGATTAGCAAGAAGGACCCTCATCTACGGTGGCCGATCTATAGGAACGGGTTGTCTTCAATTCAAAGATCGACAGAGAGTCGCTCGGTCACAACACACTCGGCTAACCCGAGGCGGACCAGTTCATAAAGCTGTCGACTCCCAGACAGTTCCTGTGACTTCCCCAGTGCCTCACTCATCTTGCACTGGCAGGGGTCTGTTCCGAGCTCGCTCAGATGTCCTTGACTCTCAGAATGTCTAGCGGAGCATATAGCACTGGCGGAGATGCTCAGAGCACTCCGAGGCCGCTTACAAAGGAGAAGAGCTTTGAGAGCTTGCTTAGGTGAGCAGTAAGGAACGTGAGGACGGCCATTTCCAGACGGTTCTAAAAACACCACCGCCCGCCCAACAGACTCATCATGACATCATTAATGGGCGACCATGAGCCAGCATTCTCCCACGTACTGACCAATCGGCGGGACTGCAATGAACACCACGGGCTTCCATGCAGTACACTATCGCGATATTTCCATCACCGAGCTGATCGCGACGACCCCATAAAGCCCGTCACTATCGTGATATGCTGTCTGTCCTTCCTCGAACCAGTGTCATCAGCCGATCTGCGCGACTCCTCTCGACGACGACTTCTTCCTCCTTCTCTACCCTCTCGACCCACGTCTCCCTGAACGCCCGCGCCACCGACAAGCTCGACCGTCTGCAGCGTCGCTCACCTGCTCTATTCTCTCAGCCAAACAAACCCGCACAGCGATCATACTCGATGCCGATCCCTGCGTGCCCATACTCTGGCCCGAAGCAGCCGGACCTGATACAATCTGTGGAGGTGCCGCTGACGCGCGAGGCGACGTTCCTGATTCTGACGCTGAGCGAGCAGAAGCAGGACGCAGCATCGACCGTGCGCGACGTGCTCGGCGACGTATCTGACCTCGCAAAGAACCTCGCCGTGCGCGACGGCAACGCCGCGTTCACTGTCACGATTGGCGTTGGCGCCAAGGCGTGGGACAGCGTCATGCAGATGCCGCGCCCGAAGGAGCTGCACCCCTTCAAGGAGTTCAAGGGCAACAAGCACACGGCCGTCTCGACGCCGGGCGATCTGCTCGTTCACATCCGCGCCAACAGGCGCGACATGGTTTTCGAATTCGAGCGGCAGTTCATGAACAAGCTCGGCGACAGCGTCAAGGTCCAGGACGCCGTGGCGGGATTCCGGTACTTTGACGGGCGGGACCTGCTTGGCTTCGTGGACGGCACGGCGAACCCGGTCGGCCAGGGCGTCCCGGACGCGGTGCGCGTGACGGAGAACCTCGACCCGAACGGCATTGACGGCACCTACGTCACGGTGCAGAAGTACCTGCACAACCTGGACGCGTGGGGCAAGCTGAAGACGGAGGAGCAGGAGGCGATCATCGGGCGCACCAAGCTCGACAACATTGAGACGCCGGACCAGCCCGAGGACGCACAGAAGCCGCACAAGCAGCTCAACACTATCGAAGTTGATGGTCAGGAGTATGACATTCTCCGAGACAACATGCCGTTCGGAGACCCGAGCAGCAAGGAGTACGGAACCTACTTTATCGGATACAGCGCTCGTTTGTGGGTCACTGAGAAGATGCTCGAGAACATGTTCATCGGGGTTCCGCCTGGCAAGTACGACCGCATCCTCGACTTCTCCGACGCCGTCACCGGCTGCACGTTTTTCGTGCCCAACAGTGCTGTCCTGAACTCGCTCGGATAGGCTCTACCGTAGTTCAGAATTAATTCAAAGCAGATAGAAGCTCATGAGTTATGTATTAGTGTGTAAAGTGACAGCGAGGAGGTGGTTATCAAGACAGATGCATAGAGGGGCTGGTGGCCGAGCCGGCCGACAGGTCGAGGCCCGAGTAAAGACCGTTGCCACAGGCGCACGTGGCCTCCACCGGGCGGGACTTTTTTTCTCCAGCCTGGTTCGTAATGTCTGGCTGCGACGTCGGAATAAGCCTCCTGCCTGGGTGCGGGCAGCGGCGGAGCATCATGGTCATCTCGGCGTTGCTCCCTCCTCGTTCGTCATCAACACCTCACTCACCATGTTCCGAACCGGTCTCCGCGCTACTGCGCGCATCACCCCCGCCGTCCGCCCCGCCGCGGCTCGTGCGCCCCTCGCTGCCGTGCCCCGCTTCTCGCGCGGATATGCCCAGAACGAGTCCTCGGAGGCGAGCTCGCAAGCCAAGGACCGCGCTGCTGTCGGAGTGAGTCTTCAGCTAGAGCAGCGTAGAAGATAGCTGACAATTAGCCGTTTACGTGGAAGGCTGCTGGCCTGTTCATCGTAACCGGTGCCGCGCTCTATTACTACTTCACGGAGGAGAAGAAGAAGGTGCTTGAGCGCAGGCGTGAGTGATCCACACAGGAACATGCTGCATTGGGTGTGGATGTAGCTGACTCCACAGGCCAGGAGCTTGAGACCAAGTCCGTCGGCCGGCCGCAGATCGGCGGTCCCTTCAACCTGGTTGACCAGAACGGCAAGCCCTTCACCGACGCCGACCTCAAGGGCAAGTTCACGCTGATCTACTTCGGCTTCACGCACTGCCCCGACATCTGCCCCGAGGAGCTGGACAAGATGTCCGACGTCGTCGACACGATCGACAAGGAGCACCCGGGCAAGGACATTGTCACCCCCGTCTTCGTTTCGGTCGACCCCGCCCGCGACTCGGTGCCCCAGGTCAAGGCCTATGTCCAGGAGTTCCACCCGCGCATCATCGGCCTCACCGGCGACTACGACAACGTCAAGAAGGCGTGCAAGTCGTACCGTGTCTACTTCTCGACGCCGCCTGATGCCAAGGCTACCGACGACTACCTCGTCGACCACTCGTGAGTAACCTCGGCAGAGCGATGAGGCGGGCAATTTCTTCCGAAAGCCAGACCATGGTTCCGGCGGGCACTCGCGCTTCTCAGAGCCAACAAGACGCCACCCTACCGCCCGCCAAGCTTCGTCGCCGGTTTCGTAGCTAACAGCAGTATCTTCTTCTACCTCATGGACCCGCTCGGCCAGTTCGTCGACGCCTTCGGCAAGAGCACGACCCCCGAGGAGGTCACCGAGAAGGTCCGCGACGCTATCGGAAAGTGGGAGGCCGCGGGCGGCAACAAGGCTGCTGGCCTCGAGTAAGGCAGCAGTGGCCTCGAGGAGCGCAGTTGCGCGTAGAGTATCAAAACTTGTATCACCCAGTATCACATGCATCACTCATACAATATAGCTTTGCAGGTGGCTTCGGCGTGCTGTCATATCGCGGATCCGGGTGTGCTCTGCGTATAGCTAGCTATCAGCTGAGTCATGTCCGATCATTCGAGGCTGCGGCCCCTGAACGCCTTTGGCCCCTGGCGGAGGGTTAATGCGCTTGCATGCTAGGTTTATTTATCACAACATAAAACCGACGTTCAAAGGAGTCGATATGATGGTTGGTTACGGGTAGAGTTGCAGGTGTTGAAGGTGGTTTTCGTGCTCCCAGCCCTCCCGTTTCTTCTCCTGCTGCTGTTGCCTGCTTCTTCTACCGAGCCCTTGTGATGCGATAAGGCGATTGTGGGTGCTCCCTTACAGGGCTGACGTCGGAAGGGACAGGGCGGACAGCGATTCGCGGGGCGGCGGAGGGACGAAAACACGCGCAGATATGTATTGTGAAGAACTGAAAAATGGAGTGTAGAAAAGCGAAGACGAGTCGAAGTCAGAGCAATGGTGTGCGAGAAGGCGGGGCGGAACAATGGAGAAGCGAAATGACGAAACGGGTGCTTAGTGCTGCTTCTCCGACGGGGCGGGCGAGTCCGGCGCAGCCGAGGCCGCGAGCGAAGACAGCTTGGAGGCAAACGGCACCGGCTTCCTATAACGTTAGCTCTGGACAGCCGTTATCCGAGCTGGGTGGCGACTCACTTCTGGAAGTGACGCTGCTTGGCTCCGTTCAGCTTGGCAGACACGGGCGACATGAACTGGTCGGTCGGTGACATGGTGTTGCTGCGGTGTCAGTGCGGTCAGCATTTCAACAACTCACCCGCCAATGGGTCCCTTGCCCTTGTTGCCGAGGAGGCCCTTCTTCTGGAGGAAGCTGGGAGGAGCCTGCTGGGGGACTGCGGTGTCAGCATGAGTTACTCTTCGCTTCAGCATGTGCCGGAGCTTGTCTTGACGCTTGACCTGGCAACCAGGGAAGCGAAAAGAAAAACAAACAAACAATCCCCGATCGTCACTGCTCGCCTTGCAACTGCCCTGCAGCGTAGTTGGAGCGATCTTCGGCTAGGGCGATGTTTGAGCGTCGTGCGCACTCACCGTTGGTGGTCTCACGGAACACGTTGGAGTTGGACGACATGGTTGGCGGTGTTTGGGGTGATGAGGATGTGGAGAGCAGATGACTCAAAAGCAGTCGCGTGTTTATACCCAACGTTGTTCGTTTTAGCGGATGCAGCAAAGTTTACGTAACCAGGGCGTCGGATGGTCCTCTAATTGAACCATTTCATCAGATCGCCATGTCAATTAACGGACCATTTAGAAATTAGGACAGATCTCGACTGTTGTCCGGGTCCAGCGCAGAATAACACCATGCACGGGATATAAAAGGGATAGCAATGTTGATTTTGGGTAGCAGATTGACATTGCTCCTGATTGGCATGCAGACAGCTTGTTCTCTGAGTGCTGGAGGCATAGCTAGGCTTGCGAGATGCGGACCGGGCGGTTGCCTGGAATGTTGTTCAACTCATGTGGAGGTGGTCCCTTTCACCATCTCCCAGTCTTCCCTCACACCTACGATCATGCGTCCGGCTTTGGCCCTGGTGCGGCAAGCGGCTCTCCAGCCCAGAGCACTTCAAGCCCGACCTTTGCTCCGACCAGCCCTCGCCAACGTCGGCTGCAGCCACTGGGCGCGCGACTATTCCGCCAAACCGAAGCCGCCGAAGGAGCCGCCAGTTGAGATCGCCGAGGAGACGCTCGAGGCCGACTTCTTCGAGGAGGTCGAGATTGAAGCCGACCCAGTATGGGAGGGCGAGGAGGTCTCGGAGGGCGTGTTCATGTCCGCCATGCCTGTGAGCTTTTCGCGCGGCCAGTGAAAGCTGACATCAGACAACCGTGCCGCCCCCTGCTTCAGAGGGAGCAGGCGTGCCCAAGGCGAAGAAGGGACCTAGGACCAAGCACACGATTAAGCACCTGAATAGGTTGCTGAGCCGACACCAGGTTCCGGACCTGGACGAGAGCGAGCTGGAGGAGAAGTTTGTGCGCGGTGAGTCTTCCCTCCATCCACACCGCTTTCGCTCAGCTGGCTTGATGCGGCAATCGATAGCTGACCAACAGGCCGTGGCCCCGGAGGTCAAGCGATCAACAAGACAAACTCATCCGTGTCGCTCCTGCACAAGCCAACGGGCATCCGAATCCAGAGTCAGCCAACTCGTTCTAGAGCTCAGAATCGAGTCATCGCCCGGCAAATCCTGAAGGAGCGGCTGGACCTCATGCGTGCCCGCGGTGAGCTTGAGGGCATTGAGCCTTCGCAGCCCCAGTCTGCCGATCCCGCGACCATGAACCGCAAGGAAAGGCTTGCGGCCGAGGCTCGCACATGGAGCAAGCAGGAGCTGCGGTGGGAGAAGGAGAGGCGGAGGAAACAGAACCGCAAGAAGAAGGTCAATAAGAGGAAGAACAAGGAGGGCAAGGAAGAGGCGGAGGCTGAGGCTGAGGAGTGAACCAATGTAAACCAATGTACACAATATATGCATCTAGATCCCATCTCTGCCGGCTTCTGATGTCGTCTAATCCGGTCCAGTCTCGAGGTTGATCTGCTTCCCGAACTTGGCGTATCTGGGTTGTCAGCTCTTCCTACATCACGGATCAGCTGCCCCCTCCTTGCGGAGGCCCTGCAGAAGACGTATCTACTCACAGCTGCACCTTCAAATCCTGCATGCCATGCTCGCATTCGTCGCAGCGTTCCTTCAACTCGCTGATCTCGCCGTCGTACCGCTTCAGGTCCGCGCGCAGCTGCTTCTTCGCCGTCGGCAGCGGCAGGTCGAAGAACGCCTCGCCGATCTTGTACATTATCGTCTTGGCGTCGCTGAGCTCGAGCTCCATCTGCAGATCGTCGTAGTACTCCTTCTCGTCCTGAGGTTAGCTACAGGTCGAATGTCAATTCAGCTGACGGCGCTCTGGCCGCTAGGCCGCCTGAACGGCGCTGCAGTGCCGCTGGCACTTGTGCAGTCTGCCCAGCGCCACGCAACAGGCTGGAAACCAGAGAGCTGTGCACAAGGACAGATGCAGCTCATGCTCCGCAATGGCGCAGCGCCGCAATGCATACGCACCTCCTTGACCTTCAGCTGGTCTCGCAGGTCACCAAGCCGGTTGTTGAGCTTGGAGAAGGTGTTGATCTTCTGCTGGTCCTCCCAAGCGACTTCGATTCCGTCCGCCTCATCTTCCGGAGCAAGCTGTCTGTCAGCTAACGACCTTCCTGGGAGCTGACTCACGAGACTCATTTTGCTTGTTGCTGGGTGTTGTAAGTCGAGCGCAAGGAAGGTGCTCAGGCCCATTACATCGATCGTCATCGAACGCGCTCATGGCTCAGGACGCGGAATCTTTATTCACCCACCCCCTTTAAATTTCGTCATGTCCGCCGACCTCCATGGTTAACGACCATCTCGATCACTGAGGTTCAACAGCATCAACAACAACAGCACGCACGACATGAGCAGAATAGAGATCTTGAACCTTGCTGGTGAGCTGCTTTTCATGGAGGCATAGCTGACGCCCAGGTCTCCGACACGACAACAGGCGTCCGTTCGAACTGCGTTCCCTCTCGTGCGCGCTTGGCGTACACCCGCAAGCGGACGGGAGTTCGCAGGTCTCGCAGGGTCTGACGACGGTGCAGGCGGCTGTGTTTGGACCGAGGGAACCGAAACAGAAGGCAGGTGCAGCGCACGACAAGGCCAATGTTGTCGTTGAGGTCGGCGTCGTGCCGTGGGCGCAGGGACAGGGGCAGGGTCGGGGACGGACACGGGGTGACAAGTGAGTATCTGGTGCGGCTGCTCAGCTGTCCGTTGGGAAGCTGGACTCAGTGGAAAAGATAGCTGAGAGGGATAGGTATTAGCTAACACCAGGCGCCTGCTCGAGATTGGAGCTGCCATTCGACAGACCTTCGAGCCCGTGATCCAGGTCGGGCTGTACCCGCGCTCCGAGATTGCAGTGCAGGTGCAGGTCCTGCAGGCTGATGGCGGTATTCTGCCCACAGCGATCAATGCAGTGACGCTCGCGCTCATCGACGCCGGCATCGCGATGCACGACTACGTCACCTCCGTCTCTGTCGGACTGCACTTGACGCAGGCGCTGCTGGATCTTAGCGCACCGGAGGAGAACGACCTGCCGTCGCTTGTGGTCGCGAGCCTGCCGAACAGCGGCAAGATTACGCTCGCGCAGATGGAGACGAGGCTGCACGTCGACCGCTTCGAGGTGATGCTCCGTCTCGGCACTGAGGCGTGCAAGGTCATCAAGGACGATATGGAGCAGGTCGTCAAAACGCGCACGGAACGGGTCGTCGACCGCATGTCCGTTGCGACGAGGACTGTGGCAGTGGAGGCGTAGTAGAACTGTAGACTGGACAACTATGTATGATTATGACACGATGCGATGACACCGAACAGCAGCTGATGGAGAGGATATATGCATACAGGGAGGAGGAGCGTATCAAACGCTGTACAAACAAGGGGTGGCGGTGGGACTAGGCAATGACCTGGGTTGTGGTCTGGACGGGGCTCTGCAGCTGGGCTGGAATGGCTTCCTTGGCCGCACGGCTTTCGAGCTGCACCGCCAGTTCATGGATGTGGTCGTCGGCCAGGCCCATAGTCTCGAGGTGTCGGGCAAGATTGAGAACGTAGTCGATGTTCTTGCCGCTCTCACCGCGGGCAAAGTAGATCTGCCTCACCATGTCCTCCATCGGCACGGGGCCGAGGTAGTACTTGTTATCGGGCGAGGCAATGTACGTGATGGCGGTGACCTTCTCGGTGACGCCACGCGACACCTCATACTCGAAGGGGACATTGATGCGGACGTAGCCGCCACGTTCCCGATAGTCGAGCGCGGCCATGATATCGTCCTCCTTCTCCTTGGGCAGGCGGTAGCAGACACCCCAGCATTCTGAGCCCAGCTCCGGCACGAGCGTGAGCACACGGCCAAGAGCACCGGGCTGCCCGCGGTGGTCGGGCGAGCCCTGCCAGAACCGCCGCGTGTGGTCGTTCACCCACCCGGTGCGCTTCTCGGCAAACTCAAAGTCGGGACGCCAGATGATCGAGCCGTACCCAAACACCCAAGTCGCCGATTTGGGATTGGCTTCAGAGCCCGAGCCGGTGGCAACGACAGGGGCAAGAGCAGAGGAAGCGCTCGCTGAGGTAATCGAGGCCATCGTTGAGATAAGAGATAAGGTGGTAGAGATGTCGGAGAGTTTGGGAATGGGGTCAAGTTGATTGGCCAGTCGACGTGGACGTAGGAAGGTCGATGGTGGCGACTGTTGTTGTCCGGTGACGATGATCGGGGAGCGTTACGGCTAACTTGTGACCTGGATAATTCGGAATTCGTTACGCGCAGCTTATATATGCTGCTGGGCGATGCGTGATGGCTGGGAAGAGAGCGTGGTGTCGTGTGGAGACGGTGTGTGACGAAAGAGCGCAGGAGCCGCAGAAGTCAGAAGTGGAGGATGAGTGAGCAACAACAAGATTCAGACTCGAGCACACACTCCACCATGGCGTGCTATCTTCAGGCACCATCGTCAGCTTATCTCAATTGCAACTGTCCCGGAATAGCGCGCACTGGCGCACGAGCTGGCATTCCTCGGTCAACATTACTGCATCAGGAGTAGCGTTGCGGGGCTGCATTGCATCACTGCTCTGCAACGCTCCATCGCTTTGACAGTTTGAGTAGAATCGTACATGTGTTTCTGGGAAGACGGGACAGTGCCACCTGAGCGACGGACCACGCGGGCTCACGGATCCCAGGGGCAGTCACCTCCGAGGCCCGGCGAAGATCTGCCCTCCGTATCAGTCCATACACGTCATAAACCAGTTACGTAACAGTCTGGCGTGTCGATCAGTCAAGCCCGCCCTACATGAGCGCCATCGGACCGTCATATGCAGACCAGTGTGAGACCGTCGTCTTGGTGGTGCGCCAGTGATCTGTGGCGCGCTCCTCTCTCCGTCATACGCAACTCCAGATGAGGAAGGTCGCTGGCAACCTTAGCTCCCCGCAAGCGACCAGTTCATGTCGAATATCTACCATAGGGCAGCTATGCATCCCAGATTCTATCAATTTATTGAAGGCTCTTGACGAAAGCCTGTTGTCAGATCGCCATCCAGAATCGGTAACTCACAGCCTCAAGCTTGTTGACCTCGGCCTTAAAGGCGTCAACCTCACGCCAGCAGTCAAGGGGAGTCGTAGGGTTGTTACTGATGTCAGCGGGATCCTCAGAGTAACAGAATGGCTGGACAGCGTCGAAGCGGACATCTCGGTGCGGTGATCGGCGCATCATCGCTCAGCACAACCCGATTCCGCAAGGGGAAATCACGAAGACTGAGAAGATGACCGCCGGAGCTCCGGGATGAACGTCTCTCCACGACGAGCACGCAAGCGGCCCCGGCGACCGGGAACGGGCCTCGTCGCTACCGCTACCGTTCCCGTCACCTGCGCCGCACTCGTCATTTCGTCGCCATCTGAGATCTCTATGTCGCACTTGCAGTGCGCCATCGTCTTAACTGCACAATCTGCAGTACGTCCCTCGGCTATGAACCACAACTTACGTGTAGCAAACAACAACGGCGTCCTTGGCCTTAGCAAGGTCGGGGTTCTCGCGGTTCTTCCGGTCGTTGGTGATACGCTCGACCTTCTCGCGGACCTCCTCGATGTCGCGTCCAAGAGCCTCAGAGGACATGCCCGGCTTCTCGCGGTCGAGGTTCTCCTTCTCCAGCGCTGATGAGATCGACGACAGGATCTCGGCCTCCTGCTGCCGGAGGTTGGCCGACTCGGAGGCGAGCTTCTGGCGCACGAGCTCGTCTGTCGTCTGCGGCTTCTTGCCCGACGACGGCTGCTGCAGGCGCTCAATCAGCGACGGGGAGAACTGTTGTCAGCATACAGCAGGGCAGCACATAGCTCAAGTGATTCGGCCGGTCGCGTGGTTGCCGTGTTGATCGCGACATGATGGGAAACCGCCGTCCCGTTCGCCCGCAGATCGATGCCATGTTGCAAACTCACCTCAACGCTCGTTCCCGCCGGGGCAGAGACCACATGGTCGGGCTTTTGGGAGGCCTGGGATGACTGCGAAGCGCCCATGATGCGTGGTGGATGAGATGAAGACGACCGAAACCGGCCTCGAACGGACTTCCGACGTCAAAGTCGGGTACGGTTCGTCGATCGCGTGGATTTGCTCCCGTCTTCACCCAAAACGTCACGGAGGGCGCTGGGAGCAACGACGATAGCCGACCCCTCCTCATGCATGCTGATAGCAATGAGCAGTCGATGCTATGCATAGTGATACAGTCTAGACGTCTACATCTAGTTCCAGTCCTTCCAGCGCTCCAGTCCCGTCTTCTCTCCCACGGCGTCGGCGAGAATCTCACCAGAGTAGACGCAATCGTTCACACTGACGCCCCCATATCCGCTTCCTCCCACACTCAGCTTGTCCTGCCATGGCCCATTCTGGATTGCCTCGTGGAGCTCCCGCATCCTAGAGCCGTGTCCCGGAGCATATGTGGGGATGCAGTCGACCTGAAGGTTGGCTTTTGTCAGAATAGGATCGACACTGGCGAGGTGAGGGAAGACAGTCCGCAAGTAGTTCACAGCGATCTCGCTGAGTTCCTCCTTAGATGGTATCGGGGCGACTGAGCCGCCAGTTTTGTACGAGGACCAATACGGTCCGCCCATCATCGCAGTGACCTTTGTGATCTTGCCCTCAAGCTCTGGAACCTCAGTGCCGGGGAGAGCTGTGCTGTCGAAGATGACGCCGAGCACACCCGCGCGATTGGCGTCCGACGCAGGAATCAGGAAGCCGAAACCGTCCGGGTGCACTTGGGAAGGTGGCAGAGGGAAGACAACGTTCACGACTCCGACAGTCGTGCTCCGGTTCGCGATGAGATGCGGCAGCGGTGACGATGCAATCGAGCTAAGGTGCCGAGGAGTAACCGCAGCAATAACGTGGTCGGCATCGATAGAACCGATGGAGGTGTTGATCTGAAGGTCAACTCGCCAGCGACAACAATCAAGCTCACCTTCACCCCATTCCCCACCGGGGTTATCCTCTCGACTCGTGTACCGGAGGCGATCTCCACACCTCGCTCCTGACACACCTGAGCCAGCCGGTCCGTCAACTCAGACATTCCGCCGCGAAGGGCGTACATAGCCCAGTTCTTCCTCCTCTCACCCCACGCCCCGCACTCCTTCCATGCCTCCAGTTCCCGGGCCTTTCCGGCTTTGTCACCTTTAAGCATGCCCATGACTAAGCTGCCGCTGCCACGCTCGTAGTCCCAAAGCATTTGGAATGCACTTCGTACACTGAGCGTGTTCGGGTCCGCGGCGTAGATACCATGCACGAAAGCACTTGCTGTTGCGGCGACCTTCGGTCCGAAGCGGCGGAGGAAGAATGAGTGCACGCTCTCGTCGTCAGCAGACGCGGGCGAATTGCGTCGGAAGGGCTCCTTCATGACACCAAGCAGCAGTTCGCGGATCGGAGCTGGCGTTTTCGGTGACAGCAGCGCCAGGGGTGACGTAGGTGCAGCCATGAGCTTGCCAGTCGCATTGTTCATGATGAAGCGGTTTCGCGCAGCGGGGCTTGTCTTCGGGATGCCAACGATGGAGTTTTCAAGACCGACATCGAGGATCTGTAGTCAGCTACTCGGCCGTGGGTACATGGCTCACAAGCTTGAGCATGCTGGCAGCACTCAGTCCCTTTGGTCGGATACTGCGCGGTCCGCTTTCGAGAGTCACATCGCCCTCCACCTGCTCTCCAGACGGCGTGGTGAACTTGATGTGTTGCTTGGGGCTGCCGACCCACCCGCCGACACGGTTCGAAGCTTCAAGCAGCGTAACCCTCGCCTTGGGGGCGAGTCTGTAAGCTGCTGAGAGGCCGGTCAAGCCACCGCCTATGACGGCGACGTGTTGCGGCGGCATGATGGTGAATGAGGCGATAACAAGGACGGCCAGCTGCGGAACGGTCCGAAATGTCAGCCAAAGTGGAGGCCGGATCCGGCGGGATCGAACGGCTCAACCAAGCCATGAAGCCACCCTTCCTTACGAGCCCACGAATACAAAGTGCATAGTTGTCTACAGGCCCTGGTGGTCCATTACAGTAACGAGGTGCCGGATGCCCTCGGTAGCGTCGTCGATGACCTCGGACTGGGTCTTGGAGATGTCGACCGTCACGACACCTCCCTCCTTCTCGGGGTCCTCCAAGGTTGCCAGCTGCGATGCGAGCATGTCCGGCTTCATGAAGTGGCCCTTCCGCTCTGAGATGCGCTTCTGTAGCAGTTCCGGCGATCCCTTACAGTACACGAACGCTGTCCGCAGCTTCGGCTACCGCGTTAGCACAATTTTGCGTTGCGTGCTTACCTCCGGCTCATCCACAATCCCCGCCGTTCCCCTGAGAACGTTCCGGTACTTCTTCTTCAACGCGGAGCACGCGATAACGACCGCTGGACGTCCGATGCCTCCGTCGTCCGTCGATGTGACCTTGTCGTTCTCGAACTCCTCTCTGCACTTCTGGATTCCCGTCCGTCGGATCGCGTGGAGCCATGGTAAGCGGTCCTCGTCCGTCAGGGGCTGGCCCGCCGACATCTTGTCGACGCTTGACTGCGGGTGAAGGGAGTCGCCATCGATGAAGGGAACGGAGATGTTCTTCGCGAGGCCCGCGCCGACTGTGGACTTGCCGCTGTCTGTCAGCTTTACGGCTCCGTGGCCTTCTCCGAGACAGCACCAGTGACATCATTCCACCGATTGAAGCGCGAGACTCACCAGCTAGCGGGGCCCTGGATGTCAGCTACATTTGAGAATAGGTCTTTGGACTCACCATGACAATAATCATGAGCGGCTTCTGGAAGACGTATGGGTCGGTGAGGTTCATGGTAGCGATGGAAGAGTGGAGAATGCAACACCGAGAGCGGAAGCTCAAGTGACGTTTTTGGTGGGGTGGGGTTCCTCCTCCTTGGTCGGTGCAGTAGCCTGCAGTTACCGTCCGGTACCGGGCCGGTTGGCCGGGTCCGCTCGACCACTCCGGATGAAGCATGCACGAGAAACTTCATACATCGAGGGCGCGAGCTAGTCTACGCATCCTGGGGCACGGTCTCAGCCAATGCGGAACCACCCTGTGACCGTCGTGTGCTCACGATCACATCGGTGTTCCTCACTGCCTCTCCGTCATGGTGATCGAGACAACGGACTCAAATGGACCTCCACCAATTGACCAGTGACGATTTGTTTGGTCTCTCTGATCTTCCGATCGACCATCCATCCCCTCCATGCTCCCATTCTCAACACTCCTTTTGCGGTCGTACTACGCGGAGACAGGATGGAACGAAGATAACCTCTACTCGAACCTGACGCGGAGCTCTGCTGGTGAGTTAAGGGAGAGCCGAATACGTAACTGACGACAGCCTTGCTGTAGGTCGATGACAGCACCTCGAATGCGTATGGATCAGGATCAGCTGACATTCAGTGACTTCCCCGTCCCCGAGTCCTTGATCTTGCAGCTCGCAAATGCGCCGAGTCCGATCTTCTTCAACAGCTATGCGCTTGATGCCCTTCCGCAGCTGAACGGGAGCATGAGCTATGTGACGAGCAGTCTGCCGTTGACAAGTGTGGGTGGCTGAAGGAGTTCTAGCTAGGTAATCGCAAGCCATAAGCTAACAGCAGATTGGCTCGTCGCGCACGATGCCCTTCCGCGACGTTGTCGAGCGTTTCCGCCTGTACCCGCCGCCGCAGCGGCCAAGCGTGGATGAGATCTGGATTGATGGAAAGCGGGTGGACAAAAGAGACTACTTCCTCTACTCGCGCCTGCACTTCCCATCGTTCCACTTGTCGGGTCTTGCGACAACGCGTGTCAGCTCGACTCTTCAGGCTCAGCTGGCATTCACTCACCAGCCGACCATGGCTCGATTGCGATTCACGCCGAGGGGAGAGGTCGCACAGAAGGCGAGCTCGGCTCACCCACCAGGCAACCTGCTGCTGTCGCTGCAGCATGACACGGGACAGTACTCGGGAGAGTACACGTACTCTGCGTCTGACGGAATGTTTGGCGTCAGGGGGCTGTACAACTTCGGCTGGCAGGATGAGGAGGCGAAGAAGGAAGCAAGGGCTGCGGAAGGCGAGGGTCACGCCAGCCGGATCGAGGACGACGAGGACATGCTAGAGGGCGGTCTACGGGGAAGATTCAGCGCTGGCGGAGAGGTTTATCTCTCGCTGAAGCAGCGAAGTCTAGGAGGTGGGTTGTCCCAAGGTGGGGCCTAACTGACCACAGTCTCCATCGGTGGAAGATTCACAACACTTCCGCCGAGCTCAAACCCCCACGCGCCGCCGTCACCTCCAACGACGATCACGATCCTTTACAATCCGCTGATGGGATTCATTTCAACTGCGTACGCGGCGCAGCTCTCTCCTACGGTATCTCTCGCGACTCGCTTTGGTGTCAACATTTACAGCTACGAGTCGGACTTCTCCGTCGGCGGGGAATGGTGGATCGGGCGACGGTTCGGGGGAGGAAGGGGTCCCGCAGTGGAGCCCACACCAGAGGAGCTGGAAACGATCGCGAAGCGTGCCAAGCTTGGCGGGTCACTGCGTGATGATCCGGGCCCGGACAGTGAGCCCGAGCTCATCGATATCGCAGAGAAGGCAATGAGGCAGGTCGGCGCTGCCCGCCTCAAGGCAGACAAGGAGAGGGATGGTGTTCTGAAGGCGAGTTTGCGCGGGGACTGGTCGCTCGCCCTGCTGTACGAGAGCAGAATACGCAACTGCCTCGTGTCCGTCGGGCTCGTAAGTGACGTATTCAGCGGGACTAGCCGCGCTATCCGCGGCGTTGGACTCGAGGTGCAATACTACTCATAAACTTAGCATGCATCATGTGAGCAACACCTAGATCTCTGTCAAGCACGTTTATGCAAACATGCGTGCATGAACACACACAAACAAGAGAGGGCGAGACTGATAATGGGCGGAATGTGGATATCTTGTATCTCGGCGATGTCCACGGCTGAATCCGATGGGGTTCGGGTACTAACTGTTACCGACAGTGACAACCATATGGCCCGAAGTCAGACAGTCAGGATCCGTCCTAGCCCACACGATGTTATAACGTCAACCTTGTGCATCGCGGAACGATTGAAACTTTCTCCACTCTCCACTCCAGCACAACACCATGGCGTTCGACAAATTCCCCAGCGAGCCCACCATCCCCGTGAAGGAGTTCAAGGTCGCCGTTCCGCAGGCGCAAATCGAAGACTTGCGAGCACGCCTTGTGAACCAGGCGCCGCGTAAGGCGACTTGGGACAACACTGTCGGGCCGTTCCACCTCGGCGTGAAGAAGAATTGGCTCGACGAGACGATCGAGAGGTGGAAGTGGTTCGACTGGTAGGTGTCTCTCTCTCTCTCCGCCAGTCACTTGTTGGCTGACAGCCAGGCGCACGGTCGAGGACGAGCTGAACTCGTTCCCCCAGTACAAGGCCACGGTCAACCTCGACGGCGCGTTCTACGAGGTCCATTTCCTCGCTCTCTTCTCGCAGAAGAAGAACGCGACACCAATCCTCTTCGCTCATGGCTGGCCAGGCAGCGTGCTCGAGTTCGTTCCCATGCTCCAGATGCTGAAGGAGAAGTACACGCCCGCTACGCTGCCTCACCACGTCATCGTCCCGTCACTGACTGGGTTCGGGTTCTCTTCTGCACCGCCTGTCGACAGGCCTTTCACGTCTCTGACTCAGGCGACGCTCTTCGACGCGCTCATGCAAGGGCTAGGCTTCGGCAAGAAGAACGGCGGATATCTCGCGCAGGGCGGAGACGTGGGCAGTTTTGTGGTGCGCATCATGAGCACATTTGAGGGCTGCAACGGCATTCACGTCAACTTCTTCCCGCTGCTCGGCAAGTCGGTCGACACGGAGGGACTCGACAAGATTGACAAGACGGCCGTCGCACGCTCCAACATGTGGTCCGGGTTCGGCACCGGATATCTCATTGAGCAGGCCACGAAGCCTGGCACAATCGGCGCTGTCCTCGAAAGCTCGCCCGTCGCTGTGCTGGCGTGGATCGGCGAGAAGCTCGCTTATGCTAAGGCCAAGGACACGATGCAGTTCCTCCTCGCCGAGGTATCGCTGTACTGGTTCACGGGCACGGTGGCTACCTGCATCTGGTTCTACCGCTCTGGGTCTGGCGCTGGAGCCGTCAAGGACGGTCCGAGTGTCGCCTTCCCGCCAAGCCGCATCGAGAAGCCCATGGGATACTCGCAGTTCGTCGAGGAGGTGTACCCCACCCCCATCTCCGTCGTCAAGCCCATCGTCGGCGACCTTGTCTGGAGCAAGCGCCACCTCACCGGCGGCCACTTTGCCGCTCTTGAGCGTCCGGACGCCATCTGGGAGGACGTGACTGAGTTCGCCAAGGTCGTCGAGGGTAGGAAGATCAAGCTCTAAGGTGTGTAAATCAGTAGTCAAACATGTAAACAAACATATGCAGGGTGATCCTCTTACACAGCGACGCGTTCTACCACGCTTCTGAATATATCGGAGTCAGTCTAAGCCAGTGAGGGCGTAGATCTCCCGAGAGTCTCACTTAGCCCTAGACGACGTTTCTTCGCTGCTCAGATCCTCCTACGCTTTCCAGCTCACCCGCTCCAGATTCCTTACATTCCATTCACTCCCCTCCACTTGTCTTCCTTCGAGCTATCAACGACGACGGGAAGCCAGCCATGCCAATTGATCGTGAACTCGCACCGGCATCGTGCGGGGCCTGTTCGGCCGGGCGCAGTCACCATCAACAAATCAGATCGGGCCACTTAGCTCAGTTGGTTAGAGCGTATGCTTAACACTCAGAGAGTTTACGCATAAGGTCGGCGGTTCGACCCCGCCAGAGGTCATCTTTTTAGGTGTTAAACACTCTCTGAAAGCCGGCGCGCAGGAGCAGTAGCCGTCTCTGGCGCCGCTGGAGATGATGGGGAAGAAGCTTAACTCACCCCAGAGAAGCGATGGTGCGTTCCCCGAACCCTGCCAGGCAGCCCAGTTTGAAATCAGGTACTCCTCTGTCCTCTTACCCTCACATCTTCCGCTGCCTCTTGCCCACCTGTGTAACGAAGACGCTCTCACTCGACCTTCCTGCATCCCGCCTAGGAGCACAATGTGGAGCACGATGCATGGATTGCATTTCCGCTCCGGAAGCCGCCTTTGGGCCGACTCACGTGACCTTCTTCCAGAGCAGTTCAGGCCACTTAGCTCAGTTGGTTAGAGCGTTCGCTTCACATTGATGATCGCGAGAGGTCGACGGTTCGAACCCGCCAGAGGTCACGTTTTTGCCTCCAGAATGGCCTCTCTATGCATGCAGTCAGGGTGGGAGATGACAATAGCCGTTGCGTGAATCCTGCCGTGGTCTACGGAAGCGCGCCCGTGGCTGAACTTACTGCAACCTTTGACTGACCGAAGAGACAAAGACAGAGCTTGTTCGAGTCTGCTGGAGGTTGTCTGGAGATCGAGTCGGAATCAGCGGGCGGTGAAGCGCGCATCACACATGGGGTGACGCTGGTCCACCAGATGCAACATGGTGAAGTTTATTTGGCCATCGCGAGCGATGACTGGACAGGGAACGATCACCTCACCCGTCACATTATGACCAAGTGCCGCACGTTCCGATCTGTCACTCTGATGTGCCGATTAGTGGGCCAGGCATTCACAGAATGCTGAGAATGCACACCAGAAACTCTACTTTGCCCCGATGTCCGATCACATCGCGGGTATGAGCGCCTCGTCACGCAGTGGGCGATGTTCCGCAATGATATTCAAGCCCCCCGATCGCCACCGCCACACCGACACACTTCCCGACTGCATCGCCGTTGCCCATCACTCGCTGCGGTACGGCCGACCGCTACTCTGGAACAGCCGGCAGCCGGAACAGCACTCTCAGTTCACCGCACTCCCACCGACTGAGGAACATCGGCTCGGAGAGTGGGCAAGCATGAGTGGGTTAAGCTGGTTAAGCTTCCCGGATCTCGGCGGAGGAGCGCAGCGGCGAACTTTAAGAGGGGGGAGAGTGGGACGGCCGCTTAATTCATTAAAATTTCACGGAAAAGGCGGAGAGAGAGCTTACGAGTCTACCGGAATCAGTGGGAGCACATGGATGTCAGAGGAAAGCCCCACTGGAAGAACTGAACGTGAAATCTAACGAACCGGTGCGGAAGTGCTCAACGTGAACGTTCAAGTAATGGCGACATTGGCGAGGCGGTTGGGTGGGCTCTGCCGGGCACGTTCTCGTCAATTTCGGCAGAGGCATCCCAGCCCGAGCAAATGCCCGGCCGAAGTCTTCCTCTCTTCGTTCTCTTCGTGCTCTTGGTACTTGTTCGCACCCCTCATCCGCAGCACGTTCTTGCATGGCACCCTCTTCTGTCAAGCTCTTCTGCAGAGGACTGAAGTGGGCCTCGAATTCAAAAGTCTGTGCAGCCACGCGTGCACCATTAGAGTACGTCAGCCCGCGCCTCAGCAGCGCGTACCCTAGATTTACCAGTTTTGCACTCGTATTCGTTCGTTAGATGAACACCGCTACCAACCGGAGATTATTTGACCGAGGGATCCTCTGGACAGTTCGTTCCTGGGTGCTGGAGGGTAATTTTTCCATCACACTGCCGGTTGGTGCTCCCAAGGGATATCCTGAGAGATCCTTGTCCCAAAGATATCACTTCTGGGGTTGACCCTGCTGCCCTGTCGTTTGAGGTTCGTCGTCACCGATGCCTCCTCGATCGTGAAGATGAACCCCTAGTCCTGCATCGATTGGAATCAGGAGTTGCCGGCGACTTCCTCTTGTGAGCTCGAGTCTGAATGGACGGTCGTGAACATGTGCATCGGACGCAGTAAAGGCACTAGTGGCCGTTGTGGAGCATGCAACGCTTCATTGGGCAGTGTTAATGGTATTTCTCTTGTACGTGCATACAGTCTATGTGTAGTCTACAAACATATCGATGGACCCTGGAGTCTCGACCGGCGAGAGGCAAGGGATGCAGGATGTGGTTGTGGGTTGCTTATGAAAGTGGGGTGAGGCACTTAGCACCAGGCGGCGTAGTAGCCGCCCTTGCCAGAGGCGACGAGGTTGAGGTCGCGGCGAACCTTGGAGATGCCGTTGTTGGTGCCGCAGGCGCGGCCCCAAGCCTTCTCAGACTCGCCCTTGTACTCAATCTCGATAACGTGCTGGCCGTAGACGTCGGTGTAAGCGTCACACTCGTCGTAGACGGCGCAGGACTCGGCAATGGCGAAGTCGAAACCGGCAGCCTTGCCAACCGAGGTGATCTCGGCGGCGTTCTTCTGGGCGACGGCGAGGCCGCGCGAGTGGGCGTGGTTAATCAGGATCTTGGCGTACTCGACGTTGTTCTCCTCCGAAAGTTGCGAGAATCGGGTGAAAGTGTCAAAGTTGTCGAGCTCGATGCCGCGGTAACCCTTGTCGGCGCAGCCGTTGATCCATCCCTTGACGATGTTGGCAAGGCGGTTGCGCTTGTCGGCGTTGCTCGTGTCAAGGATGGGCTCGTCCCAGTCAGGGTCGTTGACAACCTTGCCGTTCTTGCGGAGGAGGAGGTCGGCGTTGGCGCCGGTCCAGGTGTTGTCATCAGGCTGGCCTTGGAAACCGTTGATGTAGCAGATGGAGTAGATACCGGGGGCAGGGTCCGCCTCACGGTCACGAACAACGACTCCGACACCAGAGGGAGGGTTGTACGCGCCACCGAGCTGGTAGTCGGGCTTGGCACCGGCGGGAGGAAGGGAGATGGGGGCAACCGCGGCAGCGGCGAAGGGGAGAGCGGCGAGAGTAGCGAAGAGCATTGTGAAGAGTGTCTAGTAGTTCACTAGGGAGTTTTGTGTGTTAGTGAGGGGAGGTGAGGGTTGGAAAGACTTTGAAGTGCTGATGTCGACTTCTCATCTGGGTCGCTTTCTTATATAGACGACAAAGTCATCTCTCGCTACCGCAAGTCCCAGGAGTGGTGCAGCTCTCCTGCGTCACAGATTTTTACTGGCCATAGAGATAGGACAGCAGGAGCGCAACAGGCAGGACATTGTGGGTACGCAGGAAGGTCTCGCGTCTGGTGCCTTTCAAACGTCAGGCCCAGGGACTACGTTATGGGCTGATCGGACGTGGTGCGTTCTTACTCTACTCCTTTGGCGCTGACTTGCCCGACGGCATCGGCACGACTGCTCACCTGACCCGGATCATCTGGGCCACGCATTGATAGAATGTCGCGATAATGGCCGGTACTGAATGGAAGGAACAACGAGGGCCCCAGAAGGAAATGCCACAGGGCTCAAGTCGCGCTTATCTTGAATCGTTATGTAATTTCGACATCTGAGCCCTGTGGAGCTCGGCGCGTTGGCGTCTTGGGTCTGTCTGAATTGCGTTCTGGTGAGCAAGGTGGGCTAGTGTCTTGCCCAGAAAGCTTGCCTCGCGCACTAACGCATACGCCGCACGCTCTGTGTACGGCACCGGGGCGCAAGGGCAAATTACATCAGCTTTCCTGTATAGAGTTCGAAGAACTGATTGTGGGTCGCGATTGAAAGCCCAATAGGCGTTAGCAAGGCCGCGTCCGATATGCCGTCATGAATGGCCCTGCGGAAAAACGGGCGGTTCTAACGCTGCCGATATAGCAGCGCACCCAGCAATGCCCTCAAGCTCGTCCTTGGAGGTTCAGAGGGCTTCTGGACTGCACCTGAAGTCAATTGTCACCCTCGTGTGGGTTTTTGCGCGGCGCAAAGCCATGAGTCCGACATGTGCAAACCTTGTTGTCTCCGACATTCAGATATGAATTGCAGGCCGCAGAGTTACGACAGTCGACCCGAGTAGTGGATCCAGTGGCGTCAACGAGCAAAGCGTCCGCCGGATATCGTGGAGACAAAACGACAGACTTCATCTCGAACTGTCATGCCCATAAGCACTGTCAGATGACGGGCCTTGTCGGTTCGGGCAAATCGTCAAAGCCTAAACCTTCTCCAGCCTGGTCGCGACCGGGGTGCAGCAGCGCCTCAAATGCTCATATGGCGCTTCGCTTACGAGGTGCCCAGTCCACTCTATTAACTCTATGCTAGACAAGGCTGTTCGTTAAACAGACGAGCTATGCGCCCAGGAACTTGCGGAAAAGGTGCGAAGTGCGGCCAAGTAGCCAAGACAAAACAGCGTGGATCGGACAATGCCGCCTGCGCATGATGCCGCACTGAATGGTATTGAATCGGTCATCCCAGGATCACCTTTGAAAAAAGTCACCGAGATGTGTCATTAATGAGGGCCACCATCATCCTCCGCAGCAAAGCTTTTGGCTGCTTGCTGATGCTGCATGCGAGGGGAGTCTGTCAGGTTGTCTCGCGTGCTGAAGGTGTAGCCGTTGCAAGCCGCAGGACAATTGCCGTTCAATTGTCATCGAAGCTTCAAGGGTACTTCGAATTCTCGTTATCTGATTCAAATTTTCATAATCTCGGCCACGCGCTGCCGATAGCGTGCTGTAAGGGTAACTCTGACTGTGGTGCTGCGACGGCGTTGGACTCCGTACTCCTCTTCGCTTGCTGCATGAAAGACATGTGGTGCTCAGCCCTTGACTCGAACTTCGGCCGAATGGCTGCTGGTCTCAACATAGCGGACATCAATGACGACCAGATTGTAAGAGCATTCCGGAGCTGCGCAGAGTTCTCCGGAGGAGCTGTCTATCTGAATCCCAAAACCCCCCGTTCGTCCGCTCGCGATCCTCAGCTCCACGCGATGACGGTCAGCGGCTCGTTCTTTTCGCTCCTTCGGGATCTGCGGGTTTCGGGGCAAAAGAGCGCTTCCGTTGACTGAGCAATATCACTGGGCACTAAGGGAGATCTGAAGGAGAAGTTACAACAAGGGATCGGAAACCGCTAAATGTAATGAAGGCACAGGAGATGCCGCACAGGTTGTAACGTCGCGGTCTACTGGAATACAGCCGCTCCTGAATGTCATATACCGGTGATGTCACGGCGGACAGAGGCGGTCGAGACCGAGACCGAGGCCCGCTGCTGTCTCCGCGGCCGCACCGCTGTACCGCAGTATATTTCTGAGCTCCACAATGCACTGGATTTGCGGTGAGCGCCTACGTACTCTCCAGAACGTAACATCAAGCTTAAAGGGGGGTATGCAAGGCTCCGGCATGGAGCTCAGGGCGGAAGAAGACCAAGCGGCGCAGAAGAAAGACGCTGACAATGTGGAACACAGTTGCTAGAGCAAGAGCTGAGGACCAGTAACGGTAACGAAGCGAAGGAGTGGGGCCGCCGAGAGACCGTGTGCCCACGCAATGCTTAGTATGCTTAAGGAGGAGCCCCGACGACCTCAAGCTGTATGGCCGTGCAGCCATTGTGTGACGAGGGCTACATTATACATCATCGCGTCGCGGCCCGTCGCGCATTCTGCTCACAATATCGGGTATTTCAATTCACCTCGTTGCGTAGAGCGACCTTAACTTGACCCTCCGTCGCTTATCTGGGCCCGTAAACGCTGATAAGGAACAACTGGAAAGCGTAATCCTCCTCCTCATCGCTGACCCACTCTCGCCGCTATTGATGTATCATCAGGTTGAGGTAGAGTTAGCAGACACCGTAGTCTCTGCCCGACTTGCTATGAGATGGGCACCAGTGCCTCACAGCGTCGGTGACGATCCACCTGCTGTCAATCGTCTGGAACAGAGAACTGCCTCTCCTAGATCCTTTCAGAGCGGAGAACGGCATCGAAGAGGTCCAGACCACTGTATAGCAGTGGAGCGAAGAGGGTTATTCGTTACGAATGATCGGTACTGATGACTCCGCTGCGGTGATGCCAGGAGGAGGTCTCGCCTGTAAGAAGCGAGAGCGGCCTTCTGGTCGGAGAAGTGATCTGTTCTGATTTGCTCATCTGACCTAGGTGATCTCAACTCCGTAGCTGATAGCCAGCGGACCCTGCAGTAGGGTGAGATCTCGGCTACTCAGCCAGGGCTACGAGGTCAGCAGACCAACGATAGCCATCGTGGCGCTTGATGGTGTCGCTTGTTTCCGAAGGGCTAGACTAGCCGCGGTGGCGTCGATTCATTCATTTTTTCAACGATTTCGACGATTATTACCACTCACTTTCCTGTTTCAGCTGTCTTAGCCTCGCCCCACCTTTCTTAAATGAAGTATCTCGGGTCGATAGACCATAGCGCAGCTGACAGCGGGTCAGGTGACGCAGTTAGATCATGTAGCTTGTTCGGAAGTTGTGTGCCCATCGCACATCCGACGGTCGCCTGCAGCACCAGTGACCTAGCCAGAAGCAGCATGAGAGTGGTCAGCTGCATAAATCCTCGTTGGCTTGGACATCGACTAGAGCCAGCGCCTCAGCGGAACTCGTCGGTTCCGATGGAAATCGGGCATACCTTTCAGTAGAAAGAAGAGGGTTTAGCCCAGGTCCGTGGCTATGCCGTTCCGCTGAACGCCCCTTGGCTCCACACAAGCATCAGCGCGTTCGGTGTGCCTCGATGAAGAGGCAGTGCAGTGTGACTCTAAGAAGCAGCACTGTAACACCTTTCGGACCTCTGCAGTGAGGTTGAAGGACAGGTTCACGAAGGCGATGGTATCAGAATGGAGACCAGGGACCGTACCACATGGGGCTCACTTTCCGTTGAGTGTAACACGCCTGGCTGCCCTTTCTCTGCTGTATACGCTTAACAGGAGTCAGTGGCCTGTGCACTAAACTGTCTATGCTCATTCTATGCGAAGGAAAGGCGAGTGTTGAGAGACGCAAACCACCATTCCTGGTGCGCCGATGCCACATTCAGTTGAGGGTCTGCGGTATCACTGAGTAGAGTCGTTAGTGGAGATCATGTCAGAGGCCAGAGATATGCCGTTTATACAGCGATCAGTGATAGAGGGCGTGAGCTTCTCTTGGAGCCTGTGAGCGACAACTGTCCCGACAGCCGTTCCGGTCAGAGCTTGATTCTCCTTCTCGCCGCTCGCAAGTTTCTCTCCACATCACTCTGCCGCGTCGTCGCAGCGTTTCTTGCTCCGGGGCGCGTTGTTTCCTGTCCCCGTTATCATTTCTCTGACTCACCTCCAGCTCTCCACCGTGAATTCAAACCTTGCAAAACCGCACGCCCACAGGGGAAGCTAGAGTTCTGAATGGCAAACAGGGATGCTCGACATCGTCAAGTTTTTATTCCCGTGCCTACCACTGTCGCGATACACTGCCGATCGGCGTATCTTGTAGCATTAGAGATCGGAGTGAAAGCTCGTCATTTCAAGACTCGAAGCACGTGCAGAAGAAGTTGGGGGCGTGTGAAGTTGACGAGAGGCTTGCTCAGCCTCTGGCCAACTGGTGTCACAGTGACCGGCAACTTCAAAGTCGTACAATCTAACTGTGGTCTGGACCGCAAGCACACCTGTGTTTCACTGTCACGCATCAGCTGCCACGCGTCTACCGTGTGCTCTTATGTGGTAGTTGCAACTCGCGTAACGCTAATCGTCTCATGGAGCAGTCTAGATCAAGTCCTCCTGCAGTTTCATCCCATTAGCTCGCGTGGCTTACCACCCCAGGTGACAAGGTTGAAGGTTCCCTTTCTATTCCGAATCGTGTGTGTGGTAACTTGAGGGGCTTGACGCTATACTCAAGGGGTCGCCGGTAGGAGCCTGAGGGACAGCGCTGGATTGCGAAGTCAGTTCGTCAGTTGGTGGATCGCGATGTTAGCCCCGACCAGCGGGTCGTTGCCCCAAATCAGTTCCCGAAGAGCTCAACGATCAGCTCGGGACAGAGGATGGGAGGGAGAAGACTTATCGCATTGCCTTTCTAGCACTTTCGAGCAAGTGGCACGGGTCCCAGA